TAAACGATAAAGAACCTAGTAAAAGAATTACTATTAACTTTTTTAAGTATAAGAAAGCTAGTTTTACTAAGAAGAAGAGCTAAATATTAGTTACCTATAGATATATTTAATTTATATAGAACTTCTATTTTAAGAATAATAGACTAGCTTACTTAATTATATAACTTCTAGGCTTTTTTATCTAGTTTATAAAGAGATAATTTAATATTAAAGTTAAAGTTATTAAGATAGATAATAAGATTATTACTATTAAATAAGAAGTTAAGAAATAGTATATATCTCTATTAATTAGACTTAAGCTCTCTACTCTAGATACTTAAGCATAAAATAGAAGAGTAGAGCGCTTAGAAAGTATAATAAAAGAGAAAGTATATATAATTTAACTAAACGTAAATCTTCTATAAGAGCTCTAGCTAGAGATTATAAGAGTAGTAGTATATTTCTATAATTAAACGCTAAACTACCTAAATAATTAGAAGATACTATATAAAGTATTCTTTATATGTACTGCTGCTATAAATAGTATAGTAACTATACTCTAAAACTTAAACTAATCTTATCTAAAAGCATATAGATGCAAAGCTTTTATAATAATAGATAATACTTACTAAGAAAAGTTAAGACTATAGAGGCTTAATCTTAAGGCCTAGATTAGTTATCTAGTAGAATACTAGTTAATAAATATCTACTAAATATAGATTCTCTTTATAGCTAAGATAATTAGTACTTATAATGTAGTCTTTAATAAAGAAATAATCTTTAATAGCAAAACTAAAGACTTAATAGATAATCTTATATATAATACTCTAGAAGAAATTATAACTTAGGTAAGAATAGTTAAACTATTAGAAACTTAAAGCTAATAATCTAAAACTAAGATATTTTATAAGAATAATATAATATAGAAAGAAAGCTTACGCACTTAGAAAACTAAATACTACTAAGAAAAAAAGATAGTAGATATATATTTAATGCTACTATCTACTTCTCTATCTATAGCCTTGCTAGTTTAAGAAGATATAAATGAAGATAAAATTAAGAACACTTCTAACTAACTAATATTAATAACTAATTTTAAGGCAGCTGCTTTTATAGCTAGTACTAAGGTAGAATATATTAGATAATATAAAGAAAGCTTAATTAATAAGGCCTAAATAAAGAGACTACTATCTAAAGAAATAAAGCTATATTACAATTAACTATCTCTACTACTAATAGCTTATTCTAAGCTAGAGGACTTTTTACTTTATAAGATATTTAAGAAAGTAGAGAAGACTTACTTAGAGAGCTACTACTAAATAAAGTTATAGACTAAAGTTTAAGTATTATCTATTAAGCAAGAAAGACTTTAGATTCTAGACTATATATAGATATATACCTATAAACTTAATAAGCACTACTACCTTATTAAGTGCAAGGTAAGACTAGTAGTATAGAGAGATTAATAATGCAAAGTTACCTTCTAAGATATATATATATAGCAATATTAGCAAAACGATTATTTAGAATACTTATAGCTATAGCAGCTAAGTTTAATCTAGAGCTTAAGTAATATAATATTATAAATGCTTTTATTTATGCTGCTATTAATAGAGAAATCTATATAAGGATGCTAAAAGAGTACTAGAAGCCTAGTATCTTACTTAAGATATAGAAGGCACTATATAGACTCTAGATTTATCTTCTACTTTAGTAAAAGAAGTTTATAGTAACTCTTACTACTATAAAGTTCTAATAAGTAGTATAAGAACTATACTATTTAATTTAAAAATAGAATTATTATTTTCTTCTATATAGATAATATTATTATTCTATACTATATACAGATAAAAATTAGAGGGCTAGAAAGCTATTTTCTAGATCTAAGAAAGGTACTTATATATAGAAGAAGATAACCTATAATAGTTTCTTAGCATAGAGATTATATATAATTATTAAAATAGAACTATCTAGCTATTATAAGCTACGTACGCTAATAAGATTAGTAGACTTATTAATTGCTAAGACGTATTACATAATATACTAATATCTTCTATTAAACTCTAACTTTAAGAAGAACTTATAGAACTAGCAGAAATTAATAAATACTAACGTAAAATTAGATTATTACTGTTTGCAGCAGTTACTATATAATCTAATATTATCTTTATAACTTTATATCTTACTTATTTTCTTATTAATCTAAGTATAGAGTATTAAGAGGCAGTAGATTAGGTACTACTATATCTAAAGAAAATAGCAGATTTAGCTCTTAAGCTAAGTAAAGGTAAAAGTCTTAAAGTTATAAGTAATGCTTTATTTACAGATAATACTCTAGATAGAAAGATTTTATAGAGTTATGCTATTAAACTATTTAGCAGCCTTATCTTCTAGAGAGTAAGTAAATAAGATACTATTACTACGTTAATAATAGAAGCTAAACTGCTTACTTTCTTCTAGGTAGCTAAAAAGACTATATTTATATTATAGTTGCTAAGAAAAATTAAAATTAATCTAAGCAATCTAATAATTATAATCTATTATAATAATAAATAGACTATCTACTTAGTTACTAAAGACGTAGCTAAGCTCTAAACTAAACTCTAATACGTTAATATATAGTATTACTAGTTATAATAGAAAGTAATCTAAAAGATAATTAAGATAGAGTATATTTAGTCTAATAATATAATCGCAGATAGATTTATAAAACCTCTGCTAGCTAATAAGTAGGCTAGGTTTCTTAATTATCTAGAACTTATTAAATATAAAATAACTCTACTAAAAGATACTAATCTATAAGAGCTGCAAGACTATCTAGAGAGCCTAATTATATAAGAATTAATTAACTAGACTAGGTAGCTTATAAGAGGTTCTAAGCTAAGAGAGTATATTAGATATAACGTAGAGTAATTAGAAGGTTATAGATATAGGCTACTAAGACCTACTACTTAGCTATTAGTTACAGCTTAATAAGCAATAAAACTAGTTATCTAAACTTAGAAGAGAATATAAATAAAATATATTAATAAAAATTAAGTTATTATATTATATATTAGTTCTATTATTAAAACTCTTTAATCTAATAAAGATATTAGAGAAAGAGAAAAACTAAGAAAGAAGATAATAAAGTAAGAAATATAAAGAATAGAGAATATAGTAAAAGCTTAGTATTTTATAGTTCTAAGAAGTATTTACTATAGCTTAGCGTGCTACTTATTAACTAACTTTATCTTATAGCTATATTACTATCTATATTATAAGTAAAAGAAAAATCTTAATAATAAATCTACTAAATATCTATTAGGCTTAGTTTAGTATTAAAGTTACTATAAGACTTACTAAGATAAGTAGAATAAACGTATCTAATATATTCTATTCTAAATCTAAGCTTACTAATATAAAGTTATAAAGTAAATAGAGTATTCTAGCTCTTAGAGCTATAAACTTTAAGTAGATATTAAGGCATAATAAGTATCTTCTATAGTAAGCTTCTACTATAGTATACTAAAAGAATAGAAGTATTAGTAAGAACTTGTAAAACAACTAGAGTAGCTAATATATATTATATATATAGATTCTTTATATAAATTAATCTAATTCTTATTTAGAAGTATCTAGTAGAAGGCTAGGAAGAATTCTTACTTTACTTAGAAAGATTATCTAAGTTTCGTTATTCTTAAGTCTACTCTATAAGCTCTATTAACTATTAGAAAAGCTTATAGAGAGTTTGCTATTATTATAATAATAAAAGGTATTAGATAGAGTATAGTCTATATTATTTCTAGTAATTAGCTTCTATAATTATAACTATAGTTATCTCTAATAGAACGCTAAAGATAAGAGCGCCTAGCAGAATATAGTCTATATTATCTCTATAATTAGATATTATATAGACTATGCTACTCTAGTAATTATATATACTATTATCTATAATAGAATCTTACTATTAGAGAGAGAGAAGCCTACTATTAAAGTAACTCTATTTCTAGCTATAGAGTAACTAAACTTAGAGATAGTAATCTACTATATTAGATTTAATAGATTAGAGTTTATTAGGTTTAGTTCTATATCTATATTAAGCTTATAGAAGTATAAAAGTAAAAGAGAAGATTATAGAATAATAGTAATTTGCTATATTAGGTTTAATAAGTTAGAGTTTACTAGGCTTAGTTCTATACTAGTATTAAGCTTATAGAGAAGTAGAAGTAGAGAGAAGAATATAGAAGTAAGATTAAGAGAGCTAAGCATTTATAAATAGAGAAGATATATAGTAGAGTAATATGCATTAGCGTAGAGCCTAAGCTTAATAGAATATTAGGTAAAGTATAAAGATAGAAGAAAATAGTTTAGAGAAAAAAGAATCTAATTAACTACTTTTGCATTAAGCATAAACTACTATAATAATAGTATTATAGTTTATATATAGTATTTATAATACTAAGAAAAAGTAGCTAGCTTAGTAGTCTAGCTAGCTTAGTAGTAGAATACGTTATCTATAATTAGATAATAATATATAGTAGAGAATAGCAGAGCTACTAATATATTAGGTTCTATCTTTATAGAGTAGAAGAGATAGATTTCTTACGCTACCTTACTGCGAAACTGCTGTAATTGCAAGGCTTAGGTTGTAAGCGCTAATTATGTTAGTAGGGCAATCATCACGCGAACCCGGGCGTTGCGCGCAAGGATTCTGTACGCGGGCGCTAAAATCAAGACTGCAGTAATAAAAACCTGCATCGCTGACCCGCTATGGCATAGCCTATAGGCGCTGCACCTGCCTAGGTCCAGAATATGGCTATATTGTCTGTCATGCACTCTACAGATGTATGCACGCAGCTTTGAATCCCGGGCGCGACCCAGCGTCGGGGTTCAGTCATGCTGCAGCCATCGGACATGTCCGTGACAGTGCACGCGAGGCCGGGCTCTCCATGTAAATCGCCTTTTCCTTGTGCGGCTTCATGTGCTAAACTACCTTGGAGCTGCCCACGCGGGCCAGTAGTCGCACGTCGTCTGGAGCCATGGCGTTTTTCAACAGCCTTGTAGTGGACCATTGGCACTCGCTGGAAGGAGACGAGGGCGGAAGACGTGACGTGGTTCTGAATGGGCGCAGTCTGAAACTTGCAGACGTCGTCGCAGTTGCACGGTAAACTGTCCAGAACGCTGTCCATCAACTCTAGATACTAAGTAGAGCTAGGCTTGGCTTGTCCGCAACACTGTCGCCTGAGGCAAACGAGAGAATCTCAAGAAGCGCCGAAGCCATCCAGAAGAGTATCGACAATGGAGAGATCATCTACGGTTAGTCTTATCAAGTGCAGCACATTGGGACCGTGAGCTGACTGGGACAAAGGCGTCAATACAGGATTTGGCGGCAGCGCAGACACACGAACTCAAAAGATTGAGAATCTGCAACGCGAGATCATGCGCGGTCTGAATTACGGAATCCTGGACGGCGACCTATACTCAACACCATTGTCCCTCGCGAGGGCTGAAAGCCGAACTAAGCAGCACAATGACACAGTACTACCTTTGGACAACAAGAACAGCAACCACATGCCCGCATCCTGGGTCCGTGCCACGATGCTCATCCGTCTCAACACTCTTTCGAATGGCGCCTCGGGCGTGCGCGTGTCTACGATCCAGACCCTGTTCAAGATGCTGCAAGAGGACGTCGTCCCGATAACCCCTCTCCGAGGGAGTATCTCTGCGTCTGGTGACTTAAGTCCTCTTTCATATGTTGGTGGCGCGATGTGCGGAAAACCAAACTTATCCGTCTGGAGCAGTGGGAAGGTAACCACCGCAGACCGAGCCCTGCAAGAGAAAAACATCGAAAAGGTTCGCCTTGGACCAAAAGAAGGCCTGGCAATCGTGAATGGGACGGCGGCAAGCGCAAGTGTAGGGGCTCTTGCCATGCACGAAGCCCTGAATCAGGCAGCATTGTCACAAGTTCTGACTGCGATGAGTGTTGAAGCGCTACTTGGAACTGATGAAAGCTTCGACACCTTCTTCTCCGAGGTCAGACCGCATCCTGGCCAAGCCGATGTTGCAACTGCCGTGTCAGCACTACTGAGAGGATCGGATCTGATGCAAAAAGGCGATGGTTCGGAGCAAAGCTCTCTACGGCAAGACAGGTATTCATTACGAACTACACCGCAGTGGATCGGCCCAGTCTTGGAGGACTTTATGTTGGCGCACCAGCAAATAGTCACTGAGTTGAATTCTGTCACCGACAATCCATTGATCGATACCACGACGACCCCAAGCCAACCCAGAACGATTCACGGGGGAAACTTCCAGGCGCGCAGCATCACATCCGCCATGGAAAAGATTCGTCAAGGAGTGCAAGGCATAGGCCGCATGCTTTTCACCCAATGCACTGAGCTCATTAACCCGAATACAAGCCGCGGCTTGCCCCCAAATCTCGTCTTTGATGAGCCTTCCGAATCATATATTTGGAAGGGCACCGATATTATGATTGCAGCGTTGACGTCTGAGCTTGGTTTCCTGGCGAATCCAGTCGGCACGCATGTTCAGACTGCTGAGATGGGAAACCAAAGCTTGAATTCACTCGCACTAATTTCCGCGCGGTATACACTGGAGGCGCTTTCTGTCTTGACGCAACTGTCGTCCGCGCATCTCGTCGCCTTGTGCCAAGCGCTCGACCTGAGGGCGATGGGCCTGCAGTTCCTCGCAATGTTGGAACCGCTTTTCTGTCAGCTCTTCGCGTCAAAATTCGGATCTGATTCGTTCATAAAATTGAGACGAGAGGATGAAGCCACAACGGAGAATGGAATTTGTTGGTCAATATTCACACAGCGCCTCGCTCAAGTATCGACCCAGAACACGTCGTCGCGTTTCAAAACCGCGGTTTCGGCCGTCTCGTCGCATCTATTGCCTCTTCTCAGTCCAGAGTCGCTTGCGACATTGCAGATATGGGCTACAGAGGCAGAGGACCTTGCGCTACGGTCGTTTCATGCGAGCAAGGATATCTATCTTGCAAGTCCGGATGCCACTCCCTATGTAGGCACTGCAGCGAGGAAAATGTACGACTTTGTAAGAAACGAACTTCGCATCCCGTTTATCTGTAACGATTCGATATCCACACCGCAGGACACTATGGAGAGCGGAACAAGTTTCTTCGACGAGGGACTAACGCATCAAAGGAAGGGAATGAACATGGGCGATGTAATCACAGAGGTTTATCGAGCGCAGCGCTCTGGTGAGCTGTACGGCGTTGTTGTGGAGTGCCTGAAAGAAGCAGGACTGGGACGTACAGGCCTCGAGAAAGAATCACCAACATTACTCGCAAAGCAAGACGCAGGCGGTGCAAACGTAAATTTGAAGAGGCCGCTGGTGGAAGGCGACGGCGGTCTTGCGGACGAACATGGCGTCGAGGTCCGAGAAAGGGCGGAGAAAAGGCGAAAGAGCATGAGTGCCTAGTGGAAATGCAGGACCTGCAGTTTTGATCTTGCAAATTAACTATGACACGTTACGCTCTATGCTACTTCTCGCCGCTGTGACATGGTTACCTCACGAAATTCCTTCAGCTATTCAACTCTACAATGCGCAAGGGTTTGTAGCTCACATCATCAATACGGCTACATCAGTGGGGAACCGAAGTCTGCTCTCATGTTAAGAGAGTACCTTCCATCACTCTTACAATTACATGGCAAATGGTCAGAGAAAATGTAGTGAACAACATGGAGATTTATACAGCCTAGCCACTGCTACAAAAGTCCAAAGGTTCAACTGGTAGACTACTCTTGGTACATATACTAAAGACAAAAAGCTGTGTTTACCTGGAAGAAACATTCGAGGTTACATTCCAATCAGTCGTGACTTGCACATTCCAAACGCCTAGTCCACTGCCCCCTCTTCGATTTGGTGTCTGCCCTTTCTCCAAATCATTCAATTCTACGTAGCCCGTTCCTCTCAGGGGTGTCTTGTCCGGAACCAAAGGCCTTGTCTCTCTCTCAGCAGCGTACTGGCCGTTGTCGGAGCTCGACTCAGTGATTTCAGTATCAGTATAACTGCCTTTGGAGAGGAAAGGAAATGAGCGTTTCGAGGAACCCCCTGATCTGGAAGAGTTCGCCTTGCCGGAAGATCCGGGTAGTGTTGTTGCCGAGCCAGTAGTTATGAGCATGAGCAGTGGGCGTAACTGTGCAAGACAGGCGCAGACTACGGCAATGTTGAGCTCCACGCAGGTCCAGATTTGTGGGTAGCGGAAGACCCAGGTGACATCCGGGTCGGCAATATTGAGGTTCACGAGATGGATTAGTCTGGTGATGGAGACGCCCGTTACGCTGGTCGTCCTTAGCTCTGTGTTCCCACGAATGAGGAAATAAAGAGAGAAGCTTACAAGAACCCCAGGCAGAAGATGACAGACAACGAAATCTTTTGTTTCAGCTGCAAGTGCAAAGTCCATATTGCAGGCAGCGGTGCAGCGATGAGAAGCGCATCGGTGATGATATTGGGCACCGAGTTGCCGTAGAAAAACTTGTAAGAGTCGACTGTGCATTGCGCGGGTACAGTCTTGTCCCAGAATCCTCTTAGAGGTCGACACTGCGTAACGACGATTAGGAACTGCATACAGGGTCAGCAAATGGTCAGGTCTCAGCTGAGCGAGAACTTTCATACCACGGCAGTACACCACATTGTGACTATTCCGGCGAGCACAATGACCGACCAGCGAACAAAGGTGTTCATGTGGAATAGGCGCCAATAGAATAAGAGGATGGAGTACTTGGCAAAGGCGATTGTGCCAGTGTAGCAGATTTCAGCAATGAAGAGCGACTTCAGAAAGACTTGCACGGCTTTGGGGATATCTGTCGGGGGCTGCACGTAGATGTGTTTTCCGAAGCCATATTGTATCATCCATGTCATAGTAACCCATGATACAATGGATGTGAAGATCTATCTCTAGTCAGAGTGCGTTGCAAATTTCAGAGCTGTAACCATACATAGGCTGGAATCATGAGGTAATCGTCCCACCAGAAGCCCGCCTTTGATAACCTCCGACAGTAAAATCGCAGGACTAAAGCAATCGTCGCCAGGGCCCATGTGGCAGCTACTGAACCGATAATTCGAGGCTGTTGATTGGCTGCCAGGTCGATACCTGGAGGAAGACCGACGGCCATGGTATGTGGGAGTCAAAGGCACGAGACTAGGCCGCACAAGCTGGAATGGATGAACAGGAGATTTGGGAAAGCCTGCCGATATGATGAGGATCGGCCTGGTGGCGTCATAGAAGCCATATACGTATAGAGTTACACGACATCACGAAGCTCGTGAGATCCAGTGGTCTCATCTTTGGCTTCGGTCTCCGTAGGCAGCGTGAGCGTTGGATGCGCATTGCGTTGTTTGGCGATTGCTACTGCAGCACGTCGTCCAAATGCAGTTGTCCAAATGCAGCGAGCGCGGGTGATAAGCACGCATGTTTGGCGCAGGCTGGAGGCCCCCATATGCATTGGAGAGGCCATATGCATTGGAGAGGCGCAGAAGGTCGGACTCTCGTGTCAGCCACATGCAACCCAACTCCGGTCAAACTCCAAGTCCAACAAGAGTAGGATCCAGGAGTGGCAGGTGCCAAGATGCATTTCATCTATCAACTCCCCGTCCGCATATTCGCTGCGCCTCTGTGGTGTAGTGGCACCAAAATTCACCTGGGCAGTCGATACCTCTTGCTACGATGGTTGTTGGGTCGCCTGCTAGGTATTGGTCCACGTGCCCGCTTGTCTGATTGGTCTGGATCCTGGCAACGGAACCATAACGTTAGGATGCGACACGGCACCTCGCGATACCCTTTCTCCTCTCCTCCTGGCTGAGGGTCGAAAAAGTCCTTGTTCTAAGCGGCGTCTATTCTTGTATGCCACAACCAACACCACCTGGGCTACCCCGCAGTCAGCATGCCGCTTATTGCAGCTCTACCAACCGCTGGACCGGTGGCGCGCCATCAGATTGCCTTTCGTGCATGAAAGACGCCTTGTGTGCCTCTCTGGTCCGACCTTCACCAACGCCATGGTCACTGGTCTCCTTCTCGCTGCAGACGTAAGCCCCCATTTTTCCAGACAGTCGTGAGCAGGCGCATGCGCATAGCGAGCGAGCAAGCTTGAAGCGACATGTGGAAGGTGACGACAGCCTTGTGGCCGCGAAGCACCCAACTCCGCACGCCAAGTGACCATCGCAAAAAGAGACAGGCATAGATGGTAGGCTAGAGCGATCCCGATGCCTGCGATTCTTAAATTGTCAACTACCACAGGTACCACAGGCTCGGAAGCACAAGGAAGGCACAGTTTCGCAAGCACACCGCACCCAACAAGGCACCCAACAAGGCACCCGCAAGAATGGCGGCCGAATCCCCCTCACCAGTCTTTCTGCCCCGTCCTTTGCCGACCCTCTTGCGCCTCTTATTTGTGCTCCTCCTCCTTGTCGCACCCTCCATTCAGTCTCCACCGCCGAAAAACATGTCCAAACCAACCATTGTCCTTGTGCCAGGCGCATGGCATCAACCAGCGCACTATAGTGCCTTGATTGGAATTTTGGAGAGCGCCAGCTACGAGGTTGTCACCAAGAGACTCCCCAGTGTCGACTCCTCGACGCCTACCCAGCAGTCAGTGCCAAACGATGCAACTTTCATCGAGAAGCATTTGTTGTGTCCGCTCGTCGATCAGGGAAAGGACGTTCTATTGTTAATGCACTCTTACGGCGGCTGCCCCGGTGCCGACGCCGCCAAGGGCTACAGCAAGAAGGAGAGGACGGTAGCCGGCAAGAAGGGAGGTATCATCGGCTTAGTCTTCATGGCCGCCTTCTTGGCTAATGAGGGCGACTCGTTGCTGAGCAAGCTCCCTAACCAGGAGTACGACCCGTGGGTCGTATGGAATGTAAGCACATACGCTCATCTACCCTCCGCTGCGCTCCTGGGCAAATCGCCAGCGGATGCGCTAACCCCCTCCCCAGAAGGAAACGTCGCAGCTCAACGTGTCCGACCCCAAGAACGTCTTCTACAACGACGTCAATGACGAAGTCGCCAAAGTCGCCATCTCGCAGCTCAAACTCCAGTCTGAGCCGGCTCTATCATCGCCGAGCGGCCCACCGGCCTGGCCAGACTCTGTCTACGATGGGAAGAGGGCATACATACAGACGGCGTTGGACAACACGATTCCGTTCGTGGCTCAGGATGCTATGGTCACTTATTCTGGGGTCAAGTGGGACGTCACCAAGTTGAACACTGGACATAGCCCCTTCTTGAGTCAGCCTCAAGCTGTCGCTGACTTCGTTGTTGACCGCTTGAAGGCGTATGACTACTGAGACATGGCCACATACACGTAGATGGGAAGTAGGCTTCGAGTTGTGGTCAGCGGAGTATCTTACCGCTGCACGTAACTTCTGAAATAAAGTCTGGTTCAAATCCAAACCCTCATCCGTAATGCGCCATAAAACCTCAGTGATTGTGTTCTCAGAGACATTATCGCGCTACATTTTGGCCGTAGTATGTTAATATTCGAAACGCTTTGCCTACTCGAATCACCCCAGCAGGGGACATTTCAGTAAAAGTACCGTCATGTGTCAGAAGTATCCGAACGCGGAGCTTAGGTCACTCCGCCAATTCGGCACCAAACTTTGTAAGGCTGTAAACATGGCTATACATGTCCAAATTTAATAATTTCAAACACCATGTTCTCGAGTCCTTCAAAGACATAAAACTGAAGAATGTGCGAGAAGGTATCCTCGAAGCAGTAAATTCAATGCTTAATGCGACACTGCACAGGCTATCCACAAGGCCGATACTACATCAAACGAGCGCATGTAAAGCTACCTGGAAGTTTACATAACAAGACGGACAGACATTTCCAAGCATTTCCAAATGTTGATATAGCTCGGTATGCGGAGGTCTTGATCATCCCATGCTTTAGTAGCTCTCCGGGTAAGCCACCTCGGGCTCGCGCTTGTAGCTCTCTGGATATGCCACTTCAGCGTCCCTTTTGTAACTCTCTGGGTAAGCCACCTCGGGCTCGCGCTTGTAACTCTCAGGGTACGCCACCTCAGCTTCGCGCTTGTAGCTCTCAGGGTATGCCACTTCGGCGTCTCTTTTGTAACTCTCGGGGTAAGCCACTTCTGGCTCACGTTTGTATGACTCGGGGTAGGCTACAGCATCTTCGAAAGGAGCCATATCAGTGTTGACCTCCAGTTTTGTAGATTAGACTGGACATACCACCTGGCTTGCTGATCGGAGCAGCAGCAGCCAAGACCGCGAGCGTGATGAGGCTGATGGAAAAGCGCATGGTGTCTGTATCCAAAGTTGTGATATCAGTGAGCGTGAATCTGTCAAGTCTGTCCAAGGGTTGACACTGACGGCGGGGTGGCTGTTCAAATACAGACAAGGTCCAGCGGAAGACAGGCGTGCTTTCAATGGCGGTACGCCTTACCATCCGCTTTCACCCTTCGTACCCATGTTACACCAACACCCCAGTCATCTTTTGCGATCCCGAGACGAGGTGACTGCATCCTTCGGGGCTGAACACTTCTTGGCGTGCAATACCGTCCACTTGGGTTGACAAGATAACACACAAGGGCCGTTGCTGTGCCGGTAAGCAACATGTATGACTGCATAGGTGCGTCTGCCGCTTACAGGCGCAGTCCTGCGCTAATACCTTGCAATGGGATGTGCATAGCGCAGATAAGCGCTTTGCTTCTTCATCTGGCGCATACTTCACAGCATGGTTCATGCAGCGCCCAGCTAATCATGGGTTATCATCTAATCCTAGTGCAGGTCCAGCCCAATATCGGTTGGGGAGATTTCCAAGGTAACAAATACATATTCTGAGCTGTTGGTGTTGAAGTCGTAGGTCCAAAACAAAACTATGGTGTCGTGTAATCTCGATCGGCGACCGAGGATGAACTAGATGAAAAGTCGAGATTTCTATTCCACTGTAGTGACCCGGTGTCTGCTCTTGTCAAAGATTCTGTCTCGGAATTGATCTGGATATCTCAAAAGTTCTACTTCACCAACTTTGGGTCTTTTAGCAGAGTAACAGCTTTGACGGACTGCAAAGTCCCACCATGTTCTCCTCGCCGAAACAACTCCCATACCCGTACGCAAAGGTACCAAACGACAACGAAGAAGACCGCGACCATGTTCCCAAGACTGGAGCCTGGAAACCGCTGCAACAGGCCTTCAAGAGTAGGTGGGCTCACCATATCAAATTGGGTGCATACGCTGTCCTACTACTCCTCATGGGCTTCTTCCTGGGTTATGCATTTGAGCAACGAAATTTGGGGACTCGGAGCCATCTGGAGCTTTCAGTGCAGCCTCGTCTTTTCAAGATGGAAAGAGTATTTGGCGACAAGCCATCGCGTGAAAGCAGCAGCGCTTGGGATACCTTGATGCCTAAGCGAGGAGGCTTCTTCAATCACCCCAAAATCGCCCCAAAACGCAGTGCCTATGCCGTCTTCCATCAATTACACTGCTTGGTACGTTTTCACGATGCAGTCTTTAAACAGGGCCTGACATCTACAGAACGCTCTTCGAGAAGCCTATTGGACTACCCTCGATGCTGCAGTGTCACCCACTGCGCTCAATGTCAATGACATTCCCTTCGAGGTCTCTCCAGTGCACATGCGACACTGTATAGATCTCCTCCGGCAAGCCTTGATGTGTACGCCAGACTTGACTGTGGAAACAAAGAATGAGACGTTGGGTGGTGTGACGGGATTTGGAACTGTGCATCAGTGTAAGGATTGGAGTGAGTTGATGGGCTGGATGGTGCAATGGCAAGATGTCGGAGCGCCCAAAAGAGGCGGAGAAGGCGGCAACACACACGCACACCACCATGGGTCATGAATAGACTATGGCGATACTTTTGTATATCCCCAGATTGTATCTCTTCGGGTAGCTCAAACTGCGTATACCATTACCCACTGCAATCGCTCTCGCACCTCCATAATCGAGGGACACGCGATCACAGACAAGGTACGAGGCTGCATGTTTGTTCGCTTGCCTTGAAATTCGCATACGATTCTCCATATCTCAACTCCCTACGCTAGAAGCGGGTTCTTCAATCTGTCTAATTCCATCCGATCAATCACTCGGTACCTGCTTTCCTCCATGAACGCGTCCCAGTTGACACACGTATGTACCGATTCGCTGACGTTGAACATGGGAAGTGCAGTCGAAGGATGCCAAATAAAGGTTGTCAACGAGGTATCTGGACGACACACTGCTGACTGCCGGAGAAGCTCGATGCAATGATCTAGCAAAAGTCATTACATGTCATGCCATGCGAACACGCATGGTGAAAATTACCGACGTGGCCCTTGTCTTTCTTAGAAGCTTCTTCCGTGCTATTGCATTGCCTCGCGCGATCGAACGCGTGATGTAGCATTTTCTACATCACGCATTAGTTGACGAATTCGTACGACGGTCGAGCGGGATCCTCACAACGCAGTGCAGCTGGTGGAAAACACCAAACCAGCCCATGTAGCCTCCATTCTCAGGCATCTCGACGCTCGCTTGATGCACGCTTTCCAACTCGGCTTTGGTAAACCGCATGTTCATAGGTTCCATGAGACCTTTCCATGCTTTTTCGACGTCTTCTACTGGCTTGTCGCCTGCGAACGGTGTTTGCGATAAATTATGGAAGACCACCTCTTGCTCCTTGAAAGCAACAGCAATTGCATCGGCATGGGCTTCGTTCCGTTAGTATGGAGTATCATCCAGCAAGTTCAACAACGTACTGTGCTGTGGGGACTTGCATGTTTTACCAGTGTATGCCTTGAGCACCAAAGCAGTGACGAGAGTATAAACAAGTATCAACACTCCATGGAGGATCAAATTGTGCATCCAAAGCCTTCTATGTGAGAAACGGCTAGTCGTTTGGCCGAACTCCTTCTGCAAATCCGCCTCATCACTGCTGTATCGTGAAAGAAATGGTTCGCTTGACTCCGCTGCCATGTCAACGTTGCTCATAGTTGTGTTGCAAGTTTCCTCAGGCCCTTATGTTTTCAAGCTATCCTAATCAGCCCGACAAATTAATAGGTAGTTTATGTGACAAACCGTAAAGGTAAAGGGAAATATCCGCTACGGCAATCTTGACTCGAAATGTACTCCTGCATGCCAGAGGCTACCGAGGTTACATTAGATCGATGTTGTTGTGTGGCATTGCAAGCGAGCAGTCATACGTGATGGATGCAAAACGCATAGTTGTTCATGCATGACTGTCACTATCAATATCCCAGCATCACTCGCATAGACCGTTTGCAGCCTACCTGACACTGCGCCTTCGGGGACCAAAGAAGCCTTACGTCCCGGCGTCTCTACCTATGCGCGATGATATTGGATGACCATGCGGCGAGATAGCTCGACCCGCTTGGCTGCACAAATAGGCGGGGGCACAGTAAGCGGCGCAGCAAGCACTCCGCACCATTCTGCCAAACTCCAATCCGGCCCACATGAGAAGCTGGGTATTACCTGCATGGTCTTAATGCACTGTCAGACGAAGAAAAGGCGGCAATATGATTGGCTAACTACCTTGGGAGACAGACGTTGGGTTGGACATCCTGTCAACCGGACGTAGACAACCGGTGGCGGCGGCTACCTTGATCACGCACATGATTGCCCAACCACCCTCCTTTCCGGAAACGTTACGCATAGGAAGACGCAAGTTGGCTGTGTAAGCTGACAGAAGTATGCGTGCGAGACCAGGCCAAAGGTGGCAAATAGCTACGCTGCACCAAACGCAACCTTGGCCCCGTTCCTACTCTGCGTGCTCAACGTGTACATCTCTTGAAACTCCCAAACTGGGTCTCTATTTTCCAATGTCCCAAAAGTCTGCAAGAATCTCACAATCGTGTATGCTGCTTGTGTAATGGCCATCTGCTGTCCAATGCAAACTCTTGGGCCGCCTGAAAACGGTAGGTATGCCCAATGACCCGGCTTAAGACCTTCTTCCCACCTTTCTGGGCGGAACGTCTCTGCGTCCTCGCCAAAAAGATCTTTCCGGCGATGAAGGGAATAGAAAGATATCGAAAAGATGTCGCCTTTGCAGACGTAGATGGGCGAGGTACCGTCAATGCCTCCACCCCGGGGCAGCGTGGTGTCGCGGAGTGCAATGCGGGATGTGGTACCGATGCTTGGATTTAGTCGCAAAGACTCTGCTATGACGGCTTGAAGATATTTCATTCCCTTGAGGGATTCAAAGGTGATGTCTTGACCTGCTGGGAGCGCCAGAGTCTCTTTTCGCAGTTTCTCCCACACGCGAGGATATCGAGCAACATTGAAGAAAATATTGGTGAGTGCGACGCCGGTCGCTTCGTGTGCTGGGAGGAAAACATTGAGAAGCTCATTGCGAATGGTCTGGGTGTCCAAAGTCTCCTTGAGAAGCTCGTGTGCGAGAACGTAATGTGCGTCTACGTTCTTGTCGTCAAAGGAGTACTTCTCGGGGTCCTTGGCCACAGCGTCAACCTTCTCGGAAACAAAATCATGCACCGTCTTGCACGAACTCCAGAACCGGGCATCGCGCGTAAAGATGTTCCATTGAGGTAGTTGCATGCGTTTTCCAAGCGTCATTTGACCGTAGTTCATCGATCGCAACCAGCTTTCGTTCTTTGGTGTCGGGTTTCCGAGCATGTTCAGACTCTCGCCAAACAGCATCTCCGTCGCAGCATCTAGAGCCATGTGGGTGAAGAGAGGGCGAAGGTCCACGGTCGAACCGTCCTTGGGTATCTGATTGAGCAGGTTTTGGACGTGAACATTGAAAGCGGGAAGATCTGAGATTTCCTTTCTCGCAAACGCGGGCTTCAGGAGAGCCCTACTTTTCTCCCACGCATGTCCATCCGTGCCCATGATGCCCACCCCGATCAGCGGTTGAAAGGCGAAAAGCCTGAGCGGCTGTACTCCCCAGCTTTTGAAGTCGGTTGACATGACAGCTTGGACATTCTGCGGTTCCACGGAATGAATCTTTCGGCTGCCATAAAATTTGGATTGGAAAGTATGTCCATATTGTTCATGCAATTCGCGAGTCGAGGCATTCCGGCGATCCTTCTGGATATTGACAATCTGCTGATACACGAAATCGAGCCCAAAAAGCCAGTCCTTGGAAGGTGGCGATGGTGGCTCACGGCAGGATAGACGTCGCGCTACACGATATCTGGTGAGGAATGTACCAGCGAATCTCAGAGTGTAGAGAACGAGCAAAACGACGAAGGATATAGTGAGCTTGTTCGAGAAGAATGTCATGATTTCGGTATAGCAGCTGCGAGATAGATTCCCACAACAGTGAGTGTAAGCCTTTGTTGGAAGTCGTCGCTCAATAATGCTCTCCAGCACGTCATCTAGTTCAGCCCGCTTCACAGGCTCCAAGAGGTTTGATGCATTAGCTTCGGGGATCACGGGCGCTTGGATGGAGACGCATAGCGGCCGTCAGGTTTGATCCTTGTAGCTCCAAAATCGACCGTGCAAGAACCCAACACGACGTGCAGATTACGCTAACGGTTTGTACTGGCGCTAACGCTTACTGGCTACGTGTCGGGGAAAGCAATATACGCAATCTCGTACGGAAAAGGGAAACTTGGGAAGCAGGCGAAAAGGCAACCTGGCCAGGCTTGGGGAATCGTCAGCGCTTTTTAGCAAATGGAATTCAACTCCCATGTTGTACACAGTATTTGAGAAAATGGCATCTCAGGCTGACGCTAGCCATTCCTCCGACATGGCAGCTACAAACGACATTCTTCTGTCGCGACAAGACCAGCCGACGTCACTGGGCCCTTACCTGCTTGGACGCTCTTACTTCTCCTCTTCGCGCCTAAATTTGTCTCACTTCCTTTGGAAGCAAGTTCTCGGCTTCAACATACACCCTCACATTCCCACATCCGGCTTCAAACGTATCATCGACGTTGCAACCGGCACTGGCATCTGGCCGTTGGATGTCGCGTCCGAATACGCAGACTGTGAAGTGGACGGCTGCGATATCTCCCTGGAACAATGCTCGCCAAAAGAATTCATGCCACGCATTCGCAAGCTGGGGGTTTGGGACCTATTTGAGGAGCCTCCAGAAGAGATGCGCGGAAGATACGACGTGGTGCATGTACGATTGGTGGTCTTTGTCGTGCGCAACAACAACCCACGGCCACTCATTGCAAACATGATGAAGCTGTTGAAACCGGGTGGTTGGCTCCAGTGGGATGAGCTCGACCTTTCGGGTTCCCATCTAGAGACAGTCTCCGGCAAGGACATGGAGGCTCCCACGGCTTCTGCAGCTCTAAAGCGCGTACAAGGCGTCGGTGTGAACCATTGGGCTTCGAACCTTGCAGCGATCCTGGAAGAGGAGGGCCTCGAGAACGCGCACAAGGATGTTTACATTATACCACCGCCGTGGGTGAAGATCTTCTCCGATACGCATCTCATGGTGGAAGAAGAGATGAGCCTTCGGATGCCCGAGGAGAAGAAGCAGGCCAAGCAGAGAGAGATTGCGGCGATCAGTGAAGAGTCAAAACAGGGCACAATCATCTCAACGCCTTTGATGGTCACAGTGGCAAGAAAGCCGTTGACGCCGAATTAGATAGCTCTTCTAGCTAGATAAGATGAGACGAGAGACTGAGATTTCTTCCGATCATGAAGAATAAAGCAACGCTCTGAGGTCAAATTCCACTTTGAAGCTAATTATCCTCCCAAGGAGAGCTTGCACTTGTTCATCGTAGCCTTGTCTTTCAGCAGGGTATAAGCAGTCCTGGCGCTATTTTAAGCGCATTACAACTCCTGCAAGCCGTCCGTGCATCGGACTTTGCGGTATATATCATGCCACCCGCCACTTTTGACCAAGGCTCACCCAATGCTCGTCCAAACCATGTCTACCAGTCGCATGATTCAGCTGGCAACTACCATCTCCAAGAATGCCGAGGTGGTTGATAGCTACTTGAATTCTCGCGATTTGCCAACACCGAGCTTCGACGCCGAGTGCCCTGAAAGGCTTCTGTTCGGCCACGGAGAGGAGATTGATGGTGCCAGACAGGCAGTAGTCGACGCGACCGATGAATTGCAAGCTCTTATGCTCGGGCCGACGGGTCTACTGAGCTCGCTATTTGTATACCTATCCCCACCAATATTGCGAGATGTGGACTAATGATGCAAAAGCACAATTCGCTCCTAAGCATTCAAGCCATCCTCCGATTCAATCTTCTCGATTTCCCACCTGGTAAAGAGGAGACGACCTTCACTGAGCTTGCCGCCCACGCAAACTGTGGCCTGCAGGAGCCCGAGATTCGACGTCTCCTTCGCCACGCTATGGCATATCGCATCTTTTGCGAGCCGCGCAAGGGCGTCGTAGCCCACACGGCAGCCTCCAAACGTCTTTCGCACCCTTTGATGCGAGCCTGGCTGGGGTTTGCGACGGAAGAGCTGTGGCCGAGTGCGACAAAGACGGTCGAGGCGCTGACAGCCTGGCCTCAAGCTCAAGAACCGGAGGCAAACGAGTTTCAACTTAATGCGAGGAACGGATTCCATTTTCTTTGAGGACATTGCAAAGGATCCGGGACGAGAAAAGAGATATGTGGACGCGATGGGATGGTTTAACTCTGGCCCGGGATTCGAGCCGAACGGCCTCGTTGATGCAGTCGAATGGGGGCATTTTACGACCGTTGTCGACGTGGGAGGCAATACCGGACTTGTGTCGCAGGCTATCGCTCGTAAACACTCTGTCGTCAAGTTCATTGTGCAGGACCGTGCGGACCCAGTCGCAGAGGGCCGGGCGAGGTTACCCCAGGACTTGAAGGAAAGGATACAGTTTGCCGAACACGATTTCTTTCAGGAGCAGCCGGTAAAGGACGCGGATGTGTATTTGATGCGGTGGATCCTGCACGACTGGAGCGATAAATACGCCATCAAGATTGTGCGTGCCCTTATTCCGGCACTAAAGCCAGGTGCGCGTCTCATTCTGAACGAGTTTGTGCTTCCGCCGCAAGCTTTTGTCGGAAGCCATACGAATAAGATGTTGAGGTATGTTTACCGCGTTCTCAAGAGAGGACGATAGCTAATGCGTCGGGACTGCAGAACAATGGACCTGAGTATGTTGGAGTTGCACAATGGAAAAGAGAGGGATGCAGACGATTGGAGGAAGCTATTTGAAGACTGTGATCCAAGGTTCAAATTTGAAGAAATTATCCGGCCTCCTGGGTCGAAGTTGGGCATAATCCAGGTAGTGTGGGAGCCTTGATAGGGTCGAGAAAGGGTGTCATTTGTAGAGATAGCAGTACTCGTTTCATAGATGGGCGCTGTCCTCTGAGTTCACTCGAAGTGCGCGACAGAGTTATGGGTTCGTGTATTCGCGGAGTTATTACCAAGGCAAAGTAGTCGTAAAGAGTGCATAGGCCGCTGAGCTACGACTCACCTCCCGTCCAATCCCGTACTGTGTTGCCCTTTTTGAAGAGCCCCTTGTGGTTCATTCCTACCTGTCTCTTGTTCGGCTAGCATGACTCGCCGGGCCAAATGCGGTGCATCGCTCACGACTTTCCAATACCCAGCACGCCCTATCTTGTCCTCAGGTCTGAACTCTTCAAGCTTTTCAACAACAGACCACGTCTTCGCGGCAGAGCTCTGCTGGCGGCGTGCGTCGAAGAGTGCGAGAGATTCCAGTACCGCAGGTTCTAGCGAGGAAGAGCGTACCAACTCGGCGCCTGAGGGCGAGCGGAGACGAGCGCGAGACGGGGTCAGGAACCGAAGACACTTCTTGATGGATGTACGGCCGGCGTATGAGTCTTCGAACGCGCGCACCGCAGGTGCATGAACACTGTAGTGATGGACTCTGACTTTCTCTACAACTAGATATCCTGTCTGCACTATTGTCCCTAATTGTTCAATGCAGCGCGTTGCGGGAGACTTTCCCATCAGACTTCATGCTGTTGGAAGTGAAGTCGCATCGTGAATAGCTCAGTAGGCCTGATGTCCCAACGCATTAATTCAAGTATCAGCAGTACTGCCATCAACAACCTACGCAGTGACCACGCCGTACCTACCAGTAACACCGTCTCCCACCTCACCACTCATTCCGTCACAACATGCTTGTCGGCCGCGCAGCGCCAGGAGCTATGGCTTGTGTGCTCGAAGACGAGGGAGAGCGCCGGACATAACAACATCACCATGACAGCTGCACGCCGATGGAGCCGTGCTCAAGAAACCCCCTCAACCTGACGGCAAGCCGAGCAGAATCAATGGGGTGACTGACACTTTGGGATCTTCGGGGGGCTGCACAACTCAGACGCAATTGCGCTTCGTTGGCATTTATTCCGGGTCTGTCCACCAGGCCGGCTACTAAACCCCATGTTACTTGCCCGCAATGGTCACGCCGAAGCGCACACGAAGAGCCGACCGCACCCGCCCTCCTTGCGGAGGTTAAGCCCAGAGGCAGGCTAGCAAAAGAAAAGGTTGCTGAACTCTGGAGAGATGAGGTGGTTAGCAAGATCATGCATCGGAAGAAGAAAGAGGGATACTTCCCAGCGGGTAACGAGGCAGGTGGTAGTCCGATGAGGGTCGTGGTTCGATCTGCATGACATTAACGCGTGGAGGGGATGTCAGTGCTTGCCATGTTGAAGTCTGGAACAAGTAGTCAGAAAGCGTCATGCATTATGGCTGAGAGAAATGGCACTCACTTCGACCGCCTTGGTGATCTCGGGTTGTGGCCATGGCGAGTATGGGTTATGCGGTTCGTGGCCTGAAGAGGGCTTCTGTGGCATCGCTCGTGGTCGGGATCTGGAAACACCAACGCATAGCTATATGTGTGCAAGAGGAGTACGTGATGACGGAAGGGTCATGCTTGCCACTGGTTCAGCCTAGTCAACGTTAGGAGGATGTCTGAAGAGAAGGATGCTTGAGGGCATTGGCCTCACTGAAACGACTAGTGTGAGTGTTGCTACTTGAGATGATGTCCCTTGCTGTCGTCAGTTGCTGTCAGTGTCCCTCCTCCTGGATCCTGGAGCAGTGGGGTTGCTTTGGGGTGGTAGGCACCGAGCAGGCTTGCTCTTTGATGGTACCCACCGCAGTCGACAGTCCTCCTGGATCCTGGAGCAGTGGGTTTGCTTTGGGGCGATAGGCAGCTGAGTGTGGCCGTGCTCTTTGATGCTTCCCATCGCAGTCCAAGGGAGTTAGTGTTAGTGCTGTGGTGTTGTCGAGGTGTCGAGGGGAGAAGGGATGCAGTCTTGAGTGTGCGGCGCTAAGCCTCGATTCGTCATCGCCGAGGTTTTTTGATTTGGCGTGACGTTATGAGCGAGTAGGGAAGGCGAGCGTCGAGGTTAGGAAGGCGAGTGTTGAGGTTGGGAAGGTGGTGGCCGTGGGTGGAAGAACATCAAGACCGGCAGCAGACTGGCAATAGAAGGAAGTAGATGACTACAACAAAGTGTTCATCTCCTCTTCATGTTCTCCATCTTTGCAGTCGCAGAATGGTTAGGCGTGTGGGGGAGTGGCCGGCGCGCATCTCAACCTCTCTCTGTCCGGCGAGGCAGGCTTAACGAGGCGCGCCATAGGGGATACGGCTGCATTCGCCTCAATCAGTAACTTCACGCAAATTGTATAGTCCAGTGTAGCCTTGATGCCCTGCAGCACATGTCAAAGGTGAGCTCGTGGCTGCGCAGTACTGTTCGGGAGAATGCAAGGCACGACAGAGAACACTCAACTTGCGTCAGAGCCTCCCGATGCTGAGCCTCTTTCATATGAGCGTCACGAAGCATGCTGACAACAGGCTGGAGTTGGATCGCTGCACCTGGAGAGCACCGATATCAACAGACTCGATTCGGATGGCGCCTTGGCGCATCTACTCACTACACCGACTTTGAGCGCGACCAAATCTGGTGTTCCTGGCCGATCCCCTTCGAGAATCTGACATAACCCGTGCCATGCCCAGCTTCCCATCACCCTCGTGAATTAAGTCGCACGCTTCCGAGATGCTTCATCTGCCAGACCCGTCTGCACAGACACTACAGAAGCCCGTCGCTCCCGAGCGCGAGCCTGCATCGAAGCTCCCACAGCGCCTCTTACTGTGCTAGATAGCGAGGAGCAGAAATTGGCGGTACGACTTGCACCTGACCGAACAAATAGCGTGATAGGTCATTCGTGTCTTCAGGACGCCTAACCACAATGGCCGTGACCCGAAGTGGTCAAAGCAACCATCAGACTCCAACCTCACGTCCATCGTGATCACTGCCGCTCGCTTGTATCAAATAGGCTCTGATTCCTGCCATCGCCTCGCTCCCACGAGCACAAGTCGAGAAGCCGCACCCCATGCCCGTCTCCACCCGACCAGGACTAGTATCCAGCAATGTGCGTCCTTGACGATAAGTTTCAGAGACCTTGGGTTCGTTGGGGAAGGAGCCGAGTTGACTTTGGTTGCCCCCTGGACGTCGGACTCCCCAGCCCACCCATCACCACCACCAGACATGTGCGTGCAGCTCGCGCCAGAGCTTCAGCCGATGCGGTGATAGTCGAAGACAAAGTTGGGGAGACCAAGCCCAACAACGAAGACTACGGTACCCTCTTTCCGGATGCCGCGTTTCCGCGCCCGGCTGCCTCCGCGTTGTCTGTTCCCGAGCAGCTTGCGCCTTCGCTGATGTAGCGCCGATCGGTGAAGAAGAGGCACCTCCAGCTAGCAATCACAATTCTGGTCCTTCGAAAGACATCACGCTCTCGGCAGAATGGTTTCAAACGCCATGCGAAAGTCTAGTTGGACAGGACATGGACCATGTGGGATATCAGCTCATCACTGACACATGCTTTTGCGGCTGTTCACAGTCGCCCAACGCTTTAGACAGGTTCCATGGCCAAGTACAACCACTACATCATACTATCCCTTACCATTCTTGTTCCTCACATGGCTTAGAAGCCTACTAACACAAAATGGGGGACACGTTTGTAAGACGGACATATGCAGCTACAACGACGAGAAACGTAACCAGCACCACCGAACGATGCTTACAGAACTCGACGCGCTTCTTGTTCCTGTTACGCACCGAATCCGTCTCGCACTTATACTGCCAGAAAGCTAATCAAACTTCATAACCCGACTGCCATACCTGACTCGTGCACACCTGGTCACCACAGCGGGGCACAAACTTCATCCCGCTGCCGATGCTTTGCGTTTGTGTTGCTGCGAGAGAAGGGCTTCTGGGATACAGGAGGTGTTGGGATGGTTGATCTCCGTAGCGCTGTCGCGATTCTACTCCTCGCGGTACAGTTTGGACTCGTGCCGTTCGAGCTACGTCTGGGTGCATGCGCAACGTGTTCTCGGAAAATATCCTCTTCTCTGACAGCTCACGCCCAAGGCCCCAAGTGGGTTGGCAACTCTGACGACAAGTTTTTATGAAACTCTTGTCCTTCAAAACGCGCTCAATGCCGCATCTTCTCTGCCTAAGATTATCCCTCAGTCTCAACGTCGGCTTGCGCCTAGTTCTCCCCTGTATATCTGCCATAGGTCGCTGCGATTCCCTGTGTAGTGGTCGGTCGTCTCAGTGCTCGGTGCAATGATGATAGAATGGTAGAGCCGTCGTCCTCACGGTAAAGCTCAGGTTTGGTTTCGAGGTCACGGAGGAAGAAGAAGGCCGAACCTCCACACACTCTCGTGGCTGTTCGAGCAACTCAGCACCTCAGAACCTCAAGCCAACAGGTACGCCAAGAGCTGCATTTGCCTCAGCGCAACGCGAGAACCAGATGCAGCACCCTCCTAACGCCGACGAGAGTCCTCGTACGATATAAGACTCACAAGATCGACGCTATACGCGGCTGCACTTAGATAAAGCATGATAGCTGCTACGAAACAGGAAGAATTACAAGCCGACATTGATCGATGTCGACAAATTTACAACAGAGTCATTTAACGATTGCTATCTCACGCCAGCAGAACACCTTTTGGGGTGCGATTGCCAGTATCTACTAAGCGTGGCATCTTGCTTCCTAAGAAAAGACTCTGTAGGGATTAATCTACCGCAAATCACGAGAACATCTACAAGGGTAGTCATTGCCTTTGCGTCACTATCCACTGTACATCTAAATTCACACCTGAATTGGAAGAGCGCCACCTTCCCAGCCTGATCGCATTTCCCTCGAGTCGAAATCCAAGAGCGTAGTCTGGGGAGAGTTCCACGATCTCAATTATCAAGCAATCGTAGACAAGAGCAATGTCGTTATCACCGCATCCGTGACAGGCACCATAGATCCAGCACGAAGGTGGAAGTCCGAGATATGAAACAGAGTTGATCTTGTTATGTGCGCTTGACTTTATCTTTTGATATCGGCGTAAAGCGAGAAAACCCATCGTGGAGCACGTCAAGGATAGCATCATGGATCTTTTTGATGCCTCATATGATCCTTGTTCTCATTCAAGCTGAAAAGATCAGTGCAAGTGTACCTTTGAGTCGACTCAAGGATTACGAGTCTGATTTAAGGGGCGATCGAATACACGCGTCCTGTGCTGTAGATCGTTACTATAGTATATATCAGCACCACGAAGCAGAATATAGTCTAGAGTACGAAAATGCAGCAATAGCTGAACGACTGCTACCTTACTGATTACGCACTTACTAGGTAAGATGCTCGAAGCACCATGACGCCCCTAGCTATCGAATAGATGCTGTATACTGCGCAATAAGGAGAGCAAGACTGGAAGCGATTTGCGCGAGACTGTGTCTTAACACCTAAGTGCGAGGCATTTAAGAAACAGAAATGGATCGACTCTGGGGAGCAGAAGTGATCTTCATTGAAAGCGCACACAAACTATTTCCCCTGGTTCAGTTTTAAGAGCTGGAAGTCGTTCGCAACATACAAGATCCAAATGGAGAATGATGAGGTACTCAAGGGTTAACTTAACTTGGGAGAGGAAGAAGGACGATTCTAATAGTAAAGCCTGAATAGATACCCAACTAGTATTATGCACTCTTAGCGCAAGATGACCACTGAGACTGCTGGTAATATCAACAAATCTATCGAATACATAACTGCATCGCGTGAGGCTGCACTTAGGGACGTTTCTGACTTAACTTGTCTATATACCTTGCTATCAGATCGTTCTCACCACTGTTTCGCTACGTTGGCAAGGATAAAGTATACATGATGTTAGTAGTTGCCGACTATAGTTGCTGACCTAGGAACATCATTAGGCAGGTACGATCACTTAGCAATTGAAGCTGTACTTCTCGACGACTTCGCTTTTACTCAAGAGAACCCTGTTGTATCTATTCTTGCATTATTACTTATCCTATCTCTTGCAAGTGCACTCTACATATCTGTCACTCCAAGTACAGCCTTTCTCAGCACGGCTATGTACGAAGAAAGAGTACGACAAAGTAATAAGCTATTGTTACAGGAGCAGTACGTACGCCTATCGAAACAGGGTGAAAGGGGAGATGAACGGCTGCGAATGCCGTCTACCGAAGAACAATCCTGTACAATATTATGCGCGATAACTCCAGCTAAACTGTTCTGACTCAATTGCATGCTTCCGGGCGATTGCTAGGATATGCTTGGCCCATAGCATACTCACTGCCAACTTCAGACGCATAGCGGGTGGAGGTGCTGGTGTCAAGGACGCGGCAACGTCCGAGGTTCCGATATCCATTCCAACTCACAAATACATGCTTCGCAGCATTGAGGGAATTGCACCTACTGTATTAGATAACATTAAACGCTTGCAGAGTAGATGCAACTATCACAACGCACTTAATTCTCTTCAGAACCTGAACGATATCAATGCGGATCGGACGTGACCCTCCTTTGCACCAACCACCTGTCCATATCTGTGACGTCAGCCAGCACGTGATAGTCCCCAACTCTTTTTAGACGAGTTCCTATTCGGCCGCCACCCCATCAGGGCCCGATGCCCAACCTCTACACTACCGCTTTTCGTTGATATCAACCGCACGAAAAGTATGCTCTCACCTTCCCACCACTCCTTCCTCACTGACATCCAAGACAGTGGCCTTTCGCCATGCGTATACGCCCAAGGAGAGGGCAGGCGGGTCTGCCGCACTCACTTCGCAGCCTGTCCCTCGGCACGCCTCGGAATGATATAGCTATATACGAGCCAAAGCAGGTATGTAGTCACCTTCTCACGCTGTTCTCTCACTTATGTCGGACCACTAGTGACCCACGAGGGATCGGCACGCTCCCAATCGAAAAAGTCGAGCAGACACAGCATACACTCCCAGAACAGGCATACGTCATTGCAACACTGGAGTCACAAGTGGTGGAAGAGCTAGCAGCCAAACGGAGGAAGCTCAACGATACTTGTGCTCGGGCGCATCCTGTTCCCTCACTTACAAATCACTTACAAGGACGACCAGGAGTCACATGACGCGCTTCAGCGGCGCTGCTATGCGCCCTAGCCTTCCATCTTCGTTATTCGAGAGGCGGCGGTTTGCCTAGGAGAACCTCGCCTGGCAAATTGGACTTTGTCTGGGCAAAGGTAAAGTCAAGGGCAAGATGCAGAGGCCCAACTGGATTACTCGATTGGCTCTGCTGTCATTAATCAACCCTTACTTCGACTTACTTCTCAAACACTAATGTCACTTTGAATTGCAGTCATTCCACGATGTCTGCTGTCATGCAAGCCTCATTCGCCCGGCGGTAAACCCTCTTCCACCCATGGATAAACCTCTCTCACTCTTAGTTGAATCTAAATCACCAAAACCTGGACACAGTCACAATCCGCATAGCCTGAAGGCCTGCAAATTCAGCGGGAATCGCCCGGACCAGAATGTCTGAGGGCTTCTTGGAGTGAACGGAGAGAAGGGTGGGGACGACGGGAGAGGCAGTGGGCTCCGCGTATCTGGTCGTCATCGCCGTTGATGCTGCCGACGATGGTGAGGCTCGCTCCTCGAATCTGTACGCACATCAATGTGATGATGCTACTGTTGTCTGAGAGACATATTTTCCCTCGCTGGATAGACTGCTAGGCACTAACCAGTGTCATAGGCTCAGCACAACAGCCGAAGCCAATTCGGGAAGTGTTGTGGCATCTCCCGTGGACGGGAAGGACTACGTTGTCCACTTACCTATCCCACTGACATGCGAGCCCGACAACAGCAACATCAACAACATCAACAACGTCGCGCAGAAGGATGTGGACACACCACGCAGAGTACGGCGCAAACGCCGCGTCCCTCGCCAGCCCGCACATACCCCAGCCTCCGACCGCTCCAGCAACAACACCTTCCTCATGACTGCAAGCCGTTTTCAGGGCCACCGCTCACCGTCGAGGGCTACAAGTCAGTAATATGGTCTTCCGTAAACGCAGAGGCAAAGTCGAATCGCGGCCGCGACCGTGCCGCGGGATTCCCTGGTGTTGGTTTACGGCATGAAGAAAGATCGTTCTCCCAACTTGCCAGCCCTACTGGTCACCGCTGGGTGCTACCGCGAGTTGTTCAATGGGGAATTCTGCGCCTACGCCTGCCCAAAGATCATGGTCGCACCTTGCGGGCATTGGTGCTGGCCTTTTTCTGGCTTTCGGCCAGTCTCGAAGAGCGGCAGCGGTGCACTTTGCAATTACAGCCGAGTTCTACAGGTACATCTACGTGTATCGAAGATCATTTGCCCTCCCTGTTGTTTGTTGCGCGAATCCGCTAAGAATCCCTACCAGTACCTTTCAAATTGGAGCAAGAGCGGACCCTTGGACAGACTGCATGTCATCGTTGGAGAAGCGGACACCGGAGCGCGAGGGCAGTTGCACGCACCGCTACGGCCACAGTGCAGCCGCGCCGCGCCCAGCACGAACAATGCAATATGGTCTGTACGAGCTCAACTAACCGTATAAAGCGCGCCGGAAGTGCATATTGGACTACACGAAAACGCGCCGGGCAGAGGGAGACACTTTCCGTGTGTATGCGCATCTTGTACGTTCAGCTTTCTCACGCGCGCGCTCGACGAGTATGGCCGGGAGACAACAACAAAGAGACAAAGATGCCGGTGAAGAGGAGGCAGGGAAGCCTATGCTGGACAACATGTCGAGTGGAAAGCGCCTGCCGGAGAAGAGATGGCTAGTCCTCAGCACAACGTCCGCTCCAAGGAAGAACAGTCTTAATTTGATGCCGCTTCAACGCCGCAGGCACAGGAATATGAGGAAGCCTGCTAACCGTAATGGACGATCCTGCGATGTACAAAAAGCGCTGCACGCCCGACCTCGTACGCTTGTGGCACGAGATCAGCGCTTGCAACAGCATCTGTCAAGCAGTCTCATCGAACTAAGGACTCAATGAAGACGGGAAGGCCTGTCAAGGACTCCCATAAGATTTGGGACGTCGTGGTCCACCCGAATTTAGTCATCTCGAGTGAGGCATGCTGGAGGTCGAGGTGGCGAGGCTCAGTTGCGTTGACGTCGTAGTCGTCGACTGGTTAGTGAGCTTGCCTGGCGCTGTCAGTATCAGTGTGCGGCTTCCACCTGTTAGATGGTGGATACCAGAGATGATACTCGCCCCTCGCGCCTCCACATGCTGCGCTTTATCGATGCTGCGGTGCAGCGGACTGGGGGCACCGGCGCACCGGCGCGTATGGCTGCAAGGTGTGCGTCGACTTCGTGGCGGTGGATGTAGGGATGGGCCTGGGCGCGGGGATTTTGGGCCGCTGCCGCTGCTGCTGCGGGGGCGGGAGTGGCGAGATACTATCTTTTGAACATGTGTGCGGCAGCTTGTAATGGCAGCGGGCTTCTGGGACGGCCTGGTGCGAGGACTGGAGTGCCAACCCGGACGATAAAGCACTTCATCCCCTGCGTCCTTCACTGTTCCAGCGTGAGTAGCCATTCTGTGACCAATCGCAAGTGCTTGGTTGTGTGTTGGTTGCGGCAGTGTTCATCGTGTATGCATGCTCAGGGTACGTCAGAGTATTGGGGCTTGCAAAGTGCGGCGAATGTACGGCATTGTGGCTGGCAACCAGGCCCGACGCGACGAAAGCCATAGGGGTTGGTCGCGTCCTAGAGTTCGTGGCGAAAGCGGAGCTTGTCAAAATGTCCTGTCACAGTCTCCTGCCAAAGCGTGAGCTGTCGAACTGTCATGGCCATGCTCCAGATGCAGCGTTTCCTCGTCGAGAGCAGTGTTGCGAAAAGAAATGTCGGAGGGCAGATCACGTGCGGTGTGCTCGGCGGGAAGGAGGAGGCGTCGACGACGAGACGTGTGGAGGCAGCGTGGAGGTCGCGCGCGTGATCAAGTGCATGCGAGCCTGCGCAAGACGACGGGAGTGTGGATATCGAAGGACTATGATGCGGGCTGACGCGTCGCGTCAACAAGTGGAGCGTGTCGCGGCATCGAGCAACAGCGGGATTTGGTCGCGGAGAGAAGCCCTAGCTCTAGCCTAGCGGCAGCGCCAACGACCCACCATATCATGAGCCACTCGTGCCACCCCCAAGTACTCCTATGCCTTGTGTGAGCAGCTCCCCTCAGATGCGCGACCAACGACACGTAGAGAGACGTAAAGCTAGCCAGCGGGCGGTGGGGGCCTTGGTGACCATGGCAGACTGAGCCGACACTCTGTAGCCAGGCGAGCGATGGTTATTCAGAGGGTGACGATAGATAGCGGGACGTCGGGCGTGCGAGAATGAGGTCGGGGTTGAAAGACGGGCACGCTGTCGTTGAGGGCACGGACTGCAGGTGAAGGTGGTGATGGTGGGATGAATGCTTCGTGCTGGTGCGCAGCGATCCCTTCTCTGGTTTCACACATTTGCGGGTCTAGGCGTGTAGGTTTCCCTCCAAGTGAGGACCTGCTCAAGTAGCGGCCGAAATCGTGTACCAGTACGGCTGATGCGAAGGGCGAGTGACCTTTTCGTTGCCAGATTAGCCACGTTCTCCTTTGCCTGAGGCGAGCGGGAATGTGAGGCAGATTCCGCTCGACTTGGCGTCACGATAAAGTCGTCATCGCGAAAGCTGCGATGCGAATGATGGCGAGAGGGACCGCGCCCGATATAAACATTCGGGCTGAGCGGCTCGTGCCGAGAGTGACGGGTGTTTCGAATTGTACAGCCGCCGAGCGAAGGATGGTACGAAGTTGATGCAATGGGAGGGCATCTGCAAGACGTGTCAGTACTTTACATGCAGTGGTAGTGACGGCAGTGGCTCCTTCTTGGGCGGACGTACGTTGAGGACATGTGACCTTCACTTGTTAGCGCGTTGGATGTGCCATGTCGTCGACCTTTTCCGGTGATGGCACCAGAGCTGCAGTCCCCAGGAAGCTGTCAACGAGTGCCTGCCCTGAACCTTCTCCGTCGCTTCAGTGTCCGGCTGCCGCGAAACGCGTGTACATATCTCCGTCTCTTGTGCCAGGAGAAGGTGTCGTGCGCAGCGCGTAGGCGGCGGGCGCTGCGATGGCGGGATAATCGCCCATTACATCTGAATCGTGCACCCTTTTGACATGACCGTTGCAATGACAGTTGAAGAAGTCCAGAAGTCACGACTATGCACTCGGCACCATCTCGGCCGATGAAGACATGAATAGAGGGAATGGAGTGAGACTCGAGGCGTGTCGTTGGTGATTGTCGCAATCGACTGCAGGTACCAGTCGCTCAGCCCTGGTCATGCGCCTATCGCAACGCGTACCCGCCGCGTGCGATTGATGGTGAGTGGCAGGGCGCGGAGATGAAGCAGGCGCGTCGGGCGTTGCGCGGGGTTCTCGCGAAGCAGACGCGTCGAGTGCGTTTTGCGATTGCACCATCTGTGCCGGCGTCGGCGAGGCAGGGCGAGGCAGCACGAGCATCAAGCTTCTCCGTCGCTGCTCTGAGATTATTGCCACGATCCTGATCGTGGCGACCTACGAGATGGCGGAAGTGGGCGAGCCCGATGAAGCTCGCCTGTCATGTTCGTGTCAAGGGTGGCACGGGGCGCCTTTGGGTGGAGATGCTCGAGTCGCAGTCGCTATACGAACACCCAGTACCTGTCAGGCTCATTGCGGACGCTTAGCAGGACTTGGGCAGGACAACCTATGCTCCGTGACACAACACTGCAACAGAATTATGGTGTCGCAAGAAATCATTCCTAGATGTTATCATACTTGCGCTGCTCACGCACCGACGCGACCTACCACTTCTACTTCCGTATCATGACTCTTCAACTTCTCGCTAACAACTCTAGCGCGCTACAAGGCCACTGGTATCGAACTCGCTAGTGAACGCTTTCCGCCATGTCTGCACCACGAATCAGACCCAAAGGCTCTCGCGGAACCCTTCCCCGGCGCCGCTCCCGTAGCGCGGACCTAAACAATGCGGACCATCACACTCCCTCCTCGCGCTGTCATTCATACGAGTCAGCCAACATACTTCCACTGTCTTTTACTCATGGTGGAAGGTTCTAGATGGATTTGGGAAGGCTATAGACTCGACGTCTACTTTGCCCATCTACATTGGAGGCTTCCGATATCGCAAAGTGGAATTGTTCGGCAGGGAATTGGGTTATCGCATCATATAGACGCACGCAGAACAGATGTATGGTCGGACTGGCGATCCTCACAACACTCCTCACTGGGCTGTTGGACCTCGCGGACACACCTTCTCAATACCCCCATACCGCAGGCGCCTCGCAGTTGTCGCTTGAACCTAGCTGGACCCCTCATCGCCCCCGTTCTGGTCATCAAAGTTGGGCAAGTTGGGCGAGGGTTACATTCGCTATACAGGAGCTTCATCAAGAGGATGGAAATGGTAAAGCAGAAATGGAATCAGATTCATAGCCTCGTACCCTGGCGGCAGAGACGATAGAAACGGGCCAGTAGAGTACCACAGGGAAGAGATGGCCAAACTCGGCCTTTGCTCCAACACATCCAGCAGATCATGCAAGGACACTCCAAAATTAGACTACTATAATAAGATAGCCGTACGTGTTGTACACATACTCCTTGACGAGCGTGTAGCCACATCAGCCTCGTGCTTTAATCACATGACAGTGCAGAGATTACGATGAAGAGTAAGCTTGATTGGAACTGAAAAGCTAACGATGGCTAGTCTCCCCAACGTAGAGCACATTCGCCGAATCAGGATCATCTTGCATTGTCTTCGTGTGCTGCCTTGCCGGTCACACCAACGGTATTCCTTGGTCCATACACGGATCAATTATGCGCAAGAGATAACTCGGGCCATGGGGCGGCAATAGATCACCTCTTCCAGCATGGAGTCACTGTTCCGAACTTGACACGTCTGTTGAGCGGCGTCGAAGAGCAGGCTTCTGACATGCGGGAGCTGATCAATAAGCTGTCAGGCATTCACATCGTCCCAGTAAGTGCACCCTTCTTGTCAAATTGTGCTCGCAGTGTGCACGCTTCTTACCGGCTCTGGTTAATCGCCTGCAGTACCATGTCTGCCTCCACGAAGCTTGCGAGGGCGAGGACTTATGCGTGCCGCTCAGCGTGGCTCTACAGCTAGAGAAGGAGATCCGCGGCCCAATTCTGGATTATCAAATGCCCAAACTTGTCGCAGATTTGCCAAACGGTGGCGGAAAGCGCCTGACATCTACATCTGAGTCATACACTGGTGGTGCTGCAATTCATGCAGCCCCAGGCCTCAGTGGTATGAAAGGATGGAAGAAGTTGATGACCGCGATCCAAAAGCCTGACAAGAGCATGCCGATGCTAGGGCGGAGGCACTGCGCAACTGGGTGTGGGATGACGGGGGTTACATGCCTCATGGGCATTGAATCCTATCCACTATTCGTGCGTCTGTGTACATGATCTGCAATACATGGCTTGCTGTTGATAGCATAGCAGGCTCCTACGCATCATCATCCAGCACCCTTTCTCTCGCTCCGCCACCCATTCAACCACTATTTTTACCTAATCTTCCCGTCATTAACTGCCTTAATCTTCGTTGATCACGCGTTACCGCCGCCCAAACCGTAATGTACGTTTCAATATACCAGTCCAACACCACCAGAACGGGTATGATAAACGCGAGAGCCAATGCACCGGTAGCGTTTTCAGATATGACAGAGATGCGCGTGGAAGTCTGATGAGCGCGTGTGGCGGAGTAAAGAGACGGACGGACATGAGAGGGCGTATCAAGTAGATGCGTGTGAACAAGTATCCAAGTAGTCTGTAGACTGGTAGTGTTGTCTTCTTGGCTTTCAGAAGTCGTGGTATATCAAGACAATGATACCTTTTCTCGATCTTGGGTAGCTGCTTGGTGTTGGTCAAAGGACCTGGAGTAACTCTGGCTCGATTACAATAGGGCAATGTCTTTTAGAACCGACTTTGGAGCCTGAGGAGATACAGCAGAGGATGGTGGAGTCGCTCTCTGAAGAAGATCAGTAGGATCTTGTTGCATGATTGGCGTGAACGTTGCAAGTGGCATCTGAGACTGGACAAGATGACTCGTTTGGCGTGATGGATTGAAGCACATTCTCAGCATAATATCTTGGCCTCAGATCTACACCCTCGCTGGAACAGCTTCCAGTAGCTTTATTTTAAAGTGCACATTCGTGAGTCATAGTGGGAGAAACGTTGACCAGATCCTTGAAGATGGGCGGACGCCTTGTAACAAGTATAGAAGCTTTCCATTTGATCTGATTCAACAGTAATTATCGTCATATTGCGAGTATAAGTTTTACAACGCCACCTCCCAAAGGGTAGATGAGAACATGGCAAGCTAAGTTTTAAGCCTTAGAAGATATTTCTACCCGAAGCTGAGTAATTGTGTAGTGTGGCCCGCTGGTTGACCATCTCCTCTATGTATCAATACCTTCCTCCTCTCCCCTTCCAATATCCGCAACTCCTCCTACTCTTTCGTGCTCCCAACAAGCTTGAACAAAAAGAGATCTTGCCTCGTACCCTTGATAAGTAACAACGTCGTAGGGGGAAGCCTCAAGTGGGTTTGAACGAGGAAGAAAAGCTGCCTCCTTCTTTTGCATGTTAGACGGAATTATCCTTGTCTATCGCTAAAGGAAAGAGTTTGTGAAAAATTCTAAAGAGGACAAGAATGTACTTGATCGCTGTTGGATTCGAACCAACGAGCCCTCCACACCCGCAGAGAGTAATGCCAGGTTTCTGACCGCTGCACCAAGCGACCGGGAGCTATCAAGCGTGGGGGAAGCGGCAGGCGCGGTGGCGGCGGCGGCGGCGGCGGCGGGAAAAGGGTTCACTGGTGCTGGGAACGGATTCAGGGCCTCGTACTTGAAGGCTAGATTGCATTGTGACATATACCAAGAAATTCCCTTGGGATTGGCCAGGAACTTGTTTCCGTGAGTTCAGACAGTATTCGTCCGCGGAAGATTTGTCGAAAGACGGGCATGGATTCCTCCGGGCTGTGTTTCCGGGAGGCCAAAAACAAGGTCTTGATAATCTGCAAAGATATGCCAGTCATCGTGTACATCATCTATGTTGGTGGAGCAACGTAATGCAGCGAAGCAATGATCCACACCGTGTAGCCTCGTTGATGTCACCATGGCGCTACCAATATGGGCGTTGTTGGCTGCATTCTGAGTTTTGGAGATGCATGGTACATTGGACGCTTGTGCGTTGTACCAAAGCGGTCAGTGTGGCGTCCCGATTGCCGGTGACCAAGGACAGCTATCCCTGAAGAGTCAGTGTTCTTCGGTATTCTCAAGATTTCTCCCTAGCTGCAGAAGGTCGGATTATAAGCAAGGGCAGCAGACTCACACAGATCTCTCCCGTGAGCGGCATGCCAACTCCATCGACGTTTTATTGTCATTATGGCATAAGTAACGTTCCATCTGAACGGGCTCATCGCCATGAGGCTATGTCCTTTAACCGCTGTTGTGATCAGCCATGAGCGGGACCGGGACCGGGAGCCGCCAATGAGTTCAGCGTCAGCTGTGTAACGTCGCTTGCGAGCATCCACCAACCAAAAGACTGTTTCTATACGTAAGGCTTGCAGTGGCATCATGCAACAACAACTGAATTTTCGCTATAAACTCAAAACAGTCGTTCGATGGTCATGAGGCTTCAATCTCTACGTCAGGCCTCCATTTCTTTCTCTTCGGTCGAACACTGAGCAGATATCCCTTTCCTACAGAGTTCGAGCTTCAAGGGCATCAATAAACAACACAAGACCAATACCCTAAAATGTCTTTCAACGACACTACGACAGACTCCTCAACCGGAGCAATTGACCCAAGCCTAAACTCGGATACACTTGCCGAGTCTACCAAGAACAAGTCGAAGCCGTGTTCATGCGGTACGACACCCGAGCCTGCGACAACCGAACAAATCGACCCTTCCAAGATCTCCTTTCCCACAGAAAGACAACCATATTGGAAAAATCCGGGCGTGATAGTGGGTACTGAGAATGATGTCCAGCATCTCCCCAACGGTGGGTGGCACATCAAGAAGGGCAAGTACCTGTTGTATCCTGATGGAAGGATTGAGAGATGAGGCGAAGCCGGAGCATTTTCGGTGTGCTTCTGTGCCAAGCGAGGCTTTCCAGTCAGCTGGTGGAGCGCTGGTGGAGCGGGTAAACAGTTCGGAAGTTTATTTTGGAACAGGATATACATCATGTCACTTTGGACGACGCCTTTTCTTCCTCTCCCTCTTCTTCGATGGGATAGGATTTTTGTAGCCTAATAAGCAGTGGCGTAACTACCCGAAAAGTGATCGCATGTGACACGTGACCATGAGCGGAGTGAAAGGAGCGCCCGCCTTGGCGGCGTTAGAGCGGAGGTGTCCGTTTTAGCCTCCTCGAGTTCGTCCCTCCAAATGCTTGGCTTTGTTGGTTCGAGACATTTGGTGATGCTTCCTCAGGACGATTTCGTGCAGCCCGTGGCTTGAGCGCATGACCTTGACCGTGATGGCACCCGGGAGCTCGCACAAACGAGGTTCCAACACCATGTCTGCATTCCTTGCCCTCGCCCCACACAAAGCCGGCCATCTATCCATCATCATCCATGTTCTGATCGCAACCGCCCGCCTCACACGCGCACGCGCTCGCGCTTGCGACACTCATCTGTCATCGCTTTGTGAGGACACCGTGTTTACAGAAAAGCCCTGATACGGTACAACAACGTGCTAAGGGTTCGAAAGCAGGAAGGATGGAGCACCAGAGCAATACGCGTAGCCTGGGCACATTCGAGCGCGTCCATCTTGTCAAGGACCGTGATGCAGTTCACGGTCCGCAGTACGCGAGTGGACGGCTTTCGTTAATCATCAGCTTGGGTGCACGCTGAGGTCGTGCTCACTATTCGAAGACAATCGACGCTCATACTGAGCTCGCATCCCAGGTACGATTTGAGCGCACGAAACGGCGTTTTGTGTTGCCTATTCCGTCGTCATTGCTGCAGGGGTCCGCACAAAGTCACATCCGACGAAGCAAACAAAGTCGAAGCAAACAAAGCGGAGCCCGCGGAAAGTAACAAAGAGGCTGCTATTCCCACTTCTCCCTCCTTGGAAACTCCTCAACCTCACTCACCCTGATCCACTTTGTCTGTCTAGATTGACAACTCCCAATCCTTGCCAACGTCACGACATGGAGGCGGAACCAGAGCCAGCAGAGCCTCTTACCGCCAACCAGAAATCCATCAGGGCCGCACTCGCCCAGGAGAATCAGCGATGGATGCACCAGTTCAACCTCATTGACGAGCAGAACAACCGAAGAGGTGTCGAATTCACGGCAACAGAGACCTTTCGGGAAAGAGACGGACGCAGGCTCGTTGTCAGGCAGTTTACGAAGAAGAGGACGAGGAGCTCGCCCGCGCCAACCACTTCGTCAGGACACGCTCATCCGGCTCCTACACGTGCTCAGAACGCCCGCAACATGCAGAGCAATCAACCTCGCTTCGACTCCCTGCGCCGTGTCAGAGACAGCGCAGTACAAAAGCTTCGTCGTGCGAAAAACACCACAGTCAACAAGCTTCGCCCGGCGATGAACACCACAGTCAGCAAGCTTCGCCCGGTGATGAACACCACAGTCAAAATCCTTTGTTGGACAGGAAATCTCGTAGACCGCTTGATACCAGAGTCTCCATACGTTTTGGCCGGCATCAATGTTGCACTGGCTATTGCGATCGCGTACACGAACAGCAGAGCAGCGCATTACCAGGCTTTGCTGCCGAGTCCTCCTGCAGAATGACGAGATTGACGGGGAGGATGGGGATTCGGTCGAGGAGGACGAGGCTAGGAAATTCGTTCACGGAGTTTTGTTGTGGAAACGTGGGATGGAGCGATCAAGCATCTGGAGTGTAGACTGTATTTGGAGGGTTTGAAGAGATGTAGAAGCTATGAAACAATGTCAAGACGTGAGCCTCATCGCCGCCGTGCGTGTTGTATCAAAGGGCCTCGCGCTCAGACTCCTCTCTCTTCGCTGTCATTGAACGCCCGTCATGGGCCGACTTCATCTTCCCTCTCTACTCCTTATTGATTTCCTCCCATCAGAGAGCCCTCTTTTCTCCCTCAACATGACTTCCTGCGAAAACTGCCCGGAGACACTTACCCCAATCGTCCACCAAGTGCAACACTCTCTCCCCTCCTCCTGCCCCGCTCTTTCATTCCCTTTTCCCTCAAATCCCTCCAGAGTCCTCACGCCTTCCTCCAACTGCCCGCTAAACCCCACCTTCTCTTCTCTTGCCCACCCAAAGCTTTCCTCCTCCCCGCCGGCGACTAAAGTCACCCCTCTTGATATAGGCGGAGGGTGTGTAAAGCCATTTTGGGTTGACGAGAGTGCTAGGCAAGCCAAACTCTTGATGTGACCTTGGGATGCAAGTATGTATTAGGAGTGAAAAGAGGGATGCGAGAGCGGAGAGGTAGGTTTGGAGGGAAGGGGATGTGAGCGACCCGCGATGTGTCAACGATATTGGCAGTGCGGTGTCTGCTGTTGCTGATGGCGCTTAATGCGGTGTTAGGCAATGCAGTGGTGAGGCAGAGCCGAGCATGCAAAGTCTGCCGACTGGCCATGATATGATGGACTACGAGAGCGCCGAACTGCGCCTACTTGTTATGTTCCGCCAATCACTACAAGGTGTTCCGGCACGAGGTGTTTGGCGTCCAAGTTGGGGATTTTGGAGAGCGGAACTGCGACGTTCATCGCAATCTTGTCGTGCCCTACCTCTTGCATCTCGACTTGGATCTGGCGCGACAACCGCAGTGTGTCGCCCCCGATCTTGGGACGATCGGCTATTGCGCTTCGATGGTGTTGAAGGTGCAGTTGGCGGCGCTATGAATCGTTGGCTACATAGGTTGGCCGTAGTGACCGTTCATTCGAATATCGGTAGAAAGCCTCTAGCCATGCTGTGGCCGAGGGCGTGGCTTCATCGTGTGTATGGGCCTTGTGGGAATGTCGCGCGCAGAAGTGGTGATAGAGCACGGCTGTTGAGAGCGCGGCGTCATGGAAGGGGTGGGATCACTCTCAGTCGGCACCAACAGACCTTCCACGACAGCCACAAAGACATCGCAATGAAGCTAGAATGAATGTGGGATTTCTGAGACGAGCAAGATTGCGAAGCGAACTTGCTTATCACGGTCCACCTGGCGAGACGGCTACATCCAGACAGCCTGCGGGCACGCTCGAACTCGGTATCTCCGGCCCATTCAGGAGAAAGCTTGAGTGAATCTCATTGTCCTCAATATTCTAGTCCCGTCATTAGGTCTTCCGGAAATCCATTGTCTGGAACTGTCCATCCGTCGTTGATCCTTGAGCGAAGATGAATGTTTCGGAGGATAAAATGCCTCACAAAGCCAATTCTCTAGTCCTGAACGCTACCTAGCGACTGAGCATCAACATTTCCTGGGCTTTGGAGAAGCTGCACCCTTCGCGGATGCAGCCAGAATAACGAACTTCTCTAAACGACACAAGATATCAGCATTACCACCACCACCATCAACTCCGACGAACCGCCGGCTACTGCCCTACAATGAGCCGGACTCACCGTCGGCAGTCTAATTCTTCAACCATAGCGACATGGTTCACCATGATCTGATCGAGATTTCTGTCCAATGCACTTGTGCAGCTAGCCCTTCGACTGCGGCCACTTTCTTCGCCGCAGGTTTTTCGACACCGGATTCTTCGCTCTTAGATGCGGTCGTCTTGATGGCAGCTCTACGACCACGAGTGATGTAGACTTCGGCACCTCAGCGACATGGACGAGCTCTTCAGTGACCTCGGGTCAACAGACCTCTTGCTACGAGCCGAGCATATGGGAGCACAACTGGGGCGGGCTCGGCTCTCGTCATGGCCTTCTCTCTGTCGCTTCGCTCATCCATCCTCACTAAAGTTGACATGCTGCATGCATACAGGCGACTCACCATGGTTGGTTCCAGTGGTTCGTCAATGGGCTGAGGTACTTGCGGTGTACGGTTGTGCCATAGCATATCCCCCATCTCGTATAGCTCGTCGCTGAAGTCACTGTCGTCATCCTCATTCACCCATTTCGAAGCCGCCCAAGATGCCCATACAACATGCATGCTCAGAAGCCGCTCGAACGCCTCTTGTGCAACCGAAACTCCAGCTCTGGCCGTCTACCAATCGAGCAAGGAGATGCAGAGGGTCTCGCAAAGAGCATGTTGCATGCGGAAACAGAGGAAGCACGGGCAAAGGACGCAGAGGAGGCCGATACGAAAATGCTGATGGAGACACAGAAACTGGGCGGTTATCCGTTCGAGCATGCGTTTATCGATGCGAAGGGCTGGAAATTGCCTTTGCCATCTGCACCAGGCGTGGCGACCACGCCCTCGAGAAGACGTCTTGACCGGAGTGCCCGTAACTTCTCGTCGGCGGTACCACCAGCGACTTGCTAACAACCGCAAGGCTGTCAAGATCTACGAGCCTAACAACTGAATGGTCCGAGAAGCACAGCAATTCCGCAATCAGGCAAATAAGTACAAAACCTACGTTCAATATGGTCTCCAGCAGGCTTTTGGGACGCCATTGCCACGTCAAATTTGCAGAGGGAATCAAGCGACGCTCAGCGTGATCGTGTTCTTGGGCAGCTTCAGAAAGACTCTCTTCGATGCACCGACCCTGCCGATCTTGGTGAGATCCTTGCCGTCAATATCAGCCTTGACATTGGGGAACTGTTTGGGTGGGATCAGGCGCTTTGCTTTTGCTGGCTTGGACGCAGCGGCAGCAGGTGCTTCCGATCGTGTGATGGGAAATGGTGTGTCGGATGTATTCAGCGGTCGTTCACCATACCATTACTGGCCGCGTATTTAGAAATCGCGGTGGTCTTCCGTACAGCTGACGGCTCCGAAGGCGTTGGTGGTGTGGTGGGAATCAGAACAAAATCCACGAAAAGTCCGACGCCTCCTTCGCGATTCAGTCACATATCCGCGCATTCATAGACGGGAATTTCATCGACGCCGGATCGATTGTCCCGTGCACTCGCCTCAGCTGCCTTTGGTCTTTGAGGCGCGACGTGAGGGTCCGTCGTTCGCTGGGGGATGAAGATCCGCTGTAGACGAGTTTGCGACATGGGTGCGTATCCTGCAAGAGAACGCTGCGGTTTCTAGGACAGCACCGAGCCAACAGTGACATGCGAGGGTGCGGAGGGCTTTGGGCGTTGGGGAAATGCGGTGGAGTCGGAGGGGAAGGCGCTAGCAACCGCATGAGCCACGGATGCCGAAATACTTCTCACCAGTCTTGATGCATGAGGGAGGTCGCTTCTTTGGCCTGTGCACCATCAAAGCGGATATATGGGCATCGTTGTTGATGGCTTAGTCGTTGATGATGGGTGAGTCTGCTGGCGGAGTGACTGGCCATGACACGAAGAATGCGTCAGGAAAGGACGAGAGCAGAGCCACAGTGCCGCTGCCCCTCTCAAGCCGCCGAAGTACTTGACACCGGTCTTGGTGAGTGAGCGCGGTTACTTCTTTGGCCTTTGAACAATGACTGTTTGCCAGGAGGTTGGAAGGAGAGGCAGCATAGGTGCGCCGAGACGATGAGGTGGGGTGTCCCTGCGAGGCTGACACTGATCTCCCGCTACAGATATCGGCTGCATCAGCAAGCGTCACTTGCGTTGAGCGCCATCTCTTCTCAGCCTGCCATTCCATCCATCGCCGACAAGCGCGTGCGACGATGAAGACGGCAAAGGGCACTAGGTATGCTTGAACAAAGACGCGCGAGAGGACAAGGCCTCTCTCACCAGACGATAAGGCTCACACGGAGTCGATCACCTCGACCGATGGCAACACTCCCAAAGGTTCTCCTACATGGCCTTGGACGATTCGTCGTGCTCGTTGGGTTTGAGCGAAGATGTAGACGAATGGACAGTATTGGAGAGTTTCCGGAGATAAAATCGATCCCAAGTGGAGTCAATCTTATCTCCGGCCACAAAACATAACCCCACTTTACAATGCGTGACCGCGTCTTCCAGGCGTCTTCTACGCGTTTTCTAGGCGTCTTTCAGGCGTTTTCTAGGCGTCTTTCGGGCGTCTGGGCGTTTTCTAGGCGTCTTCCAGGCGTCTTCCACGACGCGTCCCGCCCACTCCTACACTTCTTCAGCCAGCAGCCTTGCTGGGCATCTAATACCGGGAAACAAAGAACGGCCACCGAGAAAAGACGCCGCGCCGGCTTTCTTGGGCGATACGACTCAGTTGGCATTGATTGTTACCGCAATGGAGGTATGCTCTCCCTTTCCCACATAGATCACTACTGAATCACTTCGCCACACCCTCATGCTCAAGACGGAGCACTCGTCGCGCCACCACCACCTCGACCTTTGTTGCAACTATCGCCCGCTTCACCGCCCTCTATAATCGCCTCAGGCAAGATCGAACTCGAGTCGCGCGGCCATCAATGCAGAGCTGCCTCCATTGCCCAAGCCCACAAACAGCAGCCCTCTTGCACGCGTCCAACGCTATCACCTCAAGTCGAGCCAATGATTCGACAGCCGACGCCGGGTGAGGGGGGAACGCTGCCGAAGTCCGTGGACTCTCAATTGCAGCAATGCAGCGGAGGTTGCTTTGTCATGGCAGTGAGAGCTCATGCAGCAATGAGGCCGCCATGGAGTGCAGCTGGACGCCGGGCGAGCGCGGGCAGAAGATGTCTTTACCCTGCATGAGTACGTACCGCTCACGTCTGCTCTTCTCACATGTATAGCTAATTCGTTTAGAACCACAATGTGCTTGAAGTGCGAGAGCGATTAGAAGGACATGTGTTCCCCCTCTTTTCGCGGGCGCCTCGCTCTCAATCGTCTGTCGCCGCCCCTCCGCGCCCCGCTTCCGATTTCGAGACGCACGTTGTCTGCATTATTGCGATGGGTCTGTTGGCAAATTGACGATGCCCTACCAAAAGCCACTTAACGCCAGTAGGCAGACAGGTGACTATCACGAGAGCTTCAGTGCTTCACTGGGCTCGATGGTCAAGGTAAGTAGGAGGACAACTTGGCGAGAAATGGTGCGTTGCTGACGTGTAGTGGCGATCCCGAGGACTTACGTCCAACGCCGTCTCAGTTGCCGATTTCATTATGGGTCCGCGCTACGAGGCATGGTCCGGGAATGATGCAATCACTCAAGATGCACAGGAGTCAGGACAACCCTCGCCTTGCCGTATCTCACCAGCCAGGCCGACGCCGGAAACTCGGCCAGGAGGCAAATCATTTCTCCCATCGTCCACCTGGATGGATTTGAGGACCTCCTCACCCGCTATTTCGACCTCGCCGTCGGCTTACAGCTCCCTATCAGCTGCGCCTCCAAGAACAGCATCAAGCGAGCTGATGGCCTCGGTCGACAACGATTTCGCCCGCTCGTAGCTCTTCGTTGGCTGTTGACTCACTCGCTCATTTCAGTGGCGATGTCATGCGCAGTGCTTAGATTAAGGGCTCAACGGACCTCTTTATAAGCTCAAGACCTTTTACTGTCTGCGTCTGGCATCATTTCCGACGCCGTGGCATTCGCACACTCGAGAACGATGTCGTCAAGGGTGCTATGCTTTACCTCACCACGTCGTCTTCCAGTAACCATCAATTTGGCTTTGGGCTGTGAGCCAAGGATACGTCGAGTCATATCAAGGCCTCCCTCAATTGAGATTTCGGGCTCAAGGCATAATCACCACTAAACGTCAGACTAGTTGAAAGGTGGAGGTTGATGACTCGGTTCCAGCGCAGAACATTGGCAAGGGAGCGATGCATAAATGTTGACAAGCACCTCAAGCCGGCGTAACAGTCGCAAACAAATCAAGTATATTCGAAGATTAGTTCAAGTCTGATGTCACCTGCGACATGAATTGCAAATGTGTTTGTCATTGATTATTACAAGAGAAAGAAGAATCGCTATTGACCTATAAACTTGAGTCACGATAATATCCTGCGAGTGGAGTCTAGTCACAAGGCGATAGGAAGGAAACGATTGGTGACTTGTCGTTTGCAGTAAGGAAGTTTCGAGATGCAGAATAGGAAGGCTGTCACTACCTGCTCAGCCATAGATGACTTCGGCGGTGTATTCCGTAGCCTGTGCAGGCAACGTTGTGGCTCGTCATCTTGACTTCAACGTCTAAGCGTAATCTAGTCCGAAATTGCAGTCCATACAGTGAGGTCACGACGTCAAGGGCGAAGTGATGCTGTCGCCAGTGAGCTTCGCTTGAAGCAGAGAAGCTGCTACGCAGCGAGTTGGATCTACTAAAACTAAGTTGCTACTACGTACAGGAAGGCATGAATATGTGTCAAAAGTGCACTCCTTTCCGCGAATTTTGCGTTGACCAGGGAGTCGCTGAGCAAGGAAATGGCAACTCAACCCAAACTCTACCATTGTCTGTGCCGTCAAGCTTGTTTGGCGAGACGGTAACGACAGGATATTGGGCAACTCGAAATTCGTGTTTAGTCACAAGAATATCGCAGATTTCGAGCCGCCCGAAATCCAACAAGGAGGAGTGGACTTGTCGGGCTTGGAGTTGTTGTATTCCAGGTCGCTTCACATTTGGTTCGATGAAGGTTTGCAAATTTCGGGCTGCCCGAAAACCTTGCGCACTCGCAGGAGCAACGCTGAGGCGGCTACGTAGTCTCAATGGATGAAGGCCTACGAAAATTTTCGGGCTGCCCGAAATTTGATGGTAGGTTGGGTTTTGCATTCTGGCGGCTCAGGATGAGACAATCTAACCCATCAGCAAATTTCGGGCTGCCCGAAATGCTTTGCAGTCTAGCATTAAACTTCCTACAGCTCGATACTCTAACCTGTTAGCAATTTTCGGGCAGCCCGAAATTCTTTGCAGTCTAGCTTTGAACTTCCTACAGCTCGATACTCTGAGCTACCAGCAAATTTCGGGCAGCCCGAAATTCGCAAGCCTTCTAGCATCTTTGAACTTCCCATAGCTCGATACTCTAACCTATCAGCAAATTTCGGGCAGCCCGAAATTCTTTGCAGTCTAGCATCTTTGAACTTCTCATAGCTCGATACTCTAACCTATCAGCAAATTTCGGGCAGCCCGAAATTCTTTGTAGTCTAGCATCTTTGAACTTCCCACAGCTCGACATTTGCGCAGTTACCATCTGGTCTGCGAGTTCCAAGATTGATCGTACACTCGTTGCAATGTGAGCAACTCCTGTGAAGATTGGGCCGCCTGAAATTCAGTAACTTGTCTGTGCTTCACAAATCATTCGATCCACTCTACGCTCTGATTGGGAAACCCCCCTGGCAACAATAGCAGTAGACGTAAATGGCGTCACTTCGTTGCATGTCTCAACTGATAATATAATTACAGCCAATCGTTGCTATCGCAATTCTGTCGTTTTGGAGTTTCGCAAGCGCGAACTGGCAAACGAAGGTCGTTTATACCCAATCTCGGGAAGACGCTGCTCAAGGCATGCGCTGAAGATGCTCTTCATTTGAGAGTTCCCGCAACCTCGCTATCCCAAAAGGGTATTAGACAGTGGTTCGAGGTTAAGGCGCTTAATGGTGTTCTGGCTCTGCCCGTAGCTTTTCCAGATACCCACGCGCTTGTCGCGTATTCTGTTGATAGTCGCTATTCGTAGAGAATAGGACGCTTAAGTTATGGGAGAACTGAGGTAGCAGCACGAGTAGTTCACGTTATGATATCTTGGTGTGTATCCTGTGCTTGTGGCGTATGGGATGAATTTATAAATGTAGGCAGTGTTGCGGGGAAGGAATTTGGACACCCATGACGTGAACCCCGAAATGGCCACACCTATCGAGACGAGGCTAAGAGGATGGACGTGCCCGTGTCGGGGATCGTGAGTATCCTCGTTGACTTGTTCTCCGATACAGCCGTAACAAACTACACCTTGCCGACTCCATCCGCGACGAAGCTCATGCTTTCGGACGCGATGCCAATCGTATCCGACCCAAACACCAACAATGCTATAGTCAAGACCAAATTCTTGTACAGCACTAATAGGACTGACGCTGGGATGGACATAACTATACAGTGTAGTGTAGTAGTTGCGCACGTGATTAGAGGGTGAAGTAAGCAGTTGGTATAATAGATAGTCTCCTCCTAAGGACTTAGAGGGTACCGATAACAATTGAAATTACTATACTGTCGCAATTAATACCCCTCCTCCTGACTGCGGGTCGTTTTCCCAGCCTCTTATTTGCTATGAGAAGATGGCAATACCACAAATATACAGCTTAGCATTCTGCTGTATGCTAATTCAAACATGGAAGCGCTATAGAAACATACAGAATCACAGTTTTAGCTAGGGAACCTAATAGTTCTGTTATTAAACATTGAACTCACGAGTATTGCAGCGCGTTTCTAGAATTTGGAGCGCAAGGGGGCCTAAATTCAGATATCAAGCTTGCTCAAGAGCTCTAGAAATATCAATCTTGAAAGTGCTCAATCATTCGCAGCTTCGAACATGATCATCTCCAACGCAGTAATTAGTGGCGTGTCTGTTATGGGTGCCAGTGACTAAAGCGCTGCATCTGACTAGTCGCTCGAACCTCTAGCTTTGCTTAACCTGCTTCCAAGGTTCTAAAAATGTCTGCTGAAGATATGTAGGTTTGAATCCTATTCTCTCGACCAAAGAAGTAAAGCGCGGCTCTCGCTATTTACTTATATGCAAAAGCTGAGTATGCTGAACTCTAGCGCCGCGGATTGCAGTTGCTGCCCATCATCCACTTTCGCCTGCACATTACGAGGTCAAGATCGTGAAATAAAACACTGAAGAAAAGCTCGCGGCCCCTAAGGCTAGACACTTGATTTCAAGAACCATCTAAGATCTACTTATCGGCTTGAGCAAAAGTGAGTTTACCTTGGATGTGTTAAGGCCAGTAACCTTTAGCGTTATAACTCGAATAGTCTTTATTGAAGTTAATAGCTTGTATCATTATAATAAGAGAAGACGCCAGTATTGGAAAGACTGGTTCCTGTACGCGAAGGTCAAGGTAGCCATACCCATATTTGTGTGAATTCTTTTCTTGTTTGGGTCACGTATACAAGACGTTCCTTGATTTCTATTGCAATCTTGCTGTCCTCATCGCAGTCCAGAAACTGCATGTCTGAACCTTAAGGGCATGTTGTAAAAGCTTCGAGCAGGCTGCGAAGATGCCGAAGGCATCGCGCAACAGCACTCGACTACACATAGAACAAGCCGTTTGCTTTACTACTAGGAGCTTGAATGTGACTCCGCGAGGCTGCGTCTGGAATATCTAAATCTCCTATTTTGAGGATCGTCGTTGGCATACTGTCCAGACAGCTTGCTCCTAGACTTTTTCGTAATGCTATCTGCGATTGGCCCCAATCAATCAGCTTCATCAAGGACAAGTGCGGAAACGAACAGTCTGGATGATCCATCTCCCGGCTCCTGTAAATCATACAGGAAAAGGTTCTTTGCGGACTGTGCTGCAGCAGCGTTTCTAAGCCTCTGTTATTTGAGCATGCAACGTGCGATTTGTCTCGGGCGCACACGAAGTCCATAGAATCAAGGATCACAGACGACTCTAGGAGTGTTGCATTAGCAGTTAATAATTGCAATTACGCTGCAGGCGCAAGTCCTCACAAGAGAAGTGGGACATATGTGTAAGGCTTTTGGGTACAACACGAACACCTGCTGCATATCGCACGTGTTCCTGCGTCAGTGCTCGGCATAAAAAGCTTTTACAGCACTGTGGTACAACGATCTGAAGCCTATAAGAAGCCCATGATGAAATTGATTGACATGTTGTATAAGTATGAATTGCATCTGATCTCTGGCCAGAAAAGCAATATCTCGAACTGGGATTTAGCGTCATGCTCTCGCAGTTGCAGCGACGGATAAGCAGGCACTCTTTCGCCTCTATTAATGAGCAAAAGGACTCAAGACATCGAAAACTGGAGAGGACATCATCCAGCAACGTAAGGAACTTCGCACTGCTGATAGCATCACAGTACGAGCTGTGCATATTGATAGCGCTATGGTCACAAACAGACTAACGGCATACTGTGAGGATGAGGGAACTCGCGTTGAGGTCGCAGTTCCACACAGACATAGCATGGCTAGAGTCATCGAGCGATCAAACCAAACCACGCGCGACCGAACTGCTGCTATCCTCGGGGTTAGACCATATCATCGTCAACAACTGGATGCAATGCGCTCAGGTGATCTTGCGGAAATTCGTGGCCTACGACAGGTCGCTTCCCAGCCGCGTGTGCGTCCACCAGAACTAGAAGATTAACGCAGCGTCGAGCGTTTGCCTGGACATGACCATGGCTGTGAGCGTACAGGAGGTCAAAAAGTCCCACTCAGATTGTTCTATAATGTGATAGAGAAGCCCTCATCAGGTAATCCTTCGCCGCTCTCCTTTTGGATTCGAGAAGATGCTGGTTGTTGACTGAATGAGTCAAAGATATAAACAGAGAACCAACAAAGTATGGCAGGCAAAGCATTGCTAGCTTGGCCATTGCTGTTGTATCCTGATGTTCGGCGTGACGGATCGCAATTGCCGAGTTCTCTCAGTCAAACTGAAGCATAGTGGCTGTCTGATATCGCCAACAGGTGCAAGGCAGGTCGCATATGAGGTGGCTTACGACTGTTATGGTGAGCGAACGCTGTCGACGATTCGGGCATCAGGGCGGACGTTGACACGAGCAGAATGCAATGGTGAGTTCAGCAACAAATTAGTGAAATTATTCCATTGCAAACTAGAGAATAGAGAATGAGCAAATAAAGACACCATAGGGATAGAATGTAACATGCGATACCACTTTCGTCACTGTTGTACCGATGTGTAGCAGGACGCGACTCATATCTTGGATCTCCTAATAGGCATGGAAGATGTTTGAGTCGACAGACAAAGTCTTGACAAGTCCGTATCCGATGTTTGGAAATACCCAGGGAGTTGTCAATTCAGTGGCTCTGAGTAGTGTTTCTTCGAGCCGGAGCGTAAAGGGAACATCGTTTTGCATGCCCAGACTGGAACTCTGAATCCTTGCCCACGCAGATGATATGTTGCGATATTGCGATCTAGTGGTGTCGTTGTTCAGCGCTGATGTTTTAGCTAGGTGCTTCGCGCCAGCGGCTAATTTCTCCGCACGTGGAGTTGACGCATGTCGGTGCTATTATCACGTGCGCAGTTCTACTGCCTCTCAATCTGCGTGCACCGACTGTGTGAAGCTCAAAGAGATTTTCGTCCAACGCAAATCCGTCATCCCCTTCCTCGCCTTCCTTGTCGCCATCGTCGTCATCGTCATTGTCTTCGAGCGCGCACTCGACGCGACGCCTCTGGCTGATTTGACGTAGCCATAGAGATTGGTCCGAGGTCTGTTTATTCCGCTTTGACCGCCTTCAACGCAACAGCTAATCTCTTTTCTCCAATAGACCGCGGGAAGTAAACGAGTGCTGAGGTCGATGCGGTCTCGACCAGCTGCGCCTTGGATACCTTTACAAGTAACCCATCTCGTTCCGCAGTGCCGTATGCTGCTTTGACGACGAGGCCTCTGTTGGACGGCCGCCGCGACGCTGTCTGCTCTCGAACGTTCGCTCTGCGCGCCTCCATCTCCTGCGCTCCTGCCTGCGCGCCTCCAACTGCACTTCCGAATTAGCAGGTCTGCTATCCTGCCGCGTGTAGTGTGGCGTCGCTCGTCGCCTGATAGTAAAGAGACAGTAGTATCAAGAATGGAACAACGCTGGTCGCATCGCGCCGTACTGGGCGCACCGCACGTGATGCTGGCCCTGCTGCATGCTCAGCAACTAAGCAACAGGCGCTCAAGACATGGATGAATAGCTATAGCTACAAGGAATTTGGGAGGCAAGGGACTTGAAAGACATTTCGATGATCATTTAAAGGAAGATTTGGCAGCAAATTGAGTATGATTGTGTGGTAATTGCTAACGCATATTATGAGGAGTGTGTGGATGAAGAGCGAAAACGTATACTCCTCGCTTCAGCATCCCGGTCTACCGGGCAGCTATCCGACAACGAGAGCGTCAGTGAGAAGACAAGCCTTCGCTGGGCAAGCTGGAGACCGGAAGTATCCAACAATGGACTCGCAACATAGTCGGATGTATGACCATGCAATTCCCGCGGCCATCGTGACGCAAGCTAAGGCGGCGTAGCGAATAGTCGAGAGTACGGTGGGCAAGCCGAAGATGCGGACGGAGAGACCGAAGACTAGTACTAGTACAGTCGCGAGCAATTTCAGGCTGAATATCAGGAGCGAGTTATTGAGACCTAGGAGCCAAACGATCGGATGTAGAACCCTACGCCACCAGCCGGTATTGCGGCGGTGTTGCTGTGCCACTGGATGTTCTGGCTCTCGCAGTATCTGGTCTTCCGCAGGGCCGGGTTGATCTCCACGGTTCACCTCTACTTGGAAAACTTGGCCCGCCTGGCGTTGAGCATCGCGGCGACGATTGAGGTAGTCAAGGTCGCTCATGTCCGGCGTCCAACGCACACCAACGTTGTCTTGATAGTATCCGCCTGGTCGCCAGAATGGCAGGTTGATGGCATGGAGGTATAGCCGGAACTGAAGGTCGAGACTGGTGCCGCTAGTGTGGGCGTCGATGTCGATGCAACGACGCATCAGTGTGTTCTTGGGAACGGCGAATCGGTAAAATTCTGCGGCGTGCTTGTCGAGCGAGGGGTGTTCCAGGGCTGTCGCCGCATCACCTGCGTAGTGCATGCTGGCCAGCCGGTGAAGTCCGTAGTAGTCGAGGCGGTAGCGGAGGTTGTACGCTGCATTTGTTGCAGGCCATCGTAGATCGGATCCCTCTATCGAACGTTTGAGGTACTGGTAACGCTCGTGATTTGCACGATTGCTCTTCTCGAATACCTGCGGAGTCTCGTGGTCTGTGCTATCCTGCATGGTCTCGCGGTCTGTCATGCTATCCTGCGTTAGCAAGTAGGCCGTATGAAGATGGTAGCAGGCATACATGGGTACTAACTTTGCACGCGGTTAAGTCGCAGGCGAAGGTAGTTGCAGTTGAGGCGCTTCTCAGTACGCAGTGAGATGGTTGCAGTTGAGGCGCTTCCCGGTACGCAGTGAGATGCTGGAGAATGTGAGGGGAGATATATGCAGTCGAGCTTGCGGCAGCGCTGTGCACGCTTGGACCTTCGTCGCCGCGAGCTGTCGAGAAAGTCACAGACCGGCGAATGGAATCCTCGTGAAGAGTCTGGGCCACGCAGAGCGCGAGTGAACGGTGCAGAGCAGCGTGTGCATTCAGTCATTCGAGCACTGCCTGCCTGGGAGCGCCAACGTCCAACTATATCAAGTTCCCGCGCCATACAGATCGGTGCAGCAAGCTTTATCGTAGCTGCATTGCTGTGACACGTTCAAGACTCTGATGGACGACATCCTATCCGTTAGCAAACAAAGCAAGTTCGGGATTACCAGACATGCTGCACGGAGCAACTCGAGCTAAGCTGCTTGTGGTGCCAAGGCAACTGGCATTTTGGCAGCAGGCACAACTCTGGGTATGCTTGTTGCAGGCTGACAGTGTGGTCGAAACCACTCTGCTGCATTGGAGGCCAGTGACCTATTGCGCGATAGCTTGATGGTGGATGGTGAAGACAATATGATAAGAGGGGAGTGGCAAGTGCCGTCCGTTCGCACCTTGACCTAGCCGTGACGCATCTTTCAAACCAGCCATGACGCATCTTCTAAACCAAGCCGCCACACCAACTCACTCAATCCAAGCTGAGCCGCAGCTCATGTGCAATGTGCAGGTAATTTCAGCGGCATGCCAGCAACATGTTTTCTGGCTGCACCTGTCTGCAGATCCCAGGACGACCTGCATGCTGGACGCGTCAAGTCGCGTTACCCTCGTCGCCGCACTTCAAGGTAACTCTGTATTTTCTGCGGCATTGTTTCTGCTTGCACTCGTCCACAGATGGCAGATGGCAGATGGCAGATGGCAGATGGCAGATGGCAGAGGGTGCCGCGTGCCAGACGCGCCTATTTCCATGGCTGGCGCGACATCAACACGAGAGGAGGCGATGCGACGACGCGCTGTCCGACTGTGGCGGCAGTCCCCCCTGTCTCGAAATCAGACGTCTCCACTCCAGTCATCCGCCAAGAGTGCCGCCGCGTTTTGACAGCTCCAAAGGGAAAGCGTCTTCCCCTCCACATCTCCGCGTGAGCAAGACACGGCGGAGACGGAGCCAAACACGACTCCATTTCATCTCTCTCCCAGACACGATGTACGTTGTCCTCTACCTCAGGCTCTCGGACCACATCGTCAGGGTGGATCCGCCTTGCTATCGCGCTACCGCGCTATCGCATCTGTCGTGTCTGCAAAGTACATGTCGTGCGCGCTTCGTCACATGACAGCGCGACGTGTTTGCGCTTGAACGCTATCGCACGCTGTTCCCAAGGCACCGTCAGGCCACCACGCCCACGTCGTTTCTTCCCCAACGTTTGGAAGCTTTCAAACCATGGCGGCCACGCGCGGCGCCCATTCCACACATGGTAAGCCCTTACCTCATGCGCTATACTCTCCTTACTGACTCAGGCAGCTGCCCCCACCAACCCCCGCCGTCGCTCCGCACGTTTGCTCAATGGCCCACCCGTCTCCTACGCCCAACTCAAACCCTATCGCAAGCCCCACAAGCCCGATGAGCTCTGGTTTGAGGCTCTTCGCGTCCATCAGCAGCGCACCTTCCAAGGCCGGCAACAGTTCCTCGTCGAGTGGGCGGATACAGACCCGATCAGTGGCGCTGCTTACCAGCACTCTTGGTTGGCTTTACACAAGCTGAGCGAGCGTCTTCGTCTCAGTTGGGAGAGAGAGAAGGCTCGCCAGACTGAAGTCGCTACCTTGCGCCGGAAGCCTGTGCCAACACCCGAGGAACAGCTGCGGTTGAGGGAGCTTGAAGACGCCAGCGCCGAGTATTTCTCTGCACCCAGTGCAGGCGATGGCTCAGATGCGTCAAGCAGCAGCGGCTCCGAGAGCCCTCTGAACGAGGAAGCAGCTCAGGACGAGCATGGTTCTCACGAGGGCGACAAGGAACCCCCTGCTCGCGCTTCTGACGATTGTAGCGCCGGCTGCTCAATCTGCGAGGATCCAGCGCAGGCTGAGGACGGGGTTCTGATTTCACCCTGCTGTGGTAAGTCCCGTTCCGCTTCGTACGCGTGCACAGTTGACCAGTCAGGCCAGTCTATGTGCTTACATTGTGTAAGCGGGTGGAAGGACAAGCCTTGCCCCTTCTGTCGCGCCCGCCCTCGACAAAGCATTTAGTTGCAACATGAGCCCCAATCACTCAGCAGAGCAGCTCATAGGACCAACATGTCTCGGGCTAACGACAGCCTCCGTTCTCGTCTGCGCAATGGTGCAGCTACAAAAATGCTCCTCACGCATCTTTGTGGCAAGACGGGTACCGGGAGAACGAGAAAAGGGCATTATGATACTGGAAGTCGGTGTGAACGGTGGCGCTTTGTCTGGCTGCATGGAAAATTGTCTCAACTGATACTGGAGAGACTGGCACTACCGCACTCTTTCGTGGCGTCTTTTGGTCAACAACGGGCGGGATGGAACTGGGATAGATGCAGAAGGCTCGAATTTGAGGCGTATTGTTTCGTCGCATATGCAGTTAGTCTTCAGCCGTCGAGGCCATGAGTGGCACGCCCTGCTTGAAGGTAGCGCGAGAGCGAGCCATAGACGCACTTCTCCGATCAGCTTAGTCGAGTCTCCCATGTGGGAGGTAAGCGCTTACCGTACCATCAAGCATCGGCCTACTACTGAAGTGCCAAATATTATCTCAACGTGCTGAAAAGTCTTTCAGGCAAAGCCAAAGCTATCAGAGTCCTGGCAAGAGCGTCTTTCCCGCCGTCCCAACTTTCTGTGCTTGGGCCATATCGCCCTCGGAGCGACTGGTGTAACTTCTAGGAAGGCGGTTCCTCCGCTCAGTTGTCATGTTTTCATCGCATGCGCTGTCTGATATCGTCGCTGAATGCGATGTCGAAGATGCGCCGAATTCTGTACATGTGGGCCGAAGTGCTAGACTGAGATGAGGCGTCGGGTGGTGAAGTATGGTGTCGTAGCACGTCCATGTGGCACACTGAGCGTTTGGAGGTGTTTGTTCAAGGCGCACCGCGCAACCCTTGCAACATCCGGGTAACTTTACCTGAGGCAAACACTGGCTCGACTGCGTCCACTTCCTGTTGAGCGGCCTGAACGTCGGCGTCTGTCGTGTCACCAAGACCAGTTGACTTCTCATGACAGTCTTGGGCTTCATCAAACGGGTCCCAAAATCACTGCTCCTGATGGACAGACTCTGACATCACGCATGCTTGGAGCTGTAAAACGGAATGTACATAGCGCCGATGCACGATGAAGTTTTATGAATAGCACAAGTCTTGGTAAGGAGCGGTGGAGGGAGACTGAAAGGTTGGGGCAAGTATATCTGAGCGAAGGAGTTGCCAAAACCGAAGACGAAACAAACGGCGAAGTGGGGATTAACGTCCTTGTGCGCACGAAGACCTGGTTCAAAGACTCTAGTTAGAGCGGATCAAAGACGATTGATTTGGTTTTGAACTATTTCTCCAACGTCATTTTCGACACGGAAGTGAGCATAAGAGCACTGAGAGCCTGGAGTTCCCTGCCTGTCCTGAAATGCTTAGGGCGAGATGGGTATATGATCACGCCCTGATATATGCGGTGGTTATCAAGCATGAGAGAAGCTTGGGGTATCCATCTCGAGACACTGGAGGAGCTGGGATATATCGTCGCATCGATGAGCGGTCGTGGCGAGACAGAGTAGGTCCTGCCTTTTTTGGAGCTATACGTGTGCTGCTCGATGTGGAGATTCGTCAGATCAGACGGCAGATTTTGTACGCACAGGTTTGGCAGCCTATCGATGGGATGGCTTCCCAGCTGAGGGTATCAGCCTCTGACCCGTAGTGCAACGATGCCTTCGAGCCTTGGACATCGAGCTCGACGAAATGCGTTCGGACTCTGGAACGCTCGGGTGGTATTTCGACCTATCGGGGAATTGAGCAGCGGCGCCTCTTCCAGGCGCACTGAGTGACATTTCAGCCTTTAGTTCAGCTTCAATGTCGTCCAGGATTGCAGTCTTCGGACAGAAACATCATCATGGATCGATTCTCAGTCCAGGAGGAGTGAGCCGTGCTCGCAGATCTCGCTCGACGCGAACCCTCAAAATTTCACGAGCAATCCACCCACTACGGCCAAGGAAGCTCTGGCAATACCCATTTTGACCAGCAATACTGAGAGGTGGAGGTGTGTCTGCCATAGAAAGATACACGGACACAATGTCCAAAAGCAGAGAGTCTGTACTGGGGCCTGTGACTGTTTGACCAGCTTAAGCCCTCCACTGCGGCAGCCAAACTCTGCGAGTTGCGTCTTTTGAGGCGTGAACGCACTGAAAGATCGCGGCGCGTCATTTTGACCGCAGATTGAAGGCGCGAGGCTTTTGATCGAGTATATTTGGCTCATTTTGTGCATTTTCGCCACTAAACGCTATCGGTATGTCGCCGACTGTCAGTTGTAGTCAGTCCCTGTTGAAATTAATGCATCAAAACGCTCTTCAGCTCTGCTTACATGTTCGAGCCGCAGTTGGATATGCATTCCAAGGCACTGGTAATGCAAGACCTCAGATACTTGCTGTTCAGCTACACGTAGTTTTCAGAGATACAGAGTGTGATTAATCCATTGATCGCACCCAGGAACCTCTGCGTCTGAATAAGATAATGAGGTCGTCACTACCATGCACACTCCTCATCGCCGCCCGTCTCAGCCTTCTACCCATGCAGCATTTGTATCTTATAGAGGAGAGTGCAGGATGCAGGTGCATTTCATATGCGCCAAGTTGGCAAAGGCGAATTTTCATTTCGATGTCGTCCACCTGCAACACTGTCTACCCTTTAGCTAGCTCATCCATCCAATCTCCGCCAGTTACAACATCTTGAAGCGATGAATAGAAACGAGGGCGGATCGACAAGAATTTGTAGGTATAATTTGGTGGAGGGGATACTCATTATCATTCCAACCTTGCATTATACTACGCTCCGAAGCCCATTCTCAGTCTGCGGAACCTCATCCTCAATCTACTGAAGCTCCTCTGTAGACTCGCCAAACTTCTCATAACCCTGTGGAGGATCTTTCTCACTCTAGTGAAGCTCTTGTTCAGCCTAGGGAAGGTCCTACTTAGCCTGCATTAGTAATCCAATGGCATATTAGAGGGCCAGCATAGAAGCAACTTCGTCACGGAATGTCGCAATCTGAAGCTGCAGTCCCCGTGTGCTGCACTCTTCTTCACTCGAACCGGGATCTAGCTCCTCCGATTTTGTCGCAGCAGTCATTAACCCTCTTTTAATCAAGAACATTTGTGCCAAACACGGCGTCGATCGAGCTCTGCCCTTCTATTAGCGCCAATCCAGAACATCGCTGCAATAGAATCGGATACAATAACTCGGTGAGCTTCGCTCAAGATTGAAACGGCATAACACGACAAATATGATTCTTGCCGAAGAGATCCGCGTGGTGCTTTGGCCCGTTGAAGATCGTGATCGCATCCGTCATGTCTCCTGTCAAACCAAAAAAAGCGCAAAGGTCCTGAATACACGTTGTGCTGGTCCTAGAATATATATCGCGCTCAGTCTCAAAGGATTCTACATCCATAGGAACTCTGGTACGCATTCCACTGAGTTCCATCACACCCACCATCTGAAAGGGACCAGGATGAGTTACGTACTAATCTTCCATGCACTTGGACCAGCTAGGACACGACTTCAAGTCCATCACTGCTTGATGTATATTTCGCTCTAAGCTCTCATTATATTACGGTATCAAGGAAGTCTTTGGCATCATGTATCCATCAAGGCCAACAAAGCCCTCCTCCACCAGTCCCATCGTAATCCGCATTGACGAGCCTACCTAGGTACACAAGCTGCCATCAGCTACAAAAGACGATCACAGGTACTACCCTTGACTATTCTCCTGGGTTCACGACAACATGCGGCCGGCGTCGCAACCTACTTCTACGCCCTTTAACACAATCTCGCATTGTGGTTCATGCGCAGTATCATTGCCCACTAACAGCCGCAGCCTCTCTTCTCACCATGCTATGCTTCATCTTGCAGCTCCCTGTTGGCGTATTTATGTCAATATTCCCACTCTAATGCCGTGGTAATGGACTTCATTCTGGAGAAGAAATCTTGGCAGCGGGCTTCCCTCCGCGCTTCTTCGTCACGCGATTACTACTCTCCTTCAATAAAGCAAGTGTCTCCGGCGGCTTCGAGAATCTGGCTGATTTGCTTCAATTCTGCCGACTTTGTGTTTACCTTTCGCCTCGCCTATTTTCCCGCGAGTGGGTGCAGGTGGATCCGTTTTGATCGTGGATATAAGTTCGTCCTCTTGTTTGGTGCTGCTGCCTTGAACCCCGCCCGAATTGCGATTAGAGGCAAGTTGTCCTCGTACGGTGCATCGTCTTTAGTCGCGGGCCTCTCTGTCTCAGTGGCAAGACTAGGTGTCCTTGCCAATCCCTCTTACTTGCTTTGAGCAATTTCGGTCAGCTGAGCTTCCTCGTTGGCATATGTGAGCAATCTGCTGCGACCGCGATCGCCCCCACAATGCATTCCGGTCACATTCATGGCTGGATCTTGTTGTGAAGGTCCAGCACCTGATTGAGCTGGACCACTCTTTGATGGCCAGGCGCCTGAATATGTATAGTCCGGTCGCGCCTCAATTTCCTCCTCATTCTCCTCGCTCGACAAACGTGAGAGCAACGGCTCCGAAGCGCATCGTCTCCGTCTCTTTGGTTCCAGGACGGGGGAGCTCCGATTACCCCGAGAATCCCGAAGCCTCTAAACCTGTGTCAAAAAATCACGGAACATCTGGTTGTCAGAAAGTAAGACGAACGTACAGCGCCATTAGATCCATCACGTGTGCTGTTCACGAAGTTCACGAAGTAACTCCCGTTCTCCACGCGGTGGCCCATGAGTAATCGGCGCGAATATCGACGCTGTTTCTATTCGAGCAGTAGATAATGACCAGAAGTCAAGAACAACTAAAAAGTATAACGAAACGTCCCATACTCGTGGCGGGCCATCGGCATAACTTCGACGAGCGTCTTCAAGCCATGCGAAGTGAACGAGAGTTCGCTCATACACTCAAAGGGTTACACACCCATGATTTCAAATTTCCTGGCCTTACTTTGAGCGCGATAGTTTTGTAGTGCCCTCTGTTCGATGTCTTTCGCAGCTTATATAAGTATGTACTGTATGTGCATCTGTTTGTATGATATATTAAGCGTCTTCTTCCTCGATATTAAGAAGTCCGCACCACTGCCAACAATACACCTTTGCAGAGGTTTGGTGAGTTCGGCAAGAGCGCATAGTTATACCAGACCAGTAACTGCATCATCCATGCGATCGTGGTGATAGTAGAGACATTGGTTATAGTTGGGGTCACGACGAACGAGTACTTCGCCTTCCACGCCAGGGCTTGCAACAGGGCGCACTACGGATCGCTACGGTTACGGCTTACGGCTTATATAAGCGATAGATAATTGAGAGTGAATAGGTGGGTCCCGTAGCCGTAGTGGTAATCGTTTAGGAGGCCGTACTACGGTCCTGTCCTCGGAAATTGCAGTAGGTCGATAGAGGCTGGAGACAGGGCTCGGAGGCGTTAGGTAGCTCCAAGGAGTCTGGTTTTGTTAGCAATCTGCTTTAAAGTTGGGGTAGGCTAACGCGTCGTCGCGCCCAAGAGCCCTAAAAGCCCTAGAAGGGGTGGCTGGGCGCGTTGCCTGGGTGAAAGTCCTGGACGCCCACCGACTCCATTGCGGGCTCCTACACCTCCTTCTCCTCCATCAAACCGTCCACCGAACCCTCCAGCCAACCAGAGGCCTCCTACGATGAGAGCACGTGATCTTGGCAGTACTCCGTTGTACGGTCGTAGTCCTTACCTAGGGCGTCACATCGATAGGTAATTCACCCTGGGGGTGGCCGTAGCGTAGGCTGATTAGGCCCGTTGCAAGCGCTGTTCCACGCGTCGTTTGGGTCCATGGGCTTCACAACGTTCGGGTGCTGGCGGTACTTCATGATGCACTTCGTGGGCATGTACTCAACCACGTACGTCACCCTCACCGTGCCGATACAGATGCTCGGGAGGATCTTCATGGTGGGCATCGACCACTTCTGGCAGGTCGTGTAGACCCACTCAAGCGGCCCCACGTAGTTGATCGGGGCGTTCATCCTGGTCATGGTCAAGAGCACGGACGAGATGGTCTTCGAGTACAGCTGCACCCACGCGGCCGCGATATCGGAGTAGACGAAGTACATCAGCCCGGACGCGACCACCATTCTGTTATCGCTTAAGTCTTTGATGAGAGTCGTCTGCATGCCAGGAGGCCGTTCGTGGACTCGCCCCAGCACGGGACGACGTCGATGAGGTAGCTCACGCCCTTCTTCAAAAGGATCTCTGACCACCTACTCTCGTTGCACATCGCGATCGTGTGTCGTCGGGGTAGTCCACTCGGGATATAGGTAAAGTAGTCTCTAGTCCCAACTCCTATACGACCACGGAGAAGATCATGAGGTTAAACTTTGACGTGAGAACCACGCCGATCGGGCTAACGCTGCTGGTCGTCGAGACTGTGGTATCGAAGGCGGAGATGTCGCACTTTCCGGACACGGGCTGGGTCATCACCTCGTCGTGGATTAAGTCGGCCCGCAAGTCCTCAGTCGGATAGACCTCATTAACATCAACGAGATATTGTTCAGGATGTTCAAAGCAGCAAGCGCATGGCCGTGACTGCGAACTTGACCGTGCTGATCCCTGACTCCGTGGTGCCGAACGCGGACTTGGAGAACCCCGGGAGCAAGGGCGGCTTGATCCCCTCATACAAGAACGAGCTTTGCTCGAGGGCCGCGTCCATCCACGGCCTTCAGCACTGCGGATGGACATCGAGGCGACGACGTACGAGAAGAAGGGCATGTTCCCGCTCCCGCATGCGGACATCATCAGCATCTGCATCTCGAACGAGTCCTGTTTCGACAACAGCGGCCCCGACGTCTGCTGCTGCATACACGCGTTCGGCTCCGTGTCCAACATGAAGCTGGAGAACAAGAGGAAGCCCATCGTCATCAAGGCGATGACGTCGTTGGGCGCGTGCATTCAGACGTACAATATCCTAGAGCTCCTGAGCCCTCACTTCGTTGACACAAACAACGGCTTCTGCTTCGACCTCAAGAAGATAGCCGCGCACTCGTCTGGGTCCAAGTAGCTGGAGTTGAAGATGGAGAAGAGGAGGTTGAAGTTCTTCTGGAGGCTGCCCAACGGGCATGAACACCGTCTCCATGTAAGAGATCGGCAATTACCTCAAGAGCAACTGGCCATCGATCTTGCCTAGCCTCGATCGCGAAGGAGCTCAACTTGCTGAACAAGCTAAACATCGACAACATGATGGTCGAGAACAGGGACAGCTATGACGTCACGAAGATGCTGATCTACAATGTGAGGGACTCGGACTTGCATGCGCTCGTAATAAGTATAAAGACGTGCGACAGGCTCTTCGCGCTCGCCGGCGCGTCCAGGAGCACGTCGTGGTGCGCCATCGCAGGCAGCTCGGGAATCATGGTCTACGGCTACACAGCGTCGGTCGCGATGAGCGATGGGAAGACCCTCGACATGAGCATAGTCACGGCATCCGACGAGATGTCGTTCGAGGGTGGGTTCACCCTCGCGCTCAGGGCCGGCTGCCACAGGGGCGTCGTAGTGGTCGACGGCAACTCGTTGTACGGGACAATCATGTCCGAGCTCAGCATCTACATTGACACGTGCGCGTCTTCGAAGACTATGCTCGCGTTGGTCAACAAGATGTTGATCCTCAAGTTAGAGGTCCTGAAGAGGATCGACGTCGACATCGACGACGTGATCGAGAGCGGCAGCCACATCTTCATGAGGGACAAGGAGTCGTATATGTGCGTGAAGAAGGGCGCAAAGACGTTGTTGAGCGGCAATTCATTCGTGATGCAGACATGGACGCGGGCGCAGACCAATATCAACACATGCCCCACTTCGTCTACGTCAGCACCGACGGCAAGAAGGTGGCGAGTGCCCTCGGGATGAGGAAGCCGGAGAAGATATGCAAGCGGTAGGTGGCCAGGAAGGTGGTGATGTCCCTCGAGACGGTCTTGGTCGCCGTCGGTGTTCTCGCACAATATGAGGACGATGGTCAACAAGGGCTCTGAGAAATGCAGGAGGATAGACGGCACGCTGTCCTAGCTCTCCTGTCAGCATCACGGTCGCGATCAAAGCAACGCTTCTGCGGCTGTGAATGTCATTCGTTGTTAGTCAGCGAGCGCTTAGGCACTGCCTGGTCTGCTGCGTTCACTCATGTTGACTCATGTTCGTGGCTAGATGAGTTGCATCTGAACTGGAGCAAGGTGGTGAGGTGGCGCGAGTGAGGGCCTTCACATACGAAGAACAGTGCGAGGCATGCTCAGGCCTTGGACAGCGATCTTCGCCAACATGCAGAACCACCGCTACAAACCCGCAGACGTGCACGTAGCTTCAAACTGGATCAACACGATGTCCCAGGCCTCCAGGTCGTTCCCGGAGGAGCTCGAGTTCTTGTTGCCGCTCAGGCACTGCGGTACATGAACAACGCCGGCTCGACGTCGATCGACACCGACGTGCCAGAGGCGACAGCATCCAGGGCTCGGCGGGCTCGATATACGGCGTCACGGTCACAGTCCCGATCAGGTCCCACGCCACAATGATGAAGGACAGCGAGCACGGGAAGCCGATCCTCGTCGTCTGCGACAACGAATACTTGCACACGTACCGCGACACCATCTCAGACAGGTTGTTGGAGAACGTGGACGCGAGTTGAAGTGGGCGTTCAACTTGGAGAACGGGGACGACGCGATGCCGATTGAGCTGTCGAACAGGCAACTGACGTGCGCCAGCGTGTACAGGAGCAACATGCCCCTCGCCGTGTACACGAACGTCGCCACCGTCGGAGCGACGTACAACACCGGGGGCAGCGACTTCTGGAGGACCTCGTACCATTTGCACACGGCTCGGCTGTCCAGATAGTCAACAACGCTGCAATGTTCAGGACCCACACGCCTACGCCTCGTGACACCTCTATCCAGGTCCCACAACCTACGATCACACACCGGTGAGCTTTACGCATCACTCCAACCTCTCTTCTTTACCTCTGTTGCCACCCCCTCACGATCTCGCAGCGACTGTCCGTGCACTACCATCGCCATGGTTGCTCAATCGGCTACGAGAGGGCGACACGCATGGAGCGCCTAAGCCACGAGCAAACCGGGAATTGTTACGAGATAATGTCGACAAGTGCATTGTACATGGCTTCCACTGCGCGCGAGTGCATATGCAGTCGAAAATCCTGTTGATATTATGATGTTGTTGGCTCGAACGATGCTTTGGACAAGAATTGGCCACGAGGAAGACGACTTTGCATGTGCAGTCAGCGCGCGCACTATCATCGCCACTGATTCCTCTCTCGCTACACAATACTTACACCGCGGCTTGTGCCTGGATTTGGGACTGGGACTGGGCTTGGTTGTGTTCGGTCACGCCGAGGGCTGCGACGCGTGACAGCCGTGTCGAATGTGCATGTCCCGTCGACGTCTGCCCAGTGCAGGAGCGCGTGCAGCGTGAGCCAGGACGCAACAACGCCGTGCGTCTTCTTCATTCTAGTTTCAATCTTGAGTCTGGGCGGATGTTGCTTGTTGTCCCTCTGTGTGTTCTGTCTACGCGACACGTATGCCTCTTGTTTGGAATCACGTGCTGCTATCATGTTGGTCTGGCCAGTAGCCGGCCTGGCCAGATTCGTGCATCTTCGGTCGATTTTGTTGAAATTGGTGCGGGAACGGTGAAACAGCGAGTATCCTACGAGACTCTTGACGTGCCTGAGCAGAGCCATGGTCATGTCAGACCACTCATCATGCTGGCTATCGACGTCCACCTCGTCCGCGGTCTTTGAAGCATGGTGGTAACCTGCCGGTGGACTGCTGTGCTCGGATGAGCGAGAAACGCTCTCCAAACTCTGTCTCCAGACTATGACCACAATCGCCATGCCGAGGGTTTGTGAATTCGACCCTACAAGTATCCGCCCGGAAGTCCGGGTACGACGTGGCGACGTGGCCCGATGGCTTCTAGTATGGTATAGCGGTATGGCGGTGGAAGAGTCCGACCAATGAATCAGAAGTCGCACTCGAAGCTGAGCTCGATAGGGGCGCGGTCGTCTGGAGAGAGGGAGGGGGAGGTGACGTCCACGGCGGCCAGGACAGTCTTAGGGGATTTGTCGCCAGGTTGTGGGTGTTTTGAACTATCATGAAACTGATAGAGCCCTGGAAATAATATCGTTAGTGCTGCTTTGGCACGTTGGAGAGGAAGGAGAGTGGGATTGGGTAATGGGAAATGGCGGAGAGAGCTTACGGCACGCCAGAGTCAGCATGGTCAGAGCGGTCGCGGGAGGTGCGAGTCGGCCATCTAGTGGTGGTAGTCCGGCATGACATTTTAGTCATCGTCGAGGTCGATTGTATTGCTTATGGGCTGCGTGATGCTCGGTTAGCAGTTATTGCTCCTTGTCTGGCGTTCATGTTTGCATGTTCGAACCGCCGGTGGTGGTAGCTCGCGCAATTGTTCATGCGGGCCGTCATCTAAGACCTTTTCGCAGTCATCGTCCCCGAGACAGCATCTGCCGAGAGGGTCGTGTAGTTTGGTGGCCCTTTTCGTCGCGAAGCGCGGGACTCTTCATCGTCGTCGTCAACAACGACGTCTTCTCTGACAATAGTAGTGCCGCCGTGGTCTTCCTCAGAAGCGTCGGCTGTAAGCGGTTTGCCTGCACTGCTGCGATGAGGAGTCGTACTATCAAGGCAAGATAGCGGCCTGAGGCAAGACTACAACATAGGCAGGCGATTGATGTGAGTCGTCCAACGCTGCCTAGAGCTAGAGCCTAGCGCATGTGGAGCCTTGCGGAGGGGATAGCAGGGCGGAAACAGAGACAGCACGTACTAGGCAGGGCATCGTGAGTTGATGTTTGATGCCAGGGTAAGCGGTGATGTGGAGAGAGTCCGTCTCCCGAGTCCAGTGCGGAGACGGGCAGCGGAGGCGGAGTTCGAGGATCGCCCGCGCTAGCCGAAAGCGGCCTAAAACCTCCTCTTCTTACTCCATCACCCTGCCTCGCCTTCTCTAATACGAATCGCCTTCTTTCCGAAAAGTCTAGTCACATTGCTGCGCCCGGCAATTCGATCCATCAGCCAAAGCTGGTTAGTATCTTAGCTGACGCAGAACATCTACCGATTCTCCGTGCGCGCGCACAACGATATCTCTCGCTAGCTGACTGAACTTGTGGACGGTGAGAAGACGACAGAACAACAAATCAGATAGGCTCAATTTTATCTCACATGCTCCTTCCATGTTCTACCGTATGCACGAAGCTGCGGTACCATCACTCGCCCTGGTTATCCCCGCTTTAGAAGCTACGCAACGACTCCATCCGCAGACGTCTCGGCGCCGATCTCACCATCCGACGTCCACTCCGCCTTCTCCTTCTCCATGCTTTCAGCTCCAGTAAGCTGCACCTGCTTATCCGCTGTGCTTGATTCTTGCAACTCATCCTCGCTCGTCTCTGTCGCCCGACGGCAGAGTATCGGCTCTGAAGCACAGCGCTTCTCTCTCTTCGGCTCGGGAAGAGGGTGGCGCTCATCGCCTATGAAAGTTTGCGCAGCCTAGAAGCTTGTCAGAACTATCCTAAATTATTCAACCGTCGGAGTGCATGGGTCATACGTAGTCTCTCAGTTCGCCATATGACTTGCGAGCGAATTCGACGAAGTGTCTACCGAGTGCCCAAGCGACCATTGACATCGATCTTGGCTGAGGGACCCGGACCATGGTGGGACGCGAATAACGAGGTGACTCCTGTAAGCTCAATCAGCAAGTACCGGACAGCGACGATGAAGACAAGACGTACTCTTGAAGATCCCCCTTCTTCGAACGGTAGGTCTTCCAGCCATTCTATTGGGTCAACCGTTCGGTCATGTAGGGTTCGGCGAAAACTGAGGCGGCCCTACACAGTCTGTTAATAGTTGCACGGCGTTCGAGAAGCGGAAACGTACTCTTTGTAGCTCATCATCGTCATCGCACTCCCTCAGATGAATTCTGGGGGGACGGGATGATGCTAGGGCATCATCGTCGACATACGTGCCATCTTGAGACGAGTCTGCGGCATTGGCATCGGCATCGACATGGACATCATTCAGCCCGCGAAGGTTTGCGCCTGCCGGAGATGTATGCGGAGACTTGGAAGGACCCTGTTCGGAAGTTCCCATGATTTTTGGCTTGAATGTGTGAGTGGACTGGTGATGAATTGAACATGAGATCTATCGTGTGCCTTATAGCAGGAGGAAGAAGGAGCAAACTACTAGCAAGCAGATTGTACAGGCAGATTGCACCCGACAAGCAGATTGTACAGGCAGATTGCACCCGACAAGCAGATTGCACGTGACAAGCCATTGCGCACAACCTGCTTGTTAATCAAATTGCACCGAGTAGCGATACAATACTATCAGCATGGAAATTCTCGTTGAAACATATACGAGACGCCATGATCGCGATGCATGTAAGCAGAGCATGGTTCGAACGACACAAGTAATTTCGCCCAATGTAGCCTTAGTAGGCAGGCATGTCCAGGTAAGGACGGACGGAGAAGCCGACCTCTACAACTGCCATTTCTCCATTCACAGCAGCACACTTGCCTAACAGATTCTTTTGATTGCATCCGCAACGTCTCAAATTTCTATTTTGAATGTACAGTTGTCAGCATTTTCTCCGATGACAAAGACTGAAGATACACTCTATCGCTGTTGGGCATTTCATAAAAGATAGTCACTGTAACGAGGCCTGAATCATTGTTCGTGATGGGGCGACATAACTGCATGCTCAATCTCGGAGAGCATTCGCTCGAGCCCGCGCCAGTCTTTTGCATCAATGAGAAGAAACGGAAGAAGAACACCTTGCCCTCATGAGGCGAGGACCCGAGGGAGGAATGGTCTGGCTTTTCCCGCCAACGATCGTATTTGATGCACCTGCTGTACGACTTGCGCAAGTCACACGACCTAGCCAGCTATAGGGCACGCGCGCTGAAGTGATGATACTCAAAGATCCGCATGCTCTGTGAAATGATCAACTGCAAACGATACGAGACGAAAGCGAACACCGAACACTTGACCCTGAAGCTGTCGACGCTGAGCTGGGCGACGTCGCAACCTTCGATGCGAGATTAGCTCAGCTACGCCGCCAGCCAGGGTTGCCCTTCGCCACCAGCCCTTGAAACTTCTCAATCAGGCAGGAAGACGACGAGGTGTCGAAAGTAGTCGCTGGGTCGGGCCAAACGGCCTCCTCTTCTGCTAATAAAAATGCGCAATTTCGTGGCATGTATTTTGTGGCGCCACATTCGCCCGCTTCTTCATATGGGTTCATGTGTGACTTGGATTTTGCATGCTGCTTGGACTTCTTTGCCTAGCGGCGCTCGCAATCCTTGATTTTAGCTGGCCTTGAAACTCATCGAGATCTTCTGCGAGAGGATGTCGCTATCTGTCAAGACCATCATCCTCTTCTTCCAGGTCGTTATTGACTTCGCCGTTGACATTACCCATTGCGACGCGCCGGTAACCGCTTTACTGGACGCTTTTACATGGCGCAAGAATTTCGGTGGGCTATGGCGAAACAACCTCCTCAAAGCCCCAAGCCTGCAAGCTCGAACCTGGTTAACAATAAAGTGTTACCAGAGGCTGGACCAAGCTCATCAGAATCCTGGGCGTTGAGTTTCGTGTAAAGGCGATCGAAGCTGCAAAGCACAAGTGTTTGCCTGGCGGGATTGGGCGAAGCAGTGGTAATATATGCTCATCGGAGGCGTCTATATTCTCAGACATCGCTTCGTCCCACGCATCTGTAACCCTCCGAATCCACTCGTCTCATCAGCATCCTGGCTGAACTCAGTGAGTAGCTGCATGCATAAATGATGGGAGGCGGCATTGTAGATATAAAAATTGACGATTTTAGGGTTCCTTGACTTGTCAAAAGATCGTTACCCAATGCCAATCATTTGGATTGGAAATGCTGCGAAATAGAAGAATATACTTCGTCCTGATTGCGCTCACGCGTAATTGGATAATGAGGAGACATGAGATTAATGCTTACTGGCGCATATTCCGCGGCTCTTCGTGTGCTGCGTTTGTCCGGCTACATTCCAGAGATCCATACTTGAGTTGTTCGCCCTTGGCTTACGTTCGACTGCTGATAGTGTAAGATGACTGTAAGATATAGTGATTTAGACTAGCAGATTGTAATGCAAATGCAACAGCTAACGGGATCAGACTAATGGTCATTTCGAGAGAGACATATCCATCCAGAACTAGGCGAATGTGAACCTGATTAGTTGGCAGCTGGAGTAAACGCGTGAATAAGTATCCGGCACCCCTAATATCTCGACTCGTTGTAACATGGTAGACAACAATTAAGGAATCATGTCTTCACCGGACTAAGTCGGCTCAAGTTGTAGCTCGTCGAAGAATTGCCAGTCTCCGCCGCTGCCAATGCAAGGTTAGGCGTACGTGACTGCGAACCTGCGGTGATTTGATTGTGGTACCGGGAACGACGTTCAGAGCACTGTTGGCGGTCAAATCTAAACCGTCGAGCGTTATTTTGGGACTTAGCAGTGTTGCGTTTACTGCTGTATGCAGCGGATTGGGTGTTGCTGTGCGAGAGTCTGGATGTTGAATGAGGCTAAGGACATATGGCCTTGTAATTCCGATCAGCACTCACAAAGGTCAGTAGTGTGAATCTGAGCGGCAAGACTGGAAATGGCGGTGGTGACTGCGTTGCATTGATCGTGGTCGTAGAAGGTTCGGATTCGAGAAGTATCTAAACGCACGCTGGCATGGTGAATACAATCAGCCTAATTCCCATTAACTACATCTTCGAGGCCGAAATCTGATAGACTGAGCTTTCTCTGTCAGTGAAATCCAGTCCTGATGGAAGATGTACGACGTGAAACCCTGAAGCCATGTGTTTAAGAGAGCGGCTGGGCTAACATAATCTGGGACGGGGTAACCACATTGGTGAGCTTTGATGTGGTACCATTAACATTAATCCTTAGGTGTATGTGTAGATTCCGGCCATATGTCGGCGTGGTCGCAACTGCGGGGAGTAGTAATGCTCGCATTAGCATCGCTACTTTGCGTGCGCAAGATGCTAGTTTAGTCAAGTCAATAGCGATTGTCTGCTCACTGTTCCAGTCTCGACATCTTTAGATGCTGTCACTTTCTATTCGGGTGATTCGCAGCCGTGTGTAATGAGTCAAGTGACTATTTGGCTATAATTACGGCCTCTTTCCGGTTGCAAGCAAGGTCAGTGCCCAAGCCCTACGCTGTATATGCATAACGCTTTCGGGTACTTTCAGTGGCTGAACGAATTGTTTTCTTCGGCATGATTAGCAACATATAAAGTCTAGAGCTTGGTGTAGTGCCCAATGATGGTCACATGTTGCTACTATTCTGTTGGATCTCTTTCACATCGCCATTTGTCTCGGGCTCGAGGCACGACTAGATGGCAGTGAGTAAGCGCTCGTCGACCTCTGGCGCCATGCTTTCGGGGAAATATCGATTGTTTGTGTTGTTGCCTACTGCTCAGAGGCCTTGCAGCTGCATATATGGATTGTGATAGAGTAGGCAAGTGGTGGGCAGCTACTTGCCTGGTCTATGACTCCCATCTATTGCAAGTGCGGCACGCTTTAGTGAGGTCAAAGTGGACTTGTAGCCAGTGTGAAAAGTGTCAAGGTGGATCTCCGGTACCAAGTCAAGGAGTCCTAAATCACAACCGTGAGCTTGGATTGGAGTTTGAATAATAGAAAAGGCTGGGAAAGCGAGTGACAGGTGTAAAGCTGAAGAAGTCGAAGCAGAGCATGGGCTCAGAATGCAGACACCAGATCCACTTGAATGATGCGACATGCCAAACTACCAACACCAACCACTCATTTTCTGATGACGACAGATCGTAGCCGCTTCTTTTCAGTGGCGACCGACTCTAACTGTTCCTTCTTGGTGACGCATCCAACGACAGACGCAGTCACTTCTTCTCTGAGACTCCCATCCGTCAACAGAACTTGTCACTTCTTCCACCATGTTCCATCTCTTCGAGATGTTGAAGCACATAGGCGTTGGAAGCTGAAGTCGTCGGGGAAAGATATTTTTAGATGGCGAAGAGGCTATAGGACGAAGTGGAGGTTGTAGTCGTTGAAGGTAGAGTCGCGGAATAGAGTCGTTGAAAATAGAAGCGTTGGAAGATTAGTACGCTGTGCACGAGACGCGCGAGGGTCGTGGCAGCGGGAAGCACGCCGTCGCTGAACTTGGGTAGGCAAAATCAATGCTGGCTGTAAAGGTCAATGAAAGGCTCAGATGAAGGAGATGCACGGAGGAGCACCCACCAATGAGAACGTGGAGGATTTTGTGAGGCTGAAAGATTGCCTGGCTGGGGCGCAGAGACTAAGATGCGGTCGAGCGTGATTTAGGCAAAGTATAATGGGTTCTGGCCAGTCCATAGTGTGGTGGGATTTGCAGAGAGGCATAGGAAGCCACGGGAAGGCTAGCTCAGCGGAATAGAGCGAGACACCGATTCGCTGGCGAGTGGTTGGGGAAGATCAAGGCTGCCCGAGTGCAGACGTTACAATCCCAGAAATGGTGCGAAGAAGAAGTTGAAAGAAAGGCTTCTGGGCAGTGAAACTCTGAAAAGCTGTGAGACTGAACCGCGAACGGTGCTGTATGGCTGCCAAGTTGGCTGGATGCTAGATAAGTGGATGGGATCCGCCGCGGTAGTATGATGTGCAGGGATCAAGGCTGACTAGATTAGTTAATGATAGTTTCTGTATTGCGGTCTGTATAGGAGAAGAAAAGGACTTACTTTTAGAATGCCGTATCATGTTAGAAAACGTCCCATATGTTCTCGTACTGATCGATGGCAACGGTTATATCTTCAATGACGAGCTTATTCGTGACAAAGAAGAAGGCGGTGTGCGAGCGACCTGCTCTTCAGAAGGCTACCTGCCTAAATCCTTGTGCCAGATCTGCACATACCGCATACGCTGAGGTCTTTGCACGACAAGTACTCCTTCCATAGAGACCACTGCATCTGGCCTTGCAATTGCGCAAATCTCTTGTGCAGAGCGCCACAGAATGATGGCACTAGTTGGCGATTGTGAAATGAAGGCATTATGTGAAAAGGCCAAAACCTGTCGTAGCTGGGCTGACCGTCAGAGGTCTGCTTCTGTGATCCTGAGATTGACTCATAATGTGTAACTTTGCTATCGGGTGATTCGAAAGCGAATGAGACTGCGCACTGCAGTATTCTTGCGAAGATGTCTGTATAATTAATGCCTGCTAATACATTGCGAATCGCTTCGTATCCTGAATGAAAACGTGTAAATTTGGGCAAGTGCTGATATGTGTTAAAGGCCAGCTTCAGAATACCTTGATGAACTGTAGTCTAGGCTTACTCAAGTGGTAGACTCTATAAGAAGAATAAAATTTATACTAGCTAACACTCTCGTCATCCGGGTCGGCGCCTCTAGCTAATGAAGGAGATTGTTGATGGTATCCACTATTGTGAGTATCTCTCGCACGAGAGATAGCCTGGGTGTAGTCACGTGATTCGGACCGCTGAGAACTAGCAACTTCATATAGGGGGCCTGCTTTATAGATCGCACAAGATACAACTCAAGCAATTAATACCTATTACTTTACTACCGTACGATTGTACAAAAGCCTGCTACCTATACGCGATGCGCGATAGATAGCCTATTCAACAGAGATGATATATGCGAAACCTATGCACGTTGTTGTCGTTACCAAACCTAATGCCGTCCTTATGGAAATACTCTACCTAGTTTCTCACATGGATACAGCAGCTCGGGCGGCAGGCTGCTAGCTACTATCTCCTCTTCCACCTCGCCTCTTAACGTCCCGACCTTCGAGAATTGCATATGTATTCCTGAAGGCCTCTGGGCGCAGACATGAGCTTAAGACAGCGAGACGACAGTTGCTCATGGATGATTTCTGTTCCACCCACAAATTCTGGTCGTTCCATCTCGATTTACCAAGGAGGAAGTCACGGAACGAAGGATGGTGTAGGCGAATAGGCTAGTCAAGATCCGTCGGGATGTCAAGAATGGCGTGCAACTCTTTCAGCATTCGAGTGACTTGCTGCTCTAGTACCAGTATAAGCATGCCTGTCGATGAGACGGAAAGAGGCGAGGACAAAGCTACGATGCTCCCGAGGAACTGCCGCATCATGCTACAATATTTGTCAGTTCTCGTGCAGTACAACTGCTCTAACTAGATTTTTGCAGAACGGTCAGCTAATTGAGTATTTTTATGGGCTAGCTGCGCTGTTATGATCACTGCCGTTGGCAAGGATCTGCAGCCGCTCTGCCGCATACAGGCCTTTGCTAATAAAGCGGTACGCTGTTGCAGCCCAGATAAACAACCCACTCGAACTTCGAACTAAGCTTTCGATGACTTCTGTGCCTAGCCAGCTGAGTTCTCAATCATCCTCCTTGCCAATCTGGGTCAGCTGGTGATCAAGGAAGAGCTGGATGTCGTAGTCGACGATAGACAGTGACACTTTATGCAGCAGAAAGCCCTGTCGCTCTACGTCTGGCACTTATCGAAGCCCGTATTAAATCGTCACCTTAGGTCTGCTGGCGAGGAAAACTCGCAGCCGCACAGTGTCTGTCGACCTAGACACTGCCAAGAGCTGCACGACGAGCTGCGTGTTATTGCTGCCTTCATATTCGTTAAGAGCGTCGATCACTAGCACAAAAATTGCTGGGCCCTGCACCTTCGACCGCGGCTCGGGGACGAGATGTTACCACTGATGGCGCAAGGACTAGCTGGCAATCTCAGGACGCTCTGGGAGGGCATTACTGATATGACACTAAACGCCGGACACGCTCAGTGCAGGCTGGACTGCAATGCTAGTGACGACCTGGCCGCTCGGCCGACCTCGCCGCCGTCTGCCTCTAGAGAAGGAAAAGCTAGCACCCAGACGTTACTTTGTATGATACTAGCAGGCGACTGAGCCTGCGACTGTTGTTTTGCTAGTACTAGCTAGGCCGCTCAGCTAGAAATGTATTGCTCGCGCTACCCTTCTGCCTATTTGTAAAATCGATCTAATAGGTTAACACGGTTGTTAGCGAGGCACGTTGTGTCGTGCTGAGAGGTGTTCAGGTTAAAAGGTACACTCTAGGCGCACGGAAGGTAGTCTATAAAGTCCTCTACGGTCACACAATGTTAGTGAAGACGCCAACGCTATTGCAATCAGAGAGCTTAGCTAGACTACCTACTATCTTGAATCTCTCTTTAAAACCTTGTGAAAACTCGATCCACTCCCTCGCTATAGTTTGGCAGCATGCTCATACCAAAGAGACCTATCCTCCCCATATTTCGTCTCACGACACTCTGCCCAAGACATCCGCTCGTTAACACTGAACTCATCTAATAGAGCATTGCGAAGGACGTAAGGTAGGACCTTAGTGACCCTCCTGCAGTGCGCAGCCTAAAAACTCCTTGTTCCCTAATTAGGTGGCGTCCGAATCGAACCACTTTACCAACTGAGGCGCAAGAAGCTCTTAAAGCGTCTAGACTATCGATTGCTGCGGGAAACTGGTTCGCAAGATCGCGCCGGCGGACTTGTGCTTCCAAAATTCCGTGTCGACACGTCTATAAGATACAGATAGCATATTACTGCACCGCCATACCAACGAAATATCGACGTGATGGCTTTTGAGAGCTCCATTCAATGCAGCAGGTGTCTACCCAAAGTAGCGCAGGCCGTCGTCCGCAGCCTTCTTTCCACAAAAGTGAAGCTCCTTGTATCCTACTTTAGTTGTCCTGAGCCCCGAGTCAGGTCTGCAAAGCTCATCTCCCATCGTCTTCGCGCCAAGTGTGTGAGAGAATGGCGTAGTGGTGAAAGCAGGCCCTTAGTAAGGCACAGTTCAACACTATGGTCGAAGTGCAAGAGTCGAACTGTGCGAAATAAGCATATAGTGGCGAGACTGGGTCGTGTATTAAGTATTGTAGGCAGCGGTTGCGATGATAGTTTCCACTCCCACCACAACCGCGTACTGACGTGCTCAAAACGCACATGAGAACATCAACTCAAATTCAATAAAGACGCATTTGCATACATCCAAGGTGCAACAGCGTTGTTTTCATTGAGCGCTTTTCGGGCGGTGGCATGACTCTAAGTCCAAATCCAGCAGCCTCAAATTCGACACGAAGATCCTCACGTCTTGCGCAGGCGACAGGTTCAGCGGTTGCGGCTTGTTCATTTTGACAGACAGGCTGCGATAGACGGTAGTATTGGCTGTCGACGACTGCGAGGTTGACCGCGACATGCTCTCGCTGGTTGCGTCATCTCGGAGTGTTTAGCGCGAGATATCCGGCCTCGAGAATCCCTACGAGCTCCAAGCACAGAAACTGCACAAAGTTACGCCTGTAGTACCATTGCTTTTGTCGCCTCAGGAGTTTACAAAGAGTACCAGCTTTGCATAGCGCGCAATCTCCGCAGCGACCGACTGCCATCCGAACCTGTGAACGCGGGACATGCCACGCTTATGCCCTATACAAACGCCTTGCAGCATCGTCACTGCGCAGCGCTGGAGAGAGCTCATGGTGGTGGCTGAATACCGAGTACGTTGAGCAGGACCTCTTCGATGGCCATGTTGCCGTCGCAACCCTCTTCTCGGTCGATGACGAAGGAGCAAATGGGACTGGGCGGGTAAGCGCTCGGGTGCAAAATCGAGGGCTGCTAGCCGCCGTGATATCACGGCTAGTAGCCAATCACGTGGCAACTACGCGACTTCCTTTCTCAATCACCGCTCACGTCAACGACCACACTACCAGAACAACAGACCCTGCAGCCCTCTAACTCGAACGACACGTCGAGCCGGACAACGAGAGCACTAGGATCGTCACCGGAATCGTCACCAAGCTCGCCAAATCAATGGCGGGCTTGTCCAGTCTCAACGAAGTCATAAGGTACAATTTCGAAAGAGCGCAGACCCATCCCTGCAACGCCAACGATTATTTCGAGCTGAGATTCTGTCCAAGTGCCGTCCCGCGCTTTGGAGACATAAAGCTACTACAACAAGACCTGGGCCGAGTTCGCAGCTCATTTCCATGCCCCAGCGGCTACGCACGATCCACATACAACCAAATCAAAGACCTTCAATTCGCGTTTGCCATCACTTTGGACTATTCTGTTGATCCAGGAACAATGGGGCGCGCTCTTCTATCGTCTGCGTGAAGTGACGACACTACCCATCGAGCCGCAATCAGTTTCCTGGGTCGACTAAGCTTTCACGGCTGCAGGAGATTGAGGATATTCCTACTGATCTCCCACCTTACTGTCTAACGCCCGTCTAGACCTCACCAAAACTGCCCAGATGCTCGCCAGCGGTGACACTCCAGTAATCGCGAACATTCTCGGAACTGTTGAAGACCGCAGAAAGGATCATACTTGGTGGTAAGAAGAAAGAGCGGGTATGGGCTGCTGAGCTCTGGCATTCGAATTTGGAGACTGCTCTCGCCTGGCGCTCGGCGTTGACCAGTTTGAGAGTCTTTACGAGCCGCATCTCGCTGCACTGCGCGTATCTGGCGACCTTGAAAAGAAGTGAATCTATCTGACACGGTAGATTGCGCAGCATTAGGATATTGAGTTCTTCGGGGACTCGCGGCGCGCTGGCGTCAACCTTCCCTTCAAGCCATCCGCCAATCTCTGTATCGAACTCTGTCACATCGTGCAAGCACATACACTCGTCCAAAAAGTTTGAGGCGGCACGGTAGGTATACAATGAATTGGCCGATGAGGCGGCGAGACTTGAACAGGATGTGGACCAAAAAGCATTACTTCAACACTCCTTGAACCAATTCTACGACAGTTTGAGGGCTGAAGGAGACGAAGCGGGAACATTGGGGACAAACATAATTAACATCACTAAGCGCCGCGGCATGTGCACGAGTTTTGCGCCGGCTTGAGAACTAGAATGCTGGAGAGGAAGGTGTTAACGACGGCAGTGGCGACCATGTTGCTACATAGAAAAAGCCATGGCCAAAGGTACTCGATTTCCACTACATCCTTCTCGGGAGTCACACCCAGATCCAGCGCGCCCACCCACTTCCTCGAAAACTGTATTCACCCTTGAGGGCATGCCGCATCCACTCTGAGCTGCAGCGCAACACTGATCTGCTATACCAGGACTGTCCAACGCTTCTCGCAAAGCCGCATCTATGCTGATCAAACCGCCAAGTCGGAGAGTGTTAGCTAGGGAAGCAAGCCGCACATCCCTCCGGCGAGTCGCCTGCAATTGCTGTCTCTCAACAAAGTTATTCTCGGTCATGATGCCTATAAACAAGACAGTTCCGGATGTTGGCAAGCCTCTCAACGCTCACCAGGTTCTGGACGGACGATATCGGATACATCATTGCGCATTCGCGAGATGAGCGGCGGGAATCTGCTATTCTACTGAATACAACCCGCCAGATGCTTGAACTACCAACAATTGCAGTCTCACAACCCATGCAGGCTATCGAATCAGATACCAGTGTGGCTTGAGTGCTGGTGGACGTTCCATACACACTTCAACAAAAATGAGTGGGTGGATCCGAGAACTTGGAGGCGAGTCGCGGAAACGCCCTTAAGGAGGCGTAAAGGGCTTCATAGGTGAAGATGAGCCTGGGGCCGTACTTGAATGAATGGGTCAAGAATGGTAATGGAAGAATCCTCGGTGCGGCACATATTGAACAGCACTTTGGCCATCGTCTCCGTTCCCGCAAGACTTGAGACTTCACAGACGACGAAGATGACAGGGTGCACGCGAGCACCTCCACCACCAATGCCAGCGCATGGCCACGGCTCCGACAAACTTGTGTCTCCTAAAAACACAGAGGAATCTTAAGCAACAGCATCCACATCAAACGACGGCTTAGTAAACCAACGGAAAGATTCCATCTTCCTCTCCATCCTCGTAAAATCTGTCTCTCAAGAAACCCCTAAATGGAATGTTCATCAATTGTCACGAAATCTCCGGTATCTTCTGTCTAACCTGAAAGAAAGACAATCTGATAGATGCTCACATTACTAATGTTGCCCCTTCTGCACGCATAATTTCTGCGCACGAAACGGCTCAAGGAGAATATGGAAAGATGCAATACAGTGGATCTTTCGAATCAGCGAGTAACCATACGCGAAGTTCAGTGCGGTCGGATTCCGATACATACAGTTACCGTCTGGACAATGGGAAAGAGACGTATCTACCTTGATCGGCCAATACCTCCCAACCACTCTACGACGACCATTCTCGACCTTGGCGTCTTCATAACCCATCGCGACCGACTGCATCTCTCTCCTGCGCTCAGCCACTTTGCCGTACCTTCTTAGTCTTCGCGCGAAAGCGGTGGAGTCGAAAGGGCTCGCTGCAGTGACCAGGCCAAGACCAGTCATCTCAGAAAGCTCTTCGGGGTCGTTTGTATTGAGATTATGGGTTTTGTGGATAGAAGTGAGACGACTGGTCGAAAAGGGCCATGTGCATTTGGGGATACTGTTTTCCCGGGGTTTGAGGCTTTGCGTGAAGTATTGCTATCGCTGTTGAAGGAGAGAAGGATGAGACGTGATATGGGGTCAGTATATTTGGCTCAAATCAGTAGTGTAGGTCCAAGATGTGTTGAAGCCTTCCAAAGGACATCAGTTCATATAGACTGCAAACAAAAAAAGTAGAGCAAGTATTTGCTGCATCGAAGAACTGGACGTTGGCCGGAACCAAGCAAGTTTCTGTACATAGCAAAGAAGCCGATGTAATTAAGTTGCGATCGGGAATCAGTGAGCAATGAAAATAGACGGGAGATTTGCGGAATTGACAGACCCAGGCAGCTATCGACACATGATGCTTGTGTCTGTTCAGCAAATTATAATATGTAAAATATGTGGCAGGCCTAGCAAGGACCCCAACGCGCGAGGTGGCAGACCAGCTCGACGCACAAGGTGTGAGTGCACGATCGCCTTCCGCGTTGTCGCGACTCAGCCACCAGCTGTTTTGGGCGGGATTCTTCAGGAGACATGTCTTTTGCATGTATCGACTTGGTGACAAGAGGAGTGTGATTGTCTTTGAACTCGCCTTGTCCGCCAGACTTGGCCTCTCTCGCCTTCTCCGCATAGGCAATATTGGCGGATACCCAGGCCGCGCCACTATCCATGATAGAATGATAGAATGCTGCAGCAATGGATAAACGCGCTGACTCCGCAAGTGGTTCAGTGGGTACACTGTAGATGTGCTGCCCGCGCGGGACCTATATGCTTCGCCTGAGACGTGCCCTATCCTGGATGTGTGGGGTTGTTGTATCCCTTATGTCCTCCAAGCTACCACTGCTACATCTCGTTTCCCGCCTCAACATCCCCATCTCACTCGCCGTGACTCATTTGTCCACTACCAACTCCAACATCTGCTCCCTAAGCGCCTCGCGCGATACGTCTGCATTGCTCATCCAGTGTTCGTGTGACTCAGTGTTCACAGCAACCTGCCTCTCATGCTCCGTATCTTTGTAATTCAAATCGCAAATATCCCTGCAATTGTTCATTGCCATATCCTTGTAGAACCCTACATTGCTCTGCAGATCATGTAAAGCGCACTCGATTCGCGCGAACGACTCAAATCTCTCCTTGCTCCACTCGCTCCACTCGCTCTTCCCGAAGCGGAGTTTGGCTATCTAGGATGCTTCGCTTCTATCATTGGCCTCTTACTGCGTTTTGGCAAGTCCCTTTTCGGCCTCGATCTTCGCACGTTCGGCAAGTTCTTTGGCGCGGTCCGCAAGCACACGTTGTACCTCCAGCTCAACCCTTCAGTCCGATCCTTCTTTGAACTCTACTAGTCATCCAGGGCGGCAGGGGTGTAGTGCCTGACCCAGACAGAAATTCAGTGGCAATGCTGAATTGTGGGGATTGAGAGACCAGACATGACTGCGAGCGAGAGGCGCCGCTCTGGATGTGGACCAAACCTTGCGCAACGACACAGCAACGACACAGCAACGCCGCCGTTGTCCGAGCTTCTTGAGATGCAGCTTGTCCGCACTCGGTAACCAAATGACCAAGAACGAGCTCCTTCAGCTTCTCCCACATCTGTCCAAACCCTCACCCAGGAACGAACGGAGTACCACACCAAATAGTACCCGACGTAGCGTCCTCCAACATGGCCCTCCCGTGCCCGAGCTCCGACCTCTCCTGAAATGCTGCATCGCTGCTCAAATCTGCACTCTAGAGTGTTTGTTGTACCACGCCATGCTCAGCGCGCCTTCTGTAAACAGCCCTGCACTCCGCCAACCGACCCAACGCAAGACTACCCGGCCTCGTCAAACACCCGTAAGCCCGAAATTATGTTACCGCTCCATTGTCACACATACAAAGCATTCTAGCACTCAGATCATTGCGTAGAAGCTGCCAGCTTCTAGCTAAGTTAGGACTAGGCTGCGAGATGAAGCTAACGCTAATTGACGCCAGAGCAGCATAGTTCGACCGCACACAACGTGCAAGCTGCACTGCCCCTATCACGTCTCACTTTGCCGCATTTCCAAAGCTGAAAATTGCTTGAGCTCGCCTAGAAAAAAGCAAGAAAGTAAATGCAATCATGGTCGTCTTGACGTCAACGAGGTTCGCGGCCTGAACCGCCTCTTCGAAGCATTTCGAACGGTAAACCTCATTCACGCCCTCAGCACGTTGTCATTTTGCAGGCTCAGCCATTCACCATTCGATCTTACTCTTTTCTTATTTCTTCACCTCGCATATTCGCTATTGTCCGCGGGAATGGCGAGGCTGAGACAGGGTGTAATGAACGTGCAAACGACGCGTCGTTACACCCGCAATCCACGTGCTTTTTTCCCGTCAGTTTCCCGTCAGTATAGTCGCCAAATGAAGCGAAACTGCACTGAGAGACTGAGAGTGAAACCAAATTCATAGAGCCTGGGGCACGGCCGGGTATTGTTGAGAAACTCTGAGGGGAAGTGAAGAACTGGGTGAGACACGGACGCGTCGAAAAGGACAACTCATTTGACTCAGCAGGGAGGGGGGGGGGGGGGGGGGGGGAGTCTTGCAGCATAAAAGGCATTGCTGCCCTTGCTATTATAGCCATAGTACCCAGCTTCTCACTTTCTTCCTTCGTCTTCTTGTCCAAAGCACATCCAACTTCTTTACCGACACTTACCACAACCACAACCTCAAAGTCTACTACCATGGCTCACCCTCAGCGAGTAGCTACCATGGCTCACCCTCAGGGAGTAGCTCCCGTGCCAACTGGTCCTCATCGAATGCAGCATGACATGGACCTTGTACGTTCATCCTATTCAACACTCTATCCCAACTTTGCTAATATTGCTTCTCTCAGCTCCTCTTGCACCTGCTCGAGTTCCAGGGCCACCACGGCCAACTTGGCGTCCGTCGGCTCATTCACGCATGGGATTGGGGTAAGTACCGGGAAACTGATTCGACAAGCCAATTCGCTAACAAACATGCAGAGGGCGTTCTTGGAGGATTCGAGCTCTCTGCCATCCTGCAGAATCCGATGACTCTCGACAGCGTCCGGATGGCCCAGGCCCGAGTTCGTGCGGAGGCACAAGTTGCTGCGAGGGCCAATCTTGCACAGGCCATTCGTCGGAACAAGGAGCGGCGAGGCCGCAACTACATGGCCGTTCGCGAAGGCTCCGTCATCGACCGCATCGACCGCATCTACGACAGCGTCCGCAACTTCGTCGAGCTCGTTCTCCGCGTCCAGCACACTCTCCGCACCATCGTCAACTCCGAGAGGTTCAAGCTGGTCGTTGCCGCGCTTCTCTGCATTTGCATCTCTCTCATCTCGTGCATGTTGACCGTGGTCGTCCACGGACACTTCTCTGGATATACTCAGAAGTCTGACTTGCTGGCCATTAGTGGCTAGAGGTATGCTAGATTGGGTTCGTGGTACAATCTCCCCAGGGTTGTTGTCACGTGGAAGGGCACGACTCTTGCCCAGTGGTCATTGAGGCGACTATAGCGTTCCACCCGCAGGCAGTAGGTGGTAAATTAGTCCCTGATGTATTTAAGAATTCGTCTATAATTGTCTTCTGTGCCTTGTACTCTGCCAGCTCCGACAGCTCAATCGATCTAGTGATGTAAACCCACTGCTTTTGCAAAACGATCATCACACAGCATGTATCGTGTGATGGACACCTTGTCAAGTTTCTCACGGTGCTTCGCCCTAATGGCTGTGCCTATAATTCTCACTGTCTGAGGCAGTTTGGAGGAGTTTTTGGTGTTGGTTCGTGGTGACTTTGTTTTCTTCGTAAGTGTGGCTAGCATCGATCTTCGTCTGCTCTGTTCTGACTTGCTTGAGGTCTTCCTTGGCTTCCATCTGATCCGGTATGAGCACAAGGCCGCACTGCTCCTCACTTTGGTATTCAGCTAACATTGGCGCAGTATGTGGTACAACGAGGATTAAGGCGACGGATACGATGGAGAATGGTCACGCAATCAAGGGCGTGGGCGAATTATTACAGTGATATCACGCCCACATCGATCGCTTTCTATACCCAACACTCCAGCTCAAGCCTGCCGAGGACGATGGCTCCGTTACAGTCGACGGCGACCATCATCAGCCCGACAAGGAAGACATGAAGCGTTGGCTGGGAGATTATTGACGCCTTCAAGCCGATCTTTGCGCCATTATCTACCAGACCAACAACCTGTTCGTCATATTGCTTGATTGTGACCTTCTCGACGGCAAGCCGCCGCCTTTGGAGAAAGTCAAAGCACAGCAATATCAAAACGACAAGGTACACATGCAGCTTTGGTAGCAGTGTACAACCTCCTTCAAGCTGGTCTTTGAGGCATTCCCTCCCGCCCAAGGGTCTCCTCGCTACATAGATTAAGTGTGATTATCCCGCGGCAAGCTGCTGACTCTGTTAGACTTCAACGATGAGGCGGACCGCTCCGACAACAAGGGCTTGCAGCATAGTATAGGAGAGAGTGAACGCCTGCCAGCCGATCTTTGCACTACTATCTACCAGACCGACATGTACCTTGCCAAATGGATCAATCGTGATTGTTTCCGCGCCCACTTGACTTTGGAGGACCGCAAAAACAAGGTAGCGGTTGGGGAGACTGCCTCGCCAGCCTCGGGGACAAAGTCGGAATGAGAGACCAGTCTCTCATCGTTGGCTCGAACTTCAGTGGTAGTGATAAACGCTCTTACGATGTCGGTATGGCAGGTTTGGATGTCATTTGGGGAATCTCGACGAAGAGCGAGAGAACATGGGTTGAATGGTTGAAAGCTGGCAGGGTCAGGTACAGTTGAGAGTCTAATTCGATGCATGCGGTAATGCGACCATTTGGATCTGATGCTGCTCCTTCATGATCTGATTGTACATGGTGTGGGAACACGGAGGTTTCGCGACCCCCAGTCGGCAAACTCAGCAGGGGCTTCATCAGGTCACTCGTCGAACTAGGGTCAGCTCAGCTAGACGGACGCGAGGTGACGATGCATTCGCTTCTGCTGGATAATTAATCATCTACTGGTGGGCATCGAAGTTTTGGTCAGACGTCATGAGGACTTTAATATCGGAGTATCTGAGTGTATAAAGATGTCGAAGTTATTTTGAGAGCATGCGCAAACAGATTGCGAAGTCCGTGCTGCCCAGCACAATGTGTAGTGCTTGGTTTACACAAGTGAGGCGCCGTTTGGCGTGTCCTGTATGCCGTCGTGATGCAGTCTGTGCGTGGGGGCTGGCAATTGGACGCGGGCTATCGCGCACTGGCGGCAGACGAAGGGATTGAGGCTCCCGCCGAATGATTTGTCGCCGCTGGTAGGCCGATGCGATTCCGTCTTAGTTGGCTGAATGCAAAAGTGGCGCCTTAAGTTGAAACGAGCATGAAGAAGCATGAGAAGATCGTGATCCACTAAGATGAGAAGATATCATAACTTCATAAACCTACACTCAGAGAGTAGGAAAGGTGTACTAAGCAACAATGGTGCTGAGGAAAAAACGGTCAAACGAAAATGCAGTCAGAAAGAAGAAGAAGGCGAACGTGCGCCTCAGTCGCCTTGGCCCATCTCCTCAGCAATAGTTGTTGTAACGTCCACCTCTTCACCAACTCCATGTTTAGCCACCTCTCCCATTCCCCTCTCCATCACATCACTCTGCGCATACTCAAACCCCGGGAACGGCTCCCATTCTCCCAACAGCTTCCTGCGCTCCCGAAATCCCGGCGCGGTGCTACACAAGTCCCACAGGAGGGTATGCATGACCTTGTCAGCGCCGATGGTGGCTGCTTGCGCAGGCACACCGATGGAGTGCAAATGCGCGAAAGCGAGGTCCGAGATGCCGGATTTCTCGGTGCCTTTTGTGCAGGCCCACATCTTGTTCGGGGGAATGAGGTCCTGCGGGTGAGGTTAGGGAGGGAAAGGGAGAATGGAGATGGAGACTTACCCTCAACATGATCAAGCTTCCCAACCCCAACTTCTTCGCCATAAACGCATATGAGCTCCCCTTGCTCCTTAGATCCTGCAGCTTCTCCTTGAACCCCTTCAGCGTCGTGCAATCAGGGGGCAAAAATGACTCCAACTGCCTATGCAACTTGTCAATGTCCGCGGGGAACAACCTTTGTAGACGGCAGTTCGACGAGTTGATATAGTGGTTGATGCCGTTGTGCGAGACGATGTAGTAGAAAAGCCGCATCACGATCTGCATCACGTCTGTGCGGAACTCGTATGAGTTCAACGCCATGGTGTACAGGAACAACTTGCCGTAGGCGCCAGACTCGACCACGGAATCGCTGGTTACAAGTGGTTCGGCCTTGTTCCCGTACATGTCGCCGAGGAGAGCGAATGGGTCGTCGAGGAGCGCTTGTCCCTCATCGCAGATCTGAAGCTGGTGCGAGTCGGGACCGATCTTGAGGAATTGGCCCCACCAGCTTGAGGAAGACAGCTTCTTTCGTTTGGGGGTGGTCATGTCATCGGGTGGGGGAATGCGTTTACGATTGCTTTGGGAGATGGACGAGAGCTTGAAGCCTTTTGTGGCGAGGATGCCGGTCAAGGCTGCATGTGTTTGTACGTCGATGCCGTCCATGCGGAGGAAGTCCAAGAATGTATCCGTGAAGACAGCCTCGTGGTTGGAGAGTAGGTGCGACACAACTCGCTTGCCATATAGGTCGAAAGGTGTGTCGTCGTCAATAGGGCATGGTGATGATAGTATTCGCTGGTCCAGTCCTCTGGCTGGGTTCATTGGCGCAGGTGGTAACGCAAAGGCCGCACCACCCTGTGAGAGGGTAGATAGGGGATTCGTATACGCTGTCTCGTAATTCTGCAATAGCTGAGATGAAGCTGGAAATCCATATAAGGCTACGGCGTCGCACATTGGAGTTGGCGGTGTTCTCGGGGTATTCCCAGGGGGCAGGTTGGAGGGTGGAGGCGTCATGGGAACTTCCATATCGCTACTGTACTGCTGTTGGACTCCGGCTTCGATTGACTGGGAGAGTTCTTGATCGATCAGCATATGCAACCACACAAAACAGATCGTGATCTGGTGTCATACCTAGTGGATTTCCATGCGCGACACCCATATCGACTTGGTCCGCTTTGTATTGGAATTGTGGATCGCTCCGCGGCGTGAACATGTTCGCCTCTTTTCTGTAGGCATCTGTCCAACAAGAGCCCTCCGGGTCATTCTGCGCAGCAAGGTCGATGTCCAGCGATGGCACGTCGTCATTGTCATGTAGACTTGCGATCCACAGACGAGGATCCATGCTGTGTTCCAACAATAACAATGTTGAGACGAATGCAACGAAAGAATTGTGAGGAGACGGTGCAGCACGTCCGCACAAAGTATACCTATATTCCCTAGAATAAGAACGTGCACTGGTCACAAACACTGTTGCACGGAAGAGGAGTTGTCCCGTCGATTGTGCTCCAGAATCCTCCTCCTGAGTCAATGCATGGCTTGCGTTGAATCAAGAGGGTTCTGGAGCATGTCAAAAATTCTGACGGCAGGATGGAAGGGCGAACAGCTTCATCGTAGGCCAATTGGCTTGTCAAGAAGTGAATCAAGAAGTGTCGGGCGCGCCTGTGGACGCGTCGGCGCTAGTGCAAGTGTTTAGCGGGCTCTTCCCACTGCGGGCAAAAAGAAGCGGCGACGAGATCGCTAACGTTATGGCTGAGTACAGACTAGCCCAGTACGTATCAGCACCACGGCAACTCCATCACAGACACCACGCACCTCACCGCTACACCACCACCACGCACCACACCACGACCAATCCACATACAGCTGCTCCGACGCTCCCACGCACTCCAAGTGGCTGAGTTGGGCATGGAAGCGTCCTTCTACCGACCAGCATTCCCTGCGGAGGCGTTGCTACATTTCTCCATCGCCCAAGCGCGATCACCAGAACACGGTTACTCACAACGTCAGTCACAACGTCAGTCCAGCTCTTCCGGCCACGAAAAGCCTCAACAGAGACATTTCCCAGAGCGGGGAAGATTATCGCCATCCCAATCTGTCCCCTCCCGTGTTGGACATGCGTACTTGGCTGACCTATACAGACCACATTATGTGTCTCGTGTGATCCGGTCGGCCGCGTCTCCGCGTACCCTGCGCCGCTGGCCGCTGACCGATGGAGCCCCAAGCCTGAGCACCTCCCCAGAACGGGTCGGCACGGGGTCAGCGACTTCACCTGTGGGCTCAACGGTCGATTGACAATGCACGCATCCGTCGTCCACGACTTGCAATAGCACGGCTTGGACCTGGTGGACCCGTGCGCTAATATCTGACCCGCCTCTCCATTACCGTCTCAGCCAGCGTCAGGGAAATCGCTCCAGCTACTGCTCCATCACCCTGAACCGATGCATCTTCTAGAGACCCAGCAAGCGCATGTCTATGGGGGGATGGCGTCTGCTCTTCCGTATCTCCCTCGCAATAGCACGGAGTGAACTGGTGTGGCTGAAACCGAACAGCGAACAGGGACTCGTGTGAAGACCTTAGCGATCGGCATCAGTCAATCCGAAAGCTCATCTCATCACTCCAGCTGCATATGAAACACTGCTGGTGCTGTTACTCTGTGAAAATCGCGCCTTCCCAGCCGTCTGGTTGCACGTGCTCATATGTTGTATTGGATGCATGCCAATGCTTTTCGTTCCTGCACTCCCGGATCCAAAGTATATGGTGGCAACTGGCTTTGATTATTTCGTATAAGCACATAAGAGACACATTTGCTATGCGGAATGATCCGACTGGAGAAGGGTGTCCCGATTACCTGGCCGCATGAGCCACCGCAAACAGCACTGCACCACAAGTGCGCAAGTCCTGGAGACGGTGCCTTTGAGCTCATGCACAGCTCTCTCTTCAGAGCCTCTTTTATGACGGTACGTCAACGCGATCAGGGTCGAGTGGGAAGAGGCAGAAACGGCCATGACAGGGGTCAGGACACATCGACCGTGCTCAACCTCATCAACCCCACCTAGCCCACTCCAATGGTACACGTCAATCCTGTCGTGGTGACTTGAAGGGCCGAGATTGCTTCTTTTCGTACCCCTCGTTACAAGCTGAGGTGGCTGGCTGATGTCTTACTCAGTCATATTCTGCCTGTCCCCGACACTGGACACCTTCATCTTTGCTCAAAATGGAAGACCCGGCTCACCGACACTTCGACATATGCGGAGTCTACTCAATCATGGACCAGCGCTTCACTCTACTTGTGAAATGTACCAAGACGCTCGGGGGAAAGTCGCAAAGCCATCATCGATGATGTTGCTTCTCCCCGATCAAAGACAATCACAGTGTCATCGTCAACCCGAGAGCCGATAGCGCAAGTCTCCCGCGGCATCTCTCAACCAGCCATCGCTTTCTGGCTGACTTGCCATCCCAACACGCTTCCCATCCGCCACGTCCGCACTCGCGCTCGTGCATGTCCGATCCGCGTTCCCGTCAACGGTACGCGCCGCCAGAATCGGAACCTGCTCCCTGCGCTCGAGACACTTATGCCTCGTCGCTGTTTGGGAGGCGGACGCAGCGATGGGGAGGGAGTGGCTGGTGGGGAGTTGAGGGAGGTTGTGATCGAGATCCGAAATGGCTTCGGAGTAGAGCCCCGGTACCCAGCATGATGGGTGTACCTTAAGTCGTTGGTGCAGGTATCCATTTTCCAAGTTCGAGACTATGAACTCATCAAAGCACATCAATGACTGGAACTATGCTTGAAAACTCAGGAATGTTGGAAATGTCCTCGGTATCATAGCTGGATGGACAAAGGCGCGACGTAAGCTGGGCGAGGTAAGAAAATAGTAAAAAAGACGCAGCGAGTGGGTTCGAATGGATCATGTGCTGTTGGGCTGCTTTGGTCGCCATTGCCCGTTGGCCTAGTCCAGCTTTCTTGCAATGTGCGCTTGTTCTTGGGTGTAAAGTCGGCTTCGTCAATGGCGAGGGACACGAGGATTCATGGGTAGTCTTGGAGGAGGGGCAGCTGGAGGGCGGCGATCAGCCGTTGGTGCAGATTAGTACACACGGAGGAATGTTCAAGACATTGCTTCCTGGGTCCTCATATCAATGTTTGACGTCGTCCGTGTCTGATAGCATCTGATCGCCGATGATGTCCATATGGTCCCTCCCAACGAGTAAACGCCGACGCGACATTGGAGCACCATCTGGACTTCGGAGAAGGTGCGAAGGTATCCTCGCCGTGCTGAAACGCAGACTCTAGCGCACACTTGGGCAGCATTCATCCCTTGTCCGGCGTCCGGCAAATGTTGGCTCGGCTTGAGGTTATATGGCGTTGTCGGTTGTATTTGTCAATTCTCAGAGCCAGTGGCGCAGTCGGCCAATGGGAACCACGCTCTAGCCACTCGGCTCAGCTGAATAGTGAAAAGACTGCCCTACCTTATGCTTACCTGTTGCTGTTCTGAGCGATTAGGAGACAGGCTGCGTACGTAGTAATAATCGCTCTGAGCGAACGATTCTAACAGAAGTGCCAGAATCGATAGACGGGATTGATGGGCGGCTAGGTACTTCGTGTTGAAGCAATGCGCGAAAGTCTTGATGTTCTGTGGCTTAGACGCTAGAAGCTTAGCACGATCTATTGGCCGCAGCCACGCAAACCTCCGATATACCATCTGTGTTTGGCTTCGAAATACGACTCCAAAAACCTCATTCTGATTTGGGGGGTACGGAGCGTTGGACGCGTCTGAGCAGACGAGGTGGGTGGATTCTCACTCCGCCCATATGTGGTCGTTTGAGCCATGGTCAGCAGTGGTCAAAACGCGGCGGGGATGCGGAGAAACTGTCAGCCCGATTTAGCGTCCCGCGACGAGAGAGCGTCGTGCAACAACAACACCATCGCATCCCTCGACGTCGCGCCGCCGACATTACTATTACTGCCCCCTCCCCATGCCGAAGCGCAAACGTGCCGCATCTGAGGGCTGCTGTCCGCTATCGTCTCGCGCCTCCCACAGCAAGTCCTCATCGCCCCCCCTGACCACGGCCAACCTCGAGCTCCTGCAGCATTCGCTCAGCGCACCCGTACCCGCACACGCACCCGTCATCCCCCCCGCTATGCCTCCCTCGGCCTCCAACCGCTCATCGTCGCCCAGCCGTAGCGGCACCACATACGACGCCATCCAAAAGCTCGAGGAGTACAACATCTTCATCGACGACGCGCAAGCGCTTCCAGACTGTCTGCAGCGCTTCGTTGACGACGTCATACTGAAGCCTCGCGATCCAGCAACTGCGCCGTCCCCAAACGCAAAGAAAATCGTCAAACGCCAACGGGCCGCCGCCCGCGTCAACGAGGCGGCCGGCAGAGAGCAGCTTGTGCCCTACCTTCTCTTCCAGGGAGAATTCAACGACAGGGAAGGCGTCGAGCTGGTTCCATTCATCAATTGTCTGCCTGAAGAGCGCCTCAACCGCTTCTTCCTTCCTCCTTGCCCGGACGAAAAGAAGAAGAAGACGTGGGGTCCACTCACGCAGCCGAGGCCAGACACCTGCATTGGGTACCTGCAGAGAGGCCATGCGCGCGCAGCAGGTTGTGAAGCACCCTTCACCGACACCGAACAGACCATTTTGAACAACTACGTCATCAACAAATCCATGTACGCGCCCTTCCTCACCGGCCAGTGGAAGTCGCCCCTCGGCACAGAAAACATCCTTGTCGCACGATGCCAGGCCGCCCGAGACGGAGCGACTGTCGTCAGCTACCTCTCCACTTTCTACCGCATCGCATACGGCCGCGAGCCATCGCCTGTTGACGCCTGCCACTTTTCCGTCATTGGCGACGTCATTACTGGCCAGATCTGGATTCACTACCAGCTTGAAGGAGCGTACTACATGCACAAACTGTGCAGCTTTGCCTACGATGACCAAGCCTCCCTCGAGCGAGCGCGAGGATACCTGCACAACATCAAGCATCACGCTCTTGGTACGCGCCTGCAGTCTATCAAGGACGCGTTGCCGGCCTTCGAGGCGGGGAAGAGGGTCAAGCCCTTTCCAGTAGTGGACATGACCGAGAGTGGGGGGCCATTGCCTTCGCTGCCGGACACAGACGCAAGCAATTTCCGAGCACCAATGACTCCGGCGTCCGTCGTCTCGTGAACCTACAAAGAAGCGTCAACGCGTGGACGGGTCGGGTGCTGACTGAAGAGGACGCGCCCTGATTTTCGAAAGGCATGGCACTTCCCTTGGGGAGAGAAGCGTAGCGCTAACACAATGTAGGAACTTGCTAACAACTATCCGCCTCCTACCTCTTCGATGAGATGCGAACCTACACGTTGATCGCTCGCCAAGCGCGCCGCCCCCACGCCGCCCCCCCGTCAGCCACGGCACTATACCTCCATAACTCGATGCTGAGAACGAGAGCATGTTGGGAATGTTCGAGATGGGTACAATTCGGGCACAGTCGATTGTTCGACCATGTCCATGGCCTGCCATAATCACCTTGAGTGATTCGCTGTGGATCCGACCTCGTCATCGAGCTTCGTCTAGCCACCCGTTCAATTTCGCATCTGGGCAGCAAGTTTAGTTCACTTCTACAAGGCGATACTCGAAACTGGGAAGATGGAGATCCGACATGTCGACGAGGACTGGGATACAGGTGGCTCCGAGCGTGAGACTTCGGGCTACCCGAAATTTCAGCCGTTATGCTCAAGCTGGAGTTGGGCATTGACATGCTAGGCGGACATGATCCTTCCTGCGACTCGCAGTGGCCGAGCGTGAGACTTCGGGCTGCCCGAAATTTCAGCTATTGTATTCAAGCTGGAGTTGCATATGATACTTCCTGCAACTCGCAGTGGCCCCGAGCGTGAGACTTCGGGCTGCCCGAAATTTCAGCTAGTATATTCAAGCTGGAATTGTACATGATACTTCCTACGACTTGCAGTGGCTGAGCGGCCGAGCGTGAGACTTCGGGCTGCCCGAAATTTCAGCTAGTATATTCAAGCTGGAACTGTACATGATACTTCCTACGACTTGCAGTGGCTGAGCGGCCGAGCGTGAGACTTCGGGCCGCCCGAAATTTCAGCTAGTATATTCAAGCTAGAGTTGCACATGATACTTCCTATGACTTGCAGTGGCCGAGCGGCCGAGCGTGAGACTTCGGGCTGCCCGAAATTCCAGCCGTTATCTTCCCGCTGGAGTCGAGACGTAGAGCATCGCCCTTGCCACTGCGATCAATCACCCCTACTGAAGCGCGCGAGCTGCACGCCACTCGAAGGCCCAGTAACGAGGGTAGAGATTGCGTTGCGTTGCAGTTGGGGAGACTTGATAGTGTGAACACGGCAAATCTTTCCTCCTAATTGTACTGAGGGAGCAGCAGCTGAGCGACTACAAGCACCACAACGACTTCTACAATCTAAACATTGACTAGATCTCTGGTCCATCAAACCGTAGCGCCTCCTTCCTCTCCAAACATACTCGAGCGTCAGTTCCCAGGCCACTCAACCGCCACAACGCGCCACATCCAATTCCCGGCTCTCTGGCACGAACGCAACATCACCTTTGGGGGTTTAAATTGATCCAGCGAAGGCCCATAGCGGCACTGTTAGATTGTGGTCGACTGAACCCCGAGGCATCGCCCTTATTCACACCACATCCGAATTAGTAAATTCCGGAATAAGAGGAGTCGGGTAAGGTTGTCCTTGGCGTAATGCGGACTTTGCGGAGGCTTGGAAGGGATGGGATGGGTGGTTGGAGAGTAGAGGAGAGCGCATTTTAATGATGAGTAGATAATTAGTAAAGTAATGCAAGCTCGTAGTATTAAACTTGCAAACATCGAGTGCAACTCCCTCGTCTCGTCGGGGTCCGGGCTAGGGGCGACATCGTGTCCTGCTGCAACACCATGAAGACCGGCGAGTAGACGCTGAGGTGCATGGGTACACGTCGACGATAGAGCACTCCGACGTGGTCTCGATGGTGAGGACGTGGTCGGAGTACTGCGAGTATGACATGCTGATAATCCACATCTTCAACTCAGTGTGCGTCTACCACTCGGACACCATGAAGTACTTGCAGCGGGAGCTCCCCAAGTGCGATGAAGAGTGCGACCAGATGGCCTCGTCTTTCACCACGATGATCCTGTTCTCCGGTTTCGCGATGGAGCCGAGGATAGGCCTCGGGGTCGTCGTGGTGATAGTATCGCCGTCCACTGTAGTGATACGAGGAGAGCACGCCATAGTACATGAAGTTGCGATAGGGGTAGGCACCTCAGAGCCACGTTCAGAATTGTTCGAAACAATGTTCATGGGAGTCTGAGTGATTGCGGCTCGCGGTGTTCGTGTACTCCACGAAGCTCGATATCGGGGATAAGCTGGCGACCTGGCAGGGGCTGAAGTTCACGGTATGGGGTATGAGACCGTACGAGTCTACGCCCCAGCTCGAGGACACGACGACCGGCGAGTAATCAGGCCGAACGTAGTCGTCTCCACGAAGAACTTGAACCGCGGGATCGAGGGCCAGGTCAGAGAGATGAACGCCTACACGAAGGTGTTCGGGAGTGTGAGCGCCTTCAAGTACCAGGCGAAGAAGACGGGCAAGAGCATGATCGACTACGAAGAGGAGCTGGACTACGCTCCAAGCTCCCAGAGGCGTATGTGCTCGTGAACGTGAAGACGATCGTGTTCTTTGGACTTTGTTTGCACTCATCCAGTTTGTTTCCAAGGTCAAATGAAGTGCCACCAAGTCTCTTCATCCAAATACCAGGTGTAGGTATGTACATCCCCCCGAATGTGTATAATGATGAGAGTAATAACGCCAGGACTGTCAATTGCAACTACGGGATCGCGAGGATACTCAACTTGAAGCACAAGCCGTCGCTCAAGCAACAATACCCCAATAACTGAGCAAAGAGATGCCTGGATTACAGATACGACACACAGCAAACTACTAAAGACGTTGGTATCATCTGCTACAGTCCGCCCTCCACCAGTACCCATCACCTGCGTGCCAATGGACAGAGACGTAAGCTGCACACCTTCCTACACACACACTACGCTGACAAACTCCCGCATCCAGCGAATCACGGTCATTTCCTCAACCTGCAGGTATCTGCCCGGCATACAAGCTGATCGAGCATCTGGCCTCACAAATCTTTTAGACACTCCCCACACATACAGTCCAATCATCGAGGCGTGAGTAGACACCACATCTGACTGAAAGCGCAGTGGGGTTAGATTGAGCATGCGAGCATGGCGAAAGACAAGGGCAGCGCGAGCTGATATCTATAGCGAACGTTCAGACATGACAAGTCACTACCAAATGCCTTTAGGCACTTGCAGCTTTGACTCAGGTGTAGTGACCAAGGACACGAGGACACGGCGCTACATACTAGCATCAATGGTTTCTACATTGGCCATGCAGAGGCGATTCCGATTTACGCATCGTACCCAGCAGCGTGCTGGAGAGCGGCGAACATACCGTCTTACACAATCTAGATTGTTCACCCCATACCAAAACCATCTTCAATGTCGGCAATGGCGATTGATGAGGCTATGCGGAGAGCGCCCTCTTCGTTGCCTTTCTTTCGTCTTGCATTTCCTTCCAAGATGGAGTGAGACGCTGCCTTGCTTGAACAGCAAAAATCCAGATAACACGTCTACTCTGTCTTCGTTGTTATACTCTAGTGCTATCAATGCGCTTGGATAGAGCCCAGCAGCTTCCTATGCCGCTTAAATAAATTATAACAGAGGTCGTAATTGATAGCAGGAGAATGTACTACATGTCACACTTTGAACAAAAAGACTGTCCCGACTTCGCCGAACTCATCACGATGACTAGTTCACAAATGGTAGTTTAAACAAGATACAAGTCCGTTGCTATTACATTAAGGCGTAGCAGCAGCTGCTTCAGCGCCACTATCTACGTCATTAGAACTTTGTCTGACCAGGGAGTACCTCAATGCGTGCGCCTCGTAAATCCGAGTAGAACAGCCTTTTGAGCATGTGAAGTAAGCCTCCCAAGCGAGCGAATTGAGGTGCTGCAGCTCCTCTTCCTGCCTCATCTCTAAAATCAGTTCCTGTAAGCTAGTTCATCATGATCTCTGTCTTGTTCCAAGTTCAATTTCACGGAATGTGGATCAACGGACCCATTGGTGGGTTTCCTAACCTGGGCTATCTACGAAGATCATGCCGTGCTACCGGGGAGCGGTCTTTCTTGTGCTACGGGGAACAGACCTTCTCGCTCCTAAGTAACCGTCATACGTCGCGCTAACCAGACGCCTCCGCACTGCTTCAAGCTCCATCCTTGCGATACAAAGCGACTTCTATTGATGGCCCTGAGGTTGCGCGCCAACTAAACTTGGTCCGCGAATATACTTGTAAGCATGTGCAAACACTTCCACGTTGTTGATAGATTCCATCTCAGGTGCGGACGGACATCAGGACCTGCGATCCTTGGAGCCTGTACCCGCCGATGAGCACCGGTGAGAACCTGGCCAGACACTCGATATAAATTGCTTGCGTATCGTAGCGTGCATCTCGATCGGTCGTGCCATGTATGTCCGCAGTCCTTGAGCGGGGGCGAAGACAAGCTCGGGGAAACGGAAGAGAAAGCGGTGCCAACTTGACCTTGATGCAGGGGGAGCAAACGGCACATCCGTAGCTTGAGTCTGGTACAGAGGTCGAGGTATGCAGTGCATGTCAAACCTTGGAAGCTGGCGCGGCGACTGGCATACGTCCGCGCCACAAGCCAATGTTGCACTGAGCAACTCCCAAATACAAACTGGGATGCATGCCATCACACTCATATGGAGAGCCATGTTGTGTTACGGGGGGTTGATACTGCGCGCTGGGCCGTGGCTACATTCCGGGATCCTCTTGAACAGCGTGTACGCTGCGAGATACAGCGTTGCCCAAATCGAGTCGAAGATCCGCATATATTTCAAGACACCGCCTCCTATCTTTGTTCCCTCTCCATCCACCAAGGCACAACCTTCCCAATTTCAACAGACCTTTTCCTCGTTACCAAAACACTCCGCTAGCATGTGCTACTACGAACATGTCACACACACCCACTGCGGGCATAAGCAGAAGCGGCTCATCGAGTACTGTCACTTCGCCCGAAATGATGCCAACCACCAGTGTTTTGGCGCATGGCGCTACAAGCGAGAGTGGGACAAGAACGGGTATTGCGAGGATTGCGACAGCAGGCCCATGAGGTACCACATCTTTCCACCGTTTTAGGCAGGACATGTACTAACAGAGCGCTTCAACAGCGATGTCTGCGGAGATTCGCCGCAGTAGCGCCCTATTGGTCGTCATGCATGATGCCTTTTTCTGGTTGATCTTTGCCTTCACATCCTGTTCTCGACGCATGATCAAAGGCCGCAGGCTGGGCAAAGCATGGTGCAAGTAATCGGTTCACGCGGATGGAGGCGGGGAGATTGAGAGGGTCTTTTCTCCGAGTCTGCCGAGAAGACTCTGCCAAATGACGGACCCTCGCAGGAATCAGATAGATGCATGAATCAGATCAAGGTGTTTCAGTCCACCGAACTATACCAAAATTGAGAATGTGATTTCCATGCCCTTGAGACACTTTGCTCTCAGCTCAAGTCTGCTTTTGCAGCAGTTACTGATGCCGACACTATTGCGCGGCAAAAGGTGATGGCGATGTGGGCGTGTCGTGGAAAGGACGCGGTCAGGACGCAGGGCGGGATGCTTGCCCAGGACCTGGTTGCCCTGTTTGTGGTATGCAGGTTGTAGATCATCACCGCCCTGGCTTGTCGTCAAGGTTGCATTCAAGGCTCTTCCCAACCCCATGGCCAACAAGTTTACTACTCTAATCGAGGAGAAAGATGCACTCACGACGCAGAGGCATGGTACAAGATTATTTGGATGGCAGCCATCTCTGCAAAGTATACAGAGCAGAGTCGACGACAGCGTTTAGTGCTGACCAATGCAAGAGAAGGTGCGTGTCATGCAACCTGAACAGGGTTACTCACAACTTCGAGTGCAATAGGCTTAGACAATGGTGAATAGAGACAGATAGACTTGATTGTACGGCGTTGACTATGATTCCTGACACCAGCTTAATTCAAAGGACCTGACGAACACGACGACCCCCCTAGATCAACCATAGTGCCGCATGCACTAAACCAGGTTGTTGTATGGATAGGTTCAGGCAACCGTCCTCCTAGCATCTTCGTCATTCGCGCGATGAACTAGTGTAGGATGCAGAGCCAGTTGATCACTGGGCAGGCTGGTCAGGCACAGTGGGCAGTGATACATCGGCTGAAAGCGGGGAGGGTCGTCCCTGTACTGGACCCACTTGAGTGCGCATGGCATGCACACAGGATGACCTAGAGAAAGTTAGCAGGAGATCCTGGAAGACTGACCTTGGAGGACTTACCGCATGGAAGATCGTGGAGACGGCGAGGATCCTCTGATTCTTCGCACGTGCCCAGCGTGCACTCTAGGCCTCCGTAGACTCTATGCATACCCTGCGGTCCAAGCTCTTCATGCTGAAGGCAGGCTATCTCGCCATGCTGGCGAACGCACTTGCCGCATCGGAACTGTCAAGTTGTAGTAAGTAGGTTGATACTAGAAGGAGCACGAGAATACAACTTACAGCACCGCAGTGATCGTAGACGTATATGTCACTGTCCTCAATCTTACCAGCGCAGTCTTGGCAACGCTGCACGGAATGGTGGAACTGCGTCTCGCGTATGTTTGTCTGCATGATACTGAATTCCTCGTCGGCGGCAGCAAGCTCATCGTGATAGTCACCCAATTCCTGGCGTGCGGCAGCAAGCTCATCTTGATAGTCACTCGATTCCTGGCGTGCGGCAGCAAGCTCATCTTGAGAGTCACCCGATTCCTGGCGTGCGGCAGCAAGTGCATCTTGATAGTCACTCGATTCCTGGCGTGCGGCGGCAAGTGCATCTTGGTAGAGACCCAAGTCCTGGCGTGCGACAGCAAGTTCATCTTGATAGTCACCCGATTCCTGGCGTGCGGCGGCAAGCTCATCTTGATAGTCACCCGATTCCTGGCGTGCCGTGACAAGTGCATCTTGATAGATACCCAATTCCTGGCGTGCCGTGACAAGTTCATCTTGGTAGAGACGTGATTCCTGGCGTGCGGCGGCAAGTTCACCTTGGCATTGTGAAAGAACAGCGGACATCCTCCTTAGCTCATCGCTGTGACGCTTCTCCTGTCGTTTGATGCGACGCGCCAAGTGGCCGTTCCTGTGTCCGGCGAACGTGAGAGCGGGAGTCATGAACGGATTCTGCTGTCTCGCAGGCGCGGGACCTGAGCCGGTTATGATGACTGACTGGTCGTCACTCTCATCTCCGTGTCTGTTGTGGTCCACCTGCACCTCCCAAAGTCAGCTATAGCGCAGTCTGATGTTGACACGGAGACATACCGGACGCTTCCCTTTGGCTTTCGCAGACTGGCTGGTTGACGCTTGTGCTGGGGGATCAGCAGGGCCAGCGCGGTGCATGCGGTCTTCGTTCGGACCGTCATCAGGAAGCCCTGGTCCAGGCACCTGTTTGCTAGATCGCAGCATTCGAGTGGGCGACATGTCCATGACAAGTAGCAACACGCGTGGTGGCGGCAGAAGATGATGTGAGGAGAGTGAAGGATTTGCGATGACAGCAATGGAACCAAGACGCGAGATATAGAACGCAGAGCGAATGTAGGAGAGAAGACGAGGGGCGGGGGAGCAAGAAACAGAAAAGCGAGCTGTCGTTTGCTACCAAGCCGGTGGACATGCGTCTGCCCGTGAGCCTACCCGATCCGGGCCATAACTGCACTCTGCCTACCAACAATGCTCGGCGAGATGGAATACCAGAAAGGCGGTGATTTCGTCCGGTTTGACGCACGTACTTTGCGGTCAGCGGCATTGAATGCTGTAGGGACCGATACCAAACTGGTCATCGCTGGAGACTCACGTCGCGTGAAGACGGTGAGCTGAACGCGACGACCTGTGTCACGTCGGCAAAAACAACAATGCTGGAGGCGAGGTTGTGTAACGTCCACTGACCTTGGTACATGATGACGGTGTATTGCTGCGCCCTTTGCAGGGACGATGCTTTTGAAGTGTACTGCGACAGCATCTAGTTTGAGCACACAGTAGCAGGCTGTATTCATGATCTGACTTACGGCTGGAGCCTTCACAAGCTGGTGAATTGAGGAGCATGGGTGTATGGGCCATGTTGCGTTCTGAAGCCGAGTTTGGTCGGCGCTAGTAGGCACGGTGGAGCTGGCCAGCCAATGCTTGCCCTCGAAGCTCCGCGGGAAGTTGAGAGCCCCACTTGTTGCCCCACCCCCACCTTCACCATGACCACAAGAGTGGACGGTCAGCCTTGTGACGAGGTTGAAACAGCCCGCCGGCGATGGAGTGCAAGGACAACAAGAGGGTACTGCACAAACATGAAGACGCTCATGCGTGTCGAGCACAGGCGGCGCAGTCCTCACACAAATCCTGGGGCGGGAAGGGCAGCAGTGCTTTACGCAAACACGACAATCGAGTGGATCACGGAGAGTCTTGAGTATGAAACCTTTGTTGCTATTGCCAGCCGTCGCGCTACTCCACTCCACCCCTGCGCCCCCAACGCCACCCGGAACAAACACCACGATCAAGGAGGTACAACAGACCGCGATGCTGCCAATGCCGCCGTGGCAGCCCTGCTTGCATTCTCCCGTCAGCCGACCGACCGCGACCTTGCTGCGGCTCACAACTCCATCACCGGGCGCAGGGACTATCCTGAAGCTTCTGAGCGTCAATGGATGTCTGAAAGAAGGAGGGTTTACGTACACGGCAGCCTATCCGCTGCTTGCTGTGCTCTCGGGACAGGCGCTTCGCATTCGGATGATCGCGTAGCTGTGCGCATCATCTAGGGGAGCAAACACGTCGCTGCAGGTGGCAGTGCCCGTCGAGCCGGGCTGGGCGACCTCCTGCGTGATTCGATTGAAAAGGTAATCAGCCTCGCGTGAGGAGATGGTGCGGTTGAAGAACTGAACCGAGTGCATAGGGACTCCAAGCACACCGCCGTTGGTTGCATAGTTGTACTGCAGCAGGAAGAGTATGAACGTGGGTCGCTGGTTGATCCAGGCGGAGACGCCCCGCGGGTAGAGCACGTGGTAGACATTGAGGAGATTGTCGAAACGTGCAGCCGTCAGAATCCATGGCTTGACGGGTGGCTGTCCAGCGGCAACAGCAGGCTCGTCTTTACAATGTAGAGTCAGTATAGCTGTGTAGATACTTATTACTTTCTGCCACTCACTGACGAGGCGGTAGGTTGTGATATCGGCGCACAACATGTCCCATGCTGCCAGCGCCTCCTCAAGATTCATGTTGGACTCGGCCATTTTGTAGGAGGTTTCGTGAAAGTAGCGTGCGGATGTTGAAGGAAGAGTGTTGTGTGTATAAAGGGGCTGGTTTTAGCTGATGCCCCGGCGTCGGTGCATTGCCCAAAACTAGCTCGTTCGTAATGAATGATAGTGTCGTGTGTGGCAAAAGGCTGTGGAGGGTCTCACCAACCTTCAGACCCGCAGACGGGCTACATATTCGTGGACCAAGCTTCAGACCCGCAGACAGGTTACATATTCGTGGACCAACCTTCAGACCCGCAGACGGGTTACATATTCGTGAACCACAAGCAGTTTCACAAACCTTGGTGCACGCGGTGGTAACCCGATGGACACACCAACCATCCGCTTGGATGAGAGGTTAGGAAAGAAGCCAGATGTGGCCAGGCTCGAGCGCTCCTTTGCAGCCATGGCAAGTGTAAACCGCTCGTTGGTGTCGGGATTGTGGATTGCGGCAGTGAGCGCCGTCTGTATCGGCGTAGTCGTGCACGACGGGCAGCGTCAAAGTCATCATCTGCTGGCAGGGCGCGTCGTCGTGTTGAGCGTGCAGTAGGTCAAGTAGGCTAGCCAGACTGCAGTGATGCGGCGTGTCTACCAGTCATCAGCCTCGAGGTGTCCATCAACGGTTGTGGTGGTGAGCGTCGTGCAAGCCATGGTGACGGACAGCACTGGGCGCTGGTGAGTGTCGTCTCACCATCGTCGAGTCGAATGCGAAATGATTTGGGCTTGATGGTTGGCCTTGCAGAACTTCATCACTGGATCGACGCGGAATATAGAAAGCAATTTTTATTCGGCTACTAATATACTAGAGTCAAAAGGAGAACGTGAGTCGTTCAGTAGTACATACGAAATAAGAACGCAAGTCAACAATTACTTCCTCCCTCCATCCTTCTTCCTCGCAATTTCCATTGAACAGACTCAGCAAACGCGTTCCAAGCATAAAACTTCTCTTCTTCCTCAACAATGTACCTCCTCCATGCCTCGTCATATCTCTATCTCACGCGACCTGAGAGCTTCCATCCCCAGAGCGCTCAAGATCTCGTAGACGTCTGCGAACCATTCGAATGTCCGTATGGGAACCGGAACGCACGTCTTCCATGCAGAGAGTGTGCAAGACATTGTAGACGTCTTCGAACCATTTGCGCCTCCGGATAGAAACCAGAAAGCTTCCAAAGGTTGCCCGAGTAGCAGACTCAGTACCAGGTAGGAGCTTTGGACTTTCGGTATCTCTGATGTGAATCCGGTGCAATGACGCTATTTGGGCAAAATCAAGTGGCAGTTCCCGACCCGCATGAAAGTAACAATGAGGATAGGTGTCCTCAGGATTCTTGGATTTCGAGAAGATGATGAAAACGTCGAGAAAGGTAGTATCGTGCATAGCGTTGAAGCAGGCTATAGTGCTAACCACTCGCGGGAAGAGGGAATACACCTCGCGGCAATTTATGGTCATCCTGACGTGAGTGAAACAGCTGATCATATCTCCCTTGAAAATCTTTCGTAGATCACCATCTGGGCAGGAGTAGTATCCGGTCGCGCATACCACAGTCCTGTTCTTGCGAAGCCAGTGTTGAGTTCTGTGGCGGAGTGACTTGCATGACGTAAGCAAGCCGTGGTCCCAGGTTGAAGGCAGGTCCGGGTCATATTTGCTAGGGAAGACGTGGGCCGACACGTCGATAGTTTCTTCTGGCCATACGTGTTCTAAGCACATGTACAGCAGCTCATTTGGGAGCGTCACGAGTGCCGAGGGCGCCGGGGGCTTCTCTTCAGTTGCTCGATGCTGAGTTGGCTCATCGCGGGATGGGAATCGTAGTCTTTGGCTTTGAATCTGTTTGCACGGTCAAGGCGGTGAGACGAGCCTTGCAATGGTAGAGAATACATACGCTTGTGCTCCTGTTGCGACCCCACTTCGAGACCCTGCTAGCAAAGGCAGGCGTCTGTAGTGCTGGGCTTCGTGCAAGACGAGCAGACCTCCGTGGCACTGCTTCTACGTCGACAGCGGCCCTCGGTGGACCTGTGCGTTTGCCTGCCATGCGAGCACTAGCTAAGCCTAGTCAGTATCAAAATGCAGCGAAGGTTGACGAGCATACAAGAGTGTGTCGCAGTGGTGTAGGCCAGAGCAAGAAGGGAATGCAGATGGTGACGAAGCAAACGATTGAGATCGGAGTGGGAAGTGCGAGGTAAAAGCCTAGGCGACGCGCTACACCAAAAACAGACCTTTGTGTAATCTAGTCTATCCAGCGACTTTAGCCCTCACTGTTTTACGCATCTCTGCTGGCATACAACAACTCCTAACGTCAGCCGAGTGCGGAGACAAAAGTTTTTTAAAGCTTCGGCATTATTCACCCTTCATGGCTTCATTGTACGCCTTTGTGTGATTCCCCATCGTCGTTGGCCATCCCATCACTTACAGCCAAGCGACATATAATCAAGCCCTTGTCTTCTCAAATGGATGTCCCGACTGCAGATAGTTTAAGCCTGCAACCAGCTACGCAACTGACTAACATTCGTAGACTCCCAGTCAAGCTACAAGAACACTGTTTCAAATACATATGGCCTTGCCAAACGGTTTGTGTTCCTCCTCTCTGGTTGAACGACCGCGATAGGAAAGCCATAACTGAAGACTGTGATTATTCGTTGTTCGCAACGTGTAAACAACTACAGTATGTCGCTACTGGGTGGCTCTTCGAATGCATAATTAAGAACGGCAAGATTGTCACATGATATCTCAGCGAACATGGTAGGTGGCCGAGGACCCGGACCGGTTTCTATACATCGTTTCCGTGTGCTCAGATCACGCTCCGCCTTGATTTCAATGGCCCAAATCAACTGGGATACCTATCTTAAGCCTCTCTACAATGCTCTCGAGCAGCTGGTAGTCTTGCTACGACATTCAACGGCAAGAAAACATGACTCGAACTCTTTCTTGAAGACAGCTTGTTCGAAGAGACTTGCAAAGGCAACGACGTGGGCAATAGGAGGCACTGTGCTGCAGACTTTCTGCGCCTTGGGTTTGGAATAACAGAGCTCGTTTTAGCGACGCAAACATGTGAAACATCACTGTCAAGAGGCTGACAAGCAGACGCGCTATCCAAGGCAGGTGTGCCAAGTGCTTTAGTTCCCCAATATGGTGAGGTTTTACGGATACGAGCGCAGCTGACTGAATGCGCTTCTTCCAGCCAGTGCTAATAGTTCCGAATAGCAGCCTGAGGTTACGTCCGAGGTCACTGAGCTGCAGCTCCAGGAGAATGTTCCTACATTTGTGTTTGTTGAAAGCACATGTACTGCACGTGTGCAGGCTTTGTACATTGTCTTTGGAAACTTCCTAGTTTTACCTGGCTTTTGGATTTCTCCTGCCGGAGTCTATACCTGTGACTGGATTTACCCGCGTTCTTGTCACGCACGCGCTCTCATCCTGAGCGGCGGTCGAGTAAATCATCGGCCGTTGCAGAGATTCGAACGGGTAGATGGCCTCGATAGTTCATGCGTCCCAAGATCAAAGAGCCTTTGACGTCGCCTTCCTTCACCATTAATGTGGCATCTGCATCCCCCATCAATCCCTGCCGTCACCATCATGCCTCTAAATCCTAACCACTCAACCTGACACCAGCTGTATAAAACTCTCCGCTCACATTCTCCCCATCATCTTCAGATGCGACATCCTCACTGGCTCCGCTACCGACGCCACGCCGCGCAATCCAAGTCAAGGAACACAGCCATCAAGGGCGACGGAATTGGAGCCAGTATCTACAGGTGCATGAGTGCATGCCAAGGTTGTGAGCCAAAAACTAAATGAAGGCGCTTCCAATGTACTGTGCAGAGACCTAAAGACGACCAGGCTGCTTCTGGCAAGGCTTCGATGTCGGGGAGACGTCGTGAAGAAGCTAGCCGGGGTGTCTAATCGGTAAGCGCTGGATACGCATCGCGCGCAAAGAAGCATGGCCTTATCAAGTCCCAGAAGCAACTGCGCGATATGACCTCGGTTGTCAGTCTATCAACAGACAGAGAAAGGACAGAAAAGACAGAGTTCCGTCCTTCTCTCGGAAATCCGGAAGCGCACAGGACCCTCGTCACATGAAGCGAGGCGGTTCACATTGATTGCAGGGCATGCGGCGCCAGATCAAGCGCCAGAACGAGGAAAGGCGTGCCAAGGACTTCAAGCACTCCAGTTCGTTCCTAAGGTCTGTCGCAAAGCCCCAGCCGCCGACAAAGTGGGCACACAACCTGCTCGTCCGGTCACGGCCCGAACGGAATGGGACTGCACATTCAGGGCGGGATGTAGCGCGACCAGAACTAAGCACTCAATCTATTTTGGAATTTTAGGGAAGACTGGAAGCTGCACTCTGTTCTCGTGAGCGGTTCAATGTATCCATGAAAGAGTGTGATCACTGCGCCTGGCGGTCCACTTTTACATGACTTCGTCTGTGCGCGTGCACTTCTTCAAGGGTCTTCTTGAAAAACATTTACACGAATACATCCGTACTAGCTTGTACGACAGGAAAGGCTCCCCACAGATCAAAGCTTTTGTGTAGCGCGGGGGCGCATGTACGGCATCCTGTTCAGAGACTGCTGGACGATGCTCGGACAGGAACCCTTGCTCTAGCTTGTATGACAAAAGACGCCCCCAAGCCTGCGCCCAGGCGCAGGAGCCTTTGTGAAACTCTGAAGCTTTTGCCGCACTGCACATGCCGTTTCAACAGCCTGGTGTCATCAGTCTGCAAGAATGAAGGCTACAGCCATGCCTGCCCGGGTCGTTGCCCGCATCTGATGGTAGGTTCGCCTCATGTCCACCGGGAGGCTGTGCAACAGGAAGTACGCATTCGGCAAGAAATCGACAAGTCTCGATAGCTGCAACGTCCGTGCGATGGAGTAGGAAGTACTCCGGGATCTCCAGCAGCACAGCGTACAACGAGCAGTGTTCTAGATAAGCAGGGATAAAGGAGGATGGTAGTACACCAGCCCCTGCGCAGCATCCGACTCCCCAGCGAAGGCTCGTGCTAGTCGGAAGATCCCAAGCTACCGTATATTACAAAGGAAGATGGCAGCTGTTTGAAGATTCCCATCTCCACGGCTCTACTTCAGCTTCCTACCGAAAATGTTGTGTCGCGAAGGGAAGATAGCCGAATCGTAAGCCTTCCTTCCACATCTATGACGACACGGTACTTACTTACTTTGGCAGGTTCTCACGTTTCGCCATCGAACATGGCCTTTCTGTGTACCGTGGATGTCCCGGACCATTTGCCGCTTTTAGGTTTGAGGAGCATAACGTGGAAAGTACGGGTCCCCCAGTTACTATAACGACGGCCTATTTTCTGCGCGAAATGACTTCCGTCTATCTTGATGCGCCAGAGGACCGCCCGGTCAAGGTCATCCTGCTTCCGAATGGGCACCTCGGGCGCAAAGGCGTTTCCACTGCACGAATGGTACGCAGGATTGGCCATTTCCGTGTGTTTGGCGATATCAGACATGGTGGTCGACTGCATGCATCCGAGCCATTTGTGCTGAGAATGGGAGAAAGTTGTATTCTTGTCCCTTTCTCAGCACCCACGGATGGCTTGAAAGCAGGCTGGGAAGCTCTGTCCGCGGATTTGAAACTCAGTGTACTGGAATTCGCCGTCACTACACGTGAACAGTCTTCTATGGGTGTCAAGTTGGGCCTCAGCGCTTCACAGCCAGTCGATTTTTACAACCTGAAATTGGCCTTCCAAGACCATGTCCTTCCTCTACTAGCGCTTGGACATTGGGTATGCGGCTCCCTTGACGGTACATGCGGCCACCGGGAAGGCACTCCTTGCCGCAACAAACAGAAAGACCCATACCAAATCGCCAAAGGTTTCTGGAAGGCGAATATGTTCCGTCTGCAGCATTCGTTCCTTGAAGGCCACGATATGCCTATTCCTCTCCAACACCGCCAGACGAGATTCCGCCTCGAGTTTTCCACCCTCTTCCTCACCCTCTACAAGGTTCATAAAGTGGCCGAGTTCATGACTGGATGCGACAATGCAAAGGTGACGATCAAGGTCTCCTGGTTCATGCAGGGCGCGTGGCCACATCCCGTCAGACTCGCTTCTGATAAAGAATGGACGGACGATCGACAGCGGGCCGAGGGTCGGAAATTGCTGGAACTTGCCGAGGAGATGCTATCTAATCACATGCATGCTCGCAAGAAGGCTGCCAGCATCGCTACCGTATTTCCTTGCCGTGTGGAGTGCGTCTTCACTAGACCTTTGATAGCCTATCACGTTCAGGACAAGAACAAGCGTGCTACAGAGGAAATCGAGGAGCATAGTTCCATCATCAAGGAGACGGAGTGGATCGAGTCAATTGAGAGTCGCATTCGTAGCCTTTTCATATCTCGTGGAGCAGGGCCGGCAGCTTGTCAGAGCATCACGTCCTGATCCGCTGCGGTTGTCGAAGCTGGCTTTGGTTGGGAGGAGTGGAGGGAAGGAGTCTTGCGCGCGCGCATGCGTCGAGTCGGGCCATGTTGCATGCCTGGTGTAGTCTTTACGTCCCACGTAAGAATTGCCACTTGTCTTTTCTCTTTGATGATCTTTGCCGGTTAATCTCCTCTCCGCTGCTTTACACAGTCACTACCTAGCCAATCTATATACTTTCAAAGACGACTGAGCATGCGCTGACCCTCGGAAAAACGTGACACTATCCTCATGCTCAGTCTCCAAGGCGCCCGTACTGCCCAAGTTGCCACGGCTCAAAGCGCTACCCCGCTAACCACACCAACGGGGGTCATGTGGTTATGGTGTAGCTCAGTGTTGACGCCTTTTTGTACGAGTTCGCTCGAGATGCTACCGCTCAGTATCACGTTGGCGGCCCGATCACATCCTGAATATTCTCGTTGACAATGAATCAGCCCTTTTCCATCCACGGCATCTAGTTCATTATGGTTCCCACTAGATTATCAGTTTTGCAAAGTGCAAAACTTCCGAAGGCGCCACGATATCTTGACGAAATTCGTTGCACGTGTTCCCACGCATTCAACCAGTCGGGGCCGAGCGAAAGGGGGCATCGGTCACGTCCTAGATAAATATTGCAGAATTAGTCTCGAATCGTTACCGCATGGATGTGTGTGGAACATGTCCTCGTGGGGTAATAAGAGGATGAGAGCGGTGCAAAGGAACCTCTGTCGGGGCGTGGACTTGCATGATCAGATAGTCGCGAGGGCAACTATGTGCACATCTACTTAGTTGGCAGTGGCAAAAAGGAGGAGCTAAAATTATAAAAGGAGATGAGTGCCTTGTTAGTCGGTTATACGCTGCAGCGTAAAGCCATCTACAACCCTTTTGCCCAACCTATCAAAAGCAGTTCCAAGGTCGTGAACAATTAAAACATGTCGCGTACTGTCAGAATAAACAATCGAACTAACGGATATTCGACCCAATCATCGCCAAGATTTTGCACTGGTGCCGGGTGACTAGATCGTATGAGGCATGGATTGTTCGGTTAAGGCTTCGCGGGGCAGAAAGTTACACACTTCGTGCCATTCTGCTTTAGCGTGTAGATCCGCAATTGCGACAAAGATCCAGTGATGTAATAGAGATCTAATACTCATGATAATCTTAGTCAAACCTACCCAACGCTGCTCACTGCGCATTGCTTTGTTCGCCGGCGGCGGCGATATTACGCATTTCAGCCGATTGATAGCACCTGGATCGCGGACAAGGGGTCTTTCGCTCCAGGCCTTAAAGCATGCAAATTGCGACAAGCGCCAGCAGAGATGGCCCGGAAAGCGATCGGCGTGCGAGGAAAGTAGGTCTCTTCAAGCGCAATTATGAAGACTGGAGTTGGCGCCAGACATGTCAATCATTAAGCCGAGTAAGACGATTCGCTATTTTTTCCTATGTAGGCGTGCACGTTCTATAACATGCTTCGTGCAGACGTGCAAATCCTCAGCATAGCAGGTTCGCGAATCAAGCCGCCAATTGGCCGATCGGCTTGATTGTTGACAAGTCTGGTTAGCGTTGCAGAAATGGGCTGTTCATGTGTAAAGGAAGCGTATGACACGATAATAGATCAACGTGCAAGCACGTAAGTAGCTGCTTCCTTCATACACAGGCTGCAAAGAGTCGCGTCGATGTCTTAGTAGAGACGTATGCAAGGGATAATCGTGCAGATGTTTACACAAGATTGACAAGGACATGTATTGAGAGCAACACTAGATATCATGTTCATGATGTAGAACACAGTCGCACTTCGCACTCATCATCGCTTTTCATCTGCGAGACCGGGACTGCTTTTATCCTCTGCTCTTTCCCTTCTTCGTTGCGAACGTGCACGATAGTCATGGGCGTGCGCGGCCCAGGTGTTGATACAGTATCAATGAATGGTGTCTGAAGCAGTATCTCCGGGTTGACAGCACTGAGGTATTGTTGTTGGGCCAACGAATCGTCGAGACTTGTTTGCCATAAACGACCAACAGGCCCTTGTAGGGATCTGATTCCGTTGCTCATGTAGTGGATCGACAATTCTCTAGCATCCAAGGCTCGCAGCCATGTCTCCTGGGCTAAGACTGAGAATTTGATCTGGACCTCGGCTATGGAGTGATGAGGCATTGAGTCCGAGAAGTAAGCGCGGGAGATGTTGGAGTCCTCAAACAAGGAGACAGATCGGTGGAGTGATTGACGTGGGTGCCACACTATTGTGATTTGGACGTGAGGAATACTGTGTTGGTTTGCAGAATCGGGTTCTTGGACGAAGGCGAAGATGAAATGATCATGATCCAGCACCAGACTTGGGTCGATTTGGTACGCAGGGTCCCCACAGCTTATGAAGATTCGTGTTGCATTGGTGTCTGACATGCCACACCTCAATAGTATGACTTTCTCTTCCTTGGTGCACACGATTAGTGTTAGTAGCAGCACGCCGAGGAAGGTGAGTAATTGCACGTACAGCTAGCTGTGCCGGTAAAGCATCCCCAAATGCAAATTTGTCAACGAAACCCGATTCCTCCTCCATCCAATCGCGCCAAGCTTCCTCGTCCCAGTCCGCAGACTCTGTAGAGTCCTGCAAAGCATTTGAGAGTACCACAGACATGTTGGAAAAGGCCGGCGTTCCTGATGATGTCGTAAAGAGCAATAGACAGAAATAGTTTATGAAGAGAATAATCACTAAAGGCCGAGACATGTAATTGAGAGACTTGACTTAAGAATTTCAGATACATGAGAACCCTGCCAGGGTGTGTGAATGCGTAATCTGCCTCGCATTCAATGTTGAAATTCACTGCCCGCGGGCGCCTGTGTGACTCTGCAATGGGCGTATGAATGCCAGAGTTCCTCAACAGCAACTTTTACGCTGCGCGACGTTCTGCAAAAGCTTTGAGTTCTGTCTGTGCAAATTCTACAAGTCATCTCTGCGATGATCGGTTAATCGGCGGGGAAGACTAAGCCCTGAGATCGATGCAAGGTCGCAATCAGGAAGCTGACAGAGCCGGCAAGTCAGACCGGCCAATGAGGGTATGAGAATGCTCCGAAGCGCCCCCACATGGAGGCGTGCGCGGGTCAAGTCCCGAGCACTCGCACAGCCTCAAGTGGGTGGTCGTGGGTGCATCTCCTCATTCTCCTTCATCTCCTCACCTCTACACCTCTACACCATACCATGTCGCCATGCTGTAATGCTTCACAGATCTAGAGCGCATTACGAGATACTATCTCTTCCTCTATGCTCACTCTTTGATCAGGTTAACGACAAATATTGCTCGTTGCCCACACACACGCCAAGGTTAACCCTGTGTACGACATGCGCTTGTACGGCTTCGTGCTACACCCCACGCACAATCGCATGCGAGTGGTTCCGATTTGGTCAGAGCTCCACACGCAGGGGTCTCACCGTCTATAGCTAAATCCTGGTGACTTTACACCGGCTCCCTGTAGCATCCCCAGGCCCTCGCACTTTATTCCTAAAACGACCTCGTTGACGAGAGCGCCGATGGCGGGAATACATATCATGGATACAGCCTTGTCGTGGTGAAACGGTCACACATTGCGTGGCCATCAGAGCTTCTAGCCAGCGACCCCCACGTACTACGCTAGTCGACGTGGAACGCAGCACGCCACATGTTCCACCACCTAATGATGGAATACCACCGTTATGGTGTATCATACCCCATCTCGTGCACTGGCCAAAGCATCACCTGCTCGATATGCACACTTCTTGTCTTCCTGATCCTCGTTTCACATACCCTGCATATTCTTCAGTCCTCATCTGATCATCTAACTGCGAGAGATTATCAAAAAATCGAACATCGGTCACCTTGGATGATCGCTGTCACGAGTGGCATTCACTAGAGCATGCAGCATGGCACATGGGACACGGCGCATGATAGTCAACACACGGTCCCGATTCGAACATTTGCGTCTCGCAGTATGCACGTATATTGCATTCGATAGAGAAGCGGAGACTGTGCAACAGCTTCAATGCGTAGGCAAGGTTCTGGTCGCCGACCGTTGTTCATCTTGCACTGGTTCTGGTCTGTACCCCTGGAAACCGATATGCGGACTCTGGATTGAGATTGGTACACGTACACTGGTACAGCATCGACGGTAATCCTAGGTGCATCTCCTGAATGCGACTCAAGTCTCGTCCATCAAAGTTGGACCAGCATAAGTGTGTATGATGCAGGAATGGTACGATAGCTCGTGTGCGCTCGGCTCAGATGATCAACCACAAAAGTGGATACACTGACGTTGATTGCTTGGAGTCGAGAGTCAGGTAGGTAGCTTGTCCCCTCACAGTAGACGATTTGCAGGAGAAAGGACATTTGTGACTCGCTGACTAAGCTCGCCGACGACGTCCTGTGCTCAAGGCGCAGATTTTCCCGAATCTAGAGTGGCTTGCTTGATTGAGACGTGAAACGCTGGCGGATAACTACACGTACAGCTCGTCTAATAGAATAACAGCTGATGGCATATTTTGACGATCTCCTGACTGCTTGCTATTGCTCTTCTGATACTTGATGCACCTGCCTCATTGCAGTGATGGACTTCAGCATACGATGACAGGACGAACAGCACCCGCAATACACAGAGATGTGCACGTACCACTCATCCGTCTCCTTCATCACATTGAGACAATACCGCAAGCCTGCACTAGAGTTATGGAAATTGTCAGCTTTAGCTCCGCCACAGAGCCCTACCTCAATTCTTGTTTGCCAGAAATTAGTATAGGCTGGGGACCCGTGCAGTCACGACGAGACACACAAAATCAACGCATGATTAGTAAGATGTGTTGAAATTAATCAGGTGACGAGTCATAGAGAATTGATGGGGTTCTCAGCTTGCTACACGTAGCGATAGCTGAAGCCAAGCGAGAAGTTATAATGTCCACATGCTCCGAGACTGCCTCACGAGCACGGTAGTTGTGATGGCAGCAGATTGCGAATTTCGTAGAAGCTATCCTCGCGAATCGATATTAAAGACATCATCAAAAGACTACAAGCGCACCGTGCTAATGAAGAGCCCAAGGCGTCGCGAGAAGCAGTCAGACCGTCGCGCATGTTGCAAATAGTAGACGAAGAATCAAGATACCGTATATATTCAAGATCCTGTAAGATAACCTAGTGTCCTAAGCCTAAAATATTTTATCTGTCCATGACTGCAGTGAGCCCATGGCGTCGTGAGAAAGCAGTCAGGCCGTCGCGCATGTTACAAATAGTAGGGTCAGAATCATGATACCAAATGTTCAAAACCCAATAAGAAACCCAATAAGAAACCCAATAAGAAACCCAATAAGAAACCCAATAAGAAGCCCAATAAGAACCCAATAAGAAACCCAATAAGAAACCCAATAAGAAGCCCAATAAGAACCCAATAAGAAAACCCAGTGTCCCAATCCCAAAAGATGTCATCTGTCCGTGACTGCAGTAAGCCCCGTCTTCTAGTCTGAGTCATCCGAGTCACTGTTGTAATCGACAAACCAAATCAACCTACGCGCCTCTTCCTCTGCATCATCCTCGTTCATGTCAGGATCATGCATCGCTGCGCTGTATAGAGCGGAAAAGATGAATGATTCTAGTAGAGTTAGTCTTGTTGCCTCTGGGCTTACACGTGTTCCTGCACTTACCGGAATCCATCTCGCGAATACTGAAAGTGAAGTCGACATGCGCAGTTTGAGCAGCAAGTTCGATCATGTGAAGAGTGCAGAAGAAGACGTCGCGGGCGTGGGACCAAAACTCAACGTCCATGTGGAATGTCTTTAATGATGGGATCGAGAGTACGGATATAAGTGAGTCGGTGTAGTCTTCGTCCAATAGGCCGGACACATTGCTGGGATCAGAGTGCCTATCATCCCAGAAGCAGGTAAAGTGCAACGTGAGTCTCTTGAGACTCTCTGGTAACAACATTCGCAAGGGAACGAGCGTCTTTGGGTGGTGCGGACTGTAGTCGATAGCTTCTAGCGCGCTGTAATTGATGTGCAATACTTCGAGGCGTCGCATTCCGACAAGAGTGATCCTTTGATGCCGTGGAACATCATCAAGGTTGTCTATTCCGACCACCTCAAGGTGTTTCAGCGTGGGGGTGTGGTTGAGGATGGCATGCTTCAGTGGCTGGGTCCAGATGTCGCCGGCCCAAAAAATTTCTTTCCCGCCACAGACGAGCGTCTCGAGTGCCGTGGTCATATTGGCCAGCGCTGCTATGCGCGCACTATGTGGCCTGGATGCTGCTGTACGCGCATTGATTGGCTTGTTCGCACATATCGTGATATGCTTCACGCTGCATGCTTTCTGTTGGTGGTCCAAGACTTCGCCCGACGATAGAATGTCGCAATCATACATTGGAAAATGGATGTTGCGAAGACCTGGCAGTGTCATAAGGAAGGCGGCAGTTTTGTTTGACCAGGGGAAGATTTCAGAGCCGCCCAAAACCCTGGATAGTCGGTTCGACAGCGGAACGTCAATTCGTTTGTAATCGTTGAAGAATCGCGGTGAGCAGACCAATGCCTGTAGCTGTCCAGCCAAGTGATTATGTTTCCGGACGGTGGAGACATAAGCGCAAAGGTCTCGATAGCTCCTCAAGACCGGAAGCTTGTACAAAAGGTCCGTGGCTACTGCGCCGAGCAGCTTGCACGTCCGTGCAACTAGAGCGAGGTGGTGATTCCCAGTAAGGATGTCGTCCGGAACGATCGCGTGCCGCATTATCTCTGTAAGGAGCTCATTGGGAAGGTCAACAAGTCCCCGCGAGTTGTGCACACCCTGGGTTGGAGGGACTCTGGAATGAATGGCTGGTCGATGACCTTTTTGGTGGCCGGATGGCATGTTTGGTATGCAGGTATGTCTGATCTGACGGGTGTTTGGTACAATAAGACGTCAAACTCGCTGCTATCAGCGGAGTGAACAGATACGAAGTGATCTTGGACGAGGGTGGAAGAGGAAGGATTGTAGGAAGAGGGTAAGAGGAAGGATTGTAGGAAGAGGGGAAGAGAGGAAGAGGGAAGAGGAAAGAGGTTATCTAAAAATCCTGTTGAAGTTTCTGTTCCTCGTGTAACGGAATTGTGAGCCTGTAAAGCATTACGATACCGGTGGTGCAGGCGATGGGAGGGATTCCTGCTCCTGATTTCGTCGCTGATGCGGTGCGTCCCATTCGCCTTGCATCATACTGGCTCTACTCCTGCAGCATCGTTGGGCGATTCTGCCACCGTGCACTTGCCTGCCTGGGGATCCTCGTTACACGACTTTCGAGACTGCTGTGGAAGAGCACACCAAGACAATGTAA